AATTAATGTTGAGGCGTGGTGGCAGCCGGTTGAACTTCGCGGTCTGCTGAGCCGCCGATGGCAAATGAAGCTAGTAGCCTCCATTCGAGTCGAGTCCCCTCGGTGGGTGGTCATTGACAGAGCTTTTGATATTGTAAGTTCGTGGACCTAAAATTAATGATACTTAGTCAAGGGCGGATCCGGGGGGGGGGCCAAAGGGGGCCATGGCCCCCCCCCCAAAAAAAAAAACGAAACCATTTTTTTTTTTATGTGACATCGCAATAAAGGCAGGCAATGAGTACACCACCATCTTTTCCTCAAAAAACATTGGTTAAAGTGGTCAGATATTGCCTCAGATCGCACCACAGAGCATCTAGAATCCAAAACATTTTCGGAACCCCACGCCGTAATTTTTTTACCCACTTTTTGGGGGGACCACAATTTTTTTGGGCCCCCCCCCAAAAAATTGTGTTCTGGATCCGCCCTTGTACTTAGTGACATTTTTATGATCATGCACGCGTTTAAGTGTGTTGGAAATCGCAGGTTGGAATGCCGCTGTAGTGAACTTTGTTTTGTTCAACCAAAATTTGTAAACATGTTCAGACAAACTAGATGTTTTTTTTTAACAAGCAAACATTATGTTAGTGGTGCCTTTATTTTGAGAACACTAGTACGGATTCTTATTTTTCCTCTACCTTTTCAAAATTTAATGCATCCATCCTTTGGTTGAACTTTGATTGGAAAAACAGTTTTAAAACGATGGGTGTGCTATAGAGCGCCATAATGTTCCGTGCTCGGTTGTGATACATGTTATTGCAGTTTGATAGACGAGGAGGGCTATCCAAGTATAAACAGATGAGCTTGAATCACGTCTACAGCGCAGACGCAGGGCGGCTCCAAGCGATCTTCTCGGCGGGATACATCAATGAGCGACGGACACGAACGATTGAAAATTCTGCAATATACAACATCAGAGGGGACCATGCAAATGAATTGCGCCGCGGGAGAAAAGACAGAAAAAACTTCATTCGTCTCTTGCCTCGGCAATTTAAAAAAAAAAACCATGCCTCTGAGCTTGTCATGTATTGCAGACCACACTTGCCGTTACTTCCGCGAACGAATAATATTGGAAACGCGACACGGGAAAAGAGTTTGCCCTCGTGCAATGCAATAATGCCTCCGAGTTGGCGGGAAATATTGGTCTGCGCATGGTCTGCGCAATATAGGCGTTGCGTGTGTGCGCGTATAACGAACGGCAGACGACTATTGTGACTGCATGTTGTGAAAGAAATTACTTTACGAAAATGTCTTTAAAAAATAAATGTCATTAGTGACAAAGAAAACTAGTTTTCGTAGGCCTTTCTATTTTGCTTTTGAAGGAAAACCAAATGATCATTTTATCATCGTTGAATTACATTTATACATGTATAGGGCCTACTCTGAAAGTAAGGAGGAATGTCATTTTTGTGGATTGAACGGACGAAGAGCACGCTTACTTGTGTACAAAACTAAAAAATTACATTCCCTGGACATACAAGTAAATATTTCGAATAATCACTGACGTCCCTGAACATTAACAACTACTACATTCCATCTAAGGAGTATTGATGCATGATTCTTCCCACTAACAATGGGAAAAATGAATAGTGATCATTGTTATTAGTCTCTCTCTTTAACATTCGTAAGTTATTTACAATGTATACGCATTATACGGGGAAAGAATTAATTTTGAAGACCGGCGTTGGCGAATCAATTTTTGGGAAAGTGCACCCCGTTGCGAAACCGGAGACTTTCCCGTGCCCCAGGTGTATGTGGCAAATCGATTCCGTAAGAGGAAATCCGTCACTCTAGAGTACATCATGAATGACGCAGATGAGGAAAAAAATAGCTAAGGCAAGATTAAACAACAAAAAATGGACTGAATGAAAACGGAGGCCCTTATGTTAAACAAAAATAACAGGTAGGGTCTATTTTTAGTTGGATAGACGGGCGTGTAGGCGTAGCTGTTTACAGAACATTTGAGATGTACTGTTGTTATGTTACTGTCAGTCGGGTTCGATGTAGTAATCGTTGCCCGACTCGCCACTATTTTTCAGGCTTTTCAGGCCGGCCGCCATGTTTGCACGAGCTTTACACGCAAAAAATATGCGACGTGTAGTTCGTGACAAAACAGCCTTTATAATTATATAAAAGAACAACCGTTACACTTACAGAAGCTGTCGATAGAAGATGGAGAATAAAAAAACACATATTTTTTTTCGAGTTGGAGTATTAACCTCCCCCCCCCGATAAATATAATCTGGGTGAACCAATTCCATATGATGCACTACGTGACAATTGGAACCTACGTCTCAAAATACAAGTCGAAAGTAAATGATCCAAACCAGTGTCAGGCATATTTTTAAAAACATCTGCCCACAGGCATATATATTTTATTTTAAGACATTGTAACTTTCATGTACATGCAATCATAACGTTGAAACCGAATACCGCGTTTGCAATAGGATTGTTTTGAATTAGCATAACGTGATCCGCCACGATAATTAAGGTCAAGTAGGTCCGGTGGGCCGGATCAACCTCGTACAACCTCGGCATCGCTGATGGGACGCTGACCAATCAGTTTCCCCCCTGGGGACAAGTTTGCAGACTGACCGAGCCACACCGGTCTGTATAGATGGTCATCCGAATTCCCAAGACCACGTGGTGCATTTATTAAAACACACATTTCACATGATGATACCTCAAATCAAATTGAGACGCACGGGTGCGGAAGTAACTACGGGCGCCCCGGTGTACGGGACATCTCCAGCGATGCCGGACGAACGCACCGGTTTTGCCCGGGGAAACGCGTTAATTAACGGGCGGGTGGTAAACGAGTTAGAACCCCAACGGCCAAGCGGTCGAAGCTCCAAATTTAACTCCAGGCTTTCCTCTCTCGGTCTTATAACCGCGTTTAATCACAAGTATTTAGCGGGGGTTTTCGGAGAAGTGGAGATGACGTGGTTGGTTTATACTTGGAGTAATTGAGAAGGTATCTTTATGAACTTGTGTTTTACTTGAACGGCATAATAGTCCGTTCCTTGTGTTTGAACGCATACATGAAAATATGTTCCAGTACGGGCGCTACATGGAGTTCCATATATACTCTTTGCATATTTTTATGTTTACGTGTCGCACGTTTTTGTATGGACTTTGATCGCTTCATCGTTAATAAAATTCGTTTAAATAAAGTATATTATTTTGCTTGCTTCTTTAAATGAAACTAGTGTTTTCTTTTGGGTGTTGATCTTTGTCGTGTATTTTCTCGTTATAGCAAACGTCACTAATCATGCCAATGCATTTTTTGTGTCGGTTGGGTATTCATACCTTATAAGCTGAGCACGCCACCACCAGGCCGACTCTTGATAGTTTTGACTACAAAAAACAGCAAATTTTACTTGACATTTAGTATCAGTTGAGTACAACTGAATATCAGTCAATAGGCCTATTACTTCAATATAGTCAGGATTTATTGCCTGGAAAATTCAGCAATGCGTGGGAAGCTACTAGTCAGAAAGTCAACTATATCCTTGTAGGCCTATATGTTTTCCGAAGAAAACCCCCCACTATATTCTCCAGAGCAATAGAAACAAGTCAGTATTTTGACTATGTATGTTGTTTGAAGAAAGATAAAAACGAATATAAACTCATGATATGCGAATGAAGTACTCCTGCATCCAATCGCTAGCAACGGCACCCATGAAAGGAAACACCTTTGATATCGAACAAACATTGGTTGAGTCATAATGCATTAGAATTCTACCTCCATGGTTGAGTTAATGCATTTGGAACTGTTTCCGACTTAGGGCGCGCGCGGCAGGCGTTCGTATCCACTCCTTTGCTTTCCCTCGTCTGGATCCGGCCCCGACTGGAAATTAAGCTTGATTTGAAGAATTCGTGCTCGGCATCTTCCAACATCAATTACCGTATTCGAGTCTGGTTTACACACACGTGTTCTTGCCACTGTTACGCACATCATGTTGCTACTGCCAGTGGCACATGGTACATCAAGGATGTTTCGAGTGGAACAAATAAACTTGCCGACAAAGCCGACTTTGCATTGTCTTTATATGTTTTGCTGATTAAATAAAGAAAGGGTAACATTATTCCAGAAGAACTAATCAGTCATTTAGACATCACTTGATTCCAAGTGCACCATACAGCAAGTACGCAACTATAACAACTGTTGTCTCTAGTTTGTGTATAGAAGTAACCTAGTAGCCTAAATACAACAGTGAAACATTACATTTGTCATCAGTCAGCAATTTACATCCAAAAGCGTCAACAAGTCAAGTTTGTCTTTCTTTCGGGGCATCATTTTATTCAAATGTTCAATCAAAATATGAATAGTTTAGCGTCTTCATTTGAACGTCCTTTAAAACTGAAAACTAAAAGTACTGAGCTGATACAAACAACAGAAGTGTTTTCCCACGTTGCTGGTTCATGAAGATTTAATTACTTCAAAGCAGGTTTTGGTGCCGCAAATTCGCAATAGTTGAACCCATTTCAACATGCGACTTTCGCAGCGAATGTATCGCTGACGTCAAATTCGCTCCGTATTTCACATTCCTGTAAATGTATGAACTGAACAAAATGATACTGAGTTCGGATTTGTCGAGTTCCTACCAAGCTATTTGTAAAATGTGCCAATAAGAAAGCGTATGTGTTACCATTCTTGTGTGTAATGCACGGTTGGCGCAAATATACATGTACTAACACTATTTGATACTTGACGCACCCTGTGCAAAGTACACTTTGTGACTTGGAGAGAAGTATTGAAAATCTTGCTCTATTAAAACTTGCACCTTGTTGTACATGAAAGCGATACGTATACATTTTGTAATTAGTTCCGTTGCTTTCTGCTGTGAAATCCCAATGGGACTTTTTTCTCTGGCATTGATTTGCTTGATATAGTTTCAGGATAATCACAATAGCCCTTTATACCTAATATCACCCTGCCATTTTTCTTTACTTTGCTGCAGCCAAATCAATGGAGTGTTTCTACTGCCCGGCCACCTCAACCAGCGAAGACGAATGCAGGAAAGCAGGAGCCATACAGCAATGTACAGTGGGTTTCAATACCTGCTTCACGCAAATCAAATACCAAGGCGAGTGCTCAAACTTCTAATAACCTCAAAATTTTAATTTTACCCCAAAACCATAGTGACTAACTCCCGGTAAAAACATTATTCGCGTAGTTTTGACTGGCGTAACAAATCATCGAGGTTATAAATTGACGTGTTTTATTTACTGTAACATTACCAATATTTAGGCCTATGCGATTTTCAGGTCTTTGTAATAAATATAGGGTGACCCCAAAAATGCAACCCTGAAACATTTGCCTTTTTGCAAAAACGTGATCTATGAATGTTTATGTTTTGGATATCAGATTATAGCTGAGGATGTTTTCTTTCAAATACTGAAAAAATCATGAAGACAGCACATTGGGTTGCTGAGAAAATGCCAATTTTGTAACACAACTCCTTTTTTGGTCCATTCCAATGGCATTACCACAGTTAAGGGATTAGTACACCGTACCTATCTGTGCATGAAATGTATGATGCGCATTATGTCCTATCCCTTACAAACAACACGCACATAATATGACAAGAGTACAAATTCATTTGATGGAAATACCTTTTATTTTCCACTTGAACAGGTATCTCATCCTATTTAGTCCTATTTCAAGCATTCTCAGCATCATTAGTATGTCAAAATATCAAAGAAATTGCACAAATGAAAGCTGTTTGAAGCACCATTGGAAAAACCGAAAAGGACATGTGTTAACTTGGCATTTTCTCACTGTGCCGTTCATGTTTACTTTTAGTATAAGAAAAGACCTCTCAGCTTTAATCTGATATCCAAAATATTACAATTCATAGATCACGTTCTTGAAAAAAAGGCAAATGTTTCAGAGTTGCATTTTTTTGGGTCACCCCGTAGACCATTCGTTTTAATGAATCAACTACGGAGTACCCCTAGCGTCATGTATTAAGACACACGTGTAGGTAACACAAATCCAAATCATACACAGTACTTTTGTTGATGTGTTCCACGTCTGTTTGAGCTCCGACTTACCTATTTGGGACCAAATTGCCAGTAGGGCTTTTTTAAGTAATCAAAGACTTTATGACTCAACACAACTTTAAAGCTTGTCAAAATCTGATGCAAACGATTAAAAAAAACATCACCCTCCAATTGCTGTCCTCCACTTTTGATGCACCTTATAGGTTTATGCATGAATAGGCTATGTTCGCAACTATAAGCACATTCTTATTTACAGGCGGAAGCAACTACCTGCCCAAGACGGTCACGCGAAGCTGTGTGGACGACACTTTTTGTGACGCGGAGAAAAAGACATACAACAATGGCGAGTGCGAAATAAGCGAGGACGACTACGTCTGCGTCTGGTGTTGCCATGACAACAACTGCAACCTCTTGTCTTCTGCTGAAAGGTCAAAGGTTAATCACATTTTGCTATTGGGCGGAGTCGTCATGGTGACATATCTGACCGGTGAAATCATGTGGCACTGGTAGAAGATCCTACCTGGTTTACCCTGTGTGACATTTTGACGGTGAATATGAAGACTTTTTGATCATCAAGTGTTGCGAAATCGCGGTTTTACTTCTTACAAGTCATGAAAGATGTGCGGACATTTTCAGATCATCAAAAGATGATTTGTGCTTGTATAGTGTACATTGTAAATGCTCACTATTGGATGACCTGGATTTGATTAACTTTCGCCGTAAACTGGCATGAGTCCCATCTTGATGGTCGGGATAACTGATGTCATTGACAAGTTTGCCAACTCAGTGCAGAAGAAAGTAGGCCAATGTTAATACAGGAACCCTTTGCGACTAGGCCAAGTCTACTCTTGGTAAACACTGGTTCAAATTCTGTTTGCTTCGTTGTTACAAGCACATCTGTGCATTTTATGGAAAGTGGAAGGACTGGGGATGCTCGTCTCTGACTTCTGAACTAGATAGACACAGGTCCTGTCGCTCATCCTTTCTTGGTGTCGCGTCTGCAACAATTAAACATTGGATGGACTGAAATAACGACGTTTTATATACAGTTGGATGTCTAACTCTATCACTAAGACTGTAGTAGAGATCAATATCTGGATGGAAGATCACTGTGTTTTGATACCCACAACGGACAAAATGACAAGAACTGGTGTCCAATCTCATCGACCTATCTGGCACAAAATGCATCATGAGACACACTGCCATAAATGGTGAACACTGTTCAATCCATGGTTGCAGACCAGTAAAATAATAGGCCCACGCCGGCCAAATCACGGTTTTATACCGTCAGTTTCTGTATTAATTAATTCAGTTTGCCCCGAACTTGGAGGAAGGTTTGTCGGAATGAAGGGTCCGAGTTCTAAATCGGTCGTTGAACTTGAACTGTATTTCTGTGAAATTTGGGTTGAAATTGGACACAAACGTTGCTCTATTATGCGATGGAGTGGAGAGATCCTTTTTTTCCCCAAAATGGTGATGGGTTTCAGGACGTAAGAAAGAGTAAATCAAGCTCTTGTATGATGTATGTCTTGATCATATCACCTGTGAGAGTTGCGAGTATTTCCCCCAATTTTTTGAAGTGGGGTATATAATCATTGGCGCCCATGGGCATATATTTACTGGTCTGCATCCGTAACGCAGGTCGATCTATGCGTACATCATCCGTTTCAGAATAGCGTTCAACAACAGTCGCCTCGACTCAAAAATGAGGCAAACTCCATGTATTTATTGTTTTTCGTTGACCAGGTCATCCGTTGCAGACGCTCCGATCAACTGCAACGGTCGATCTTTCGACGACATGCGCGTGAATTCGTTTGTAACTAAAAACGTCGAACTTTATTGAAGTCTTTATAATTCGGTTCAGCCTGACTCTTGAACGCCAGTCTGGATACCGGATGGAACGGGCGTAGCATCATCGTTTCATTCTGTTAAAAAATGTTATAAATTTGCGAATTTGGAACCTTTTCCTAAAGGATGGTTCCCTTAGCCTCTAATACAGAAGAGTATTATAAGCATAATATACATGTAAATGGCATTTAAACCTTAATTTGTAAAACAAAAGATGTACTTTTATATTCATGGTTAATTCACTCGGCTGTTGACAGCTTTGTATTGAGAATGTATCAGAAAAAAATTGTGCACTGTTACTAGAGTAGTTATGTAGGTGTAGTTCTGTACACCACTAAATGCCTAATGTAAGTTATTTCTACATCAGTCGGTGCAATGTAACACTTAAACACTGCATCCGCGTTTTGATTAAAGCTTATCGCAGAAAACAACAAATTAATAGAAAAGTGCCCTTGAAAATGTTGATGTACATGTACGTTGTGGTACCAAAAAGTCCTTGGTGATTCATTTTGACCGAGCTTATTAATTTCTCATTTCATCTTAATTCCCTGGCAGAAAAAAAATAAAGCAACATCAAGGCATCAATGCTATGAACTGTATTCAAATGTACATAAAGCAAACATCTAAAAAAAAAAACACATCTAGAACTGTGGTTCCTAGGTCGCTTTCAAATACATAAAGTCTCAGTGATACATTAGGTGGAACCAGGGGCAACAGGGTCCCCCCTTAAAGGTTTTCAGTATCTTTTCAGTAGTTAAGAGAACCATGAAGGGCACATACATTGAACATGTTAGTTTGTTCAGGTAACTGTGCAAAAGACTTGTTTACATATTGGCTATTGTTATTTCTGGTAATGAAACCAAGGATTCCTCAAAAGTTCCCCAGGCACTGTAGCTCGCAAACCTGAAGAAACCTGTAGAGAGAAGACAATGAGAAGAAATCACAGTTTTAGATGTGGGAGGAAACCCACGGAATCAAGTAGGGACTGAAAACCCAATCAGCATATGGACCAGGACAGGAATCGAACCCGGGGCCACAGCAGTGGAAGGCGAGGACAGTAACCACTGCGCAAACCTGACTCCCCCAATTAAACCACATAATTTTATAAGCACAATCACTCAGTGTTGTCTGAAGCTTGTGAAAAAAAATCACAAGTTGGTTGGGGTGGGACTTGAACTCTCGACCACCAAGCCTGCACGGGTCAGTTGGCTGCTTAGAATCTGCAGTGGGGACCACAAACAATAACTCCTAATATAAAGCCACTTCCAAAATTTCTGAATACTGGGTTTTTTTTAACTTTGAAGGTAATTTACAACATTTGCAAACATCAAAAAACAAAACTACCCAATTATTATGAAATACCTTACTGGACTGTGAGTGAATACTAGTCTCAAGCATCCTGTGAAATCATGGAACCTGGTGTGCTATCAATTTCACAAAAACCATCGTTGGAAAAAACTGACTTTTTCAAATACTGCCCCCAATTTACCAAATTTGGTTATTGCACATTTTGTTTGCAATCGGTTACAGATCTGCGAACGGGTGCAAGCCAGCTAGTCTGGTTTCCTGACCTGACAATTTTCCGATGTCTATAAATTGCTGTTTCGTCTGAAGTAGGGTCAGGAAACCAGACTACACGAACAGCAGTTTTTTCTTGGTTTGTCCAGCATGTATGAAAACAAACTTTAAACAGGTCAGTGTAACAATACTTGCAATAAAATACCAGCCCCCAAATCCATCCATTTCTGAAAATTACAGCAAAAGCAACTGTTGCACATTACCTTTTAAGTTCCCTAACCTTTCATTTTAAATTGGCTAATGGTGGATGCCATAACATGGCATAACACTCCAAAGTAGCCGGGAATTCTGATGAAAGCAGAGATACAGACGAATTGAATATTTGGAACAACTGGCATAATTGTTCACTTTGACTGCTCTTTTAATAAATGTCTGGTGGCAGAGCTGACAGTGTGGAACAGTGATTTGTAAAAGCAATACAAAAATTAATAATTTATGTACATGTTCTTTGATTCTACACTGATTATAAACTTACATATTGGTATAATGGAGCACCATTTGATCAAATACAAAAACAAGATTTCATGACACCACGGTAATCGCTGACGGAAAAATCTCATGAAAGAAACTACTCAGTGAAAAAATAAGAAAATCCCTGTACAGGGTGAGTCAGAATGATCTGGACCCAAATTAAAGAAAATATTAAAAATATGTAGCAATTATCAAAACCAAGTGCAAATGGAAATGTTATAGGCTGGTATTTTGGACATATTTGGTGAAAGTTCCATGTATATCCATTGTACCATTTTGAAGAAAAGTGCTAGCAAAGAACACATGCTAAAAAAACACTCTGACCACGGTTCCATGGTTCAACAAGTTTATTGAAATCACGTACTGATGAGACTGCATTGTTTGAAATGTGTGTTCTTTGCTAGCACTATTCTTTAAAATGGTACAATGGATATACATGAAACTTTCACCAAATATGTCCACAATACCAGCCTATAACATATCGCATTTGCACTTATTTTGATAATTGCTTCATATTCTAAAAATATTTTCTTAAATTTGGGTTCAGATCATTCTGACTCACCCTTTAATGTCTAAATTTGGTTTGCTGGAGTTAATGGAAATTACCCAGCGGACTCATGTAATTCTAAAATCCAAACATCTTAAATCGAGGGATTCAAGCGAAACGCTTTATGTGCAGTTTTAAAAAAAGTCAAATTCTGGCTTTGGCATCTCTTTAGGCAATACATGTATGTACATAACACAGTAAGAGATAAACAATGATACTAATTCAAGATCGGAAAACTTCAGCTGGTGTGTCGGTATCATGAAAAAAAGAAAATAAACACACAAACAGATTTTAATCCAATAAATTACAAGTCAAATCGAAACCAATTTCATGGCTCTGCTTACCGTTAGCAAAAAAATCCGTGCTTACTGTAGAAGAAAATTCCTTGCTTACGATAAGCGTATTTCACGGGTTAGCAAGGAATTTTGGACTGTGAGCATGCACACATCCCGTAACTATGAATTCCGGGGCCGAGACTGGGGGACAAATAAAAAATCCACAAAATAAATTATCGACAGAGGGTAAGGTGGCTGATGTTTGTATTTGACTAAAGGCGACCCTTAGAATACCCAATATTTTGTTGTACAAAGAGGTAAATACCTTTCAGGTAAAACCTCAGGAATTCCAGCTTTCAAAACGGATTCTTTAAGAATCCTGAAATTAAGACAAATCCTGACCAAAAATCCTGATAAATAATCCTGACTTCTAGAAAAATTCTGATAAATCTCACCCCTGGAATTCTGAGCTTACAGGGTTAGTACAGAATATTTCTGCTAGCGCGGTTAGCACAGAATGGTGATTATAAGCACGGAATTCTGTGCTTAGCAGCGCCATGAAATTAGGACTTAGACTCAAGTAACATGGTGAACAATGAATAACGAAAGTCTTTGTCTCTGGTTATTTGAAAAGATTGTGAATTGACTATAGACTTGATGACTTGTGTCTGACTTGATTACAACTCTAGAAAAAGAAATACAAAACGAGAGATATTTTAAAACATTCCTCTCAGTTACAGAATAAACATGGTTTTGTGCGAATGTCAAGTTTTGAAAAAAATAATGTGTATAGTTATTTTACATCTGCATCTGTTCCAAGTGAACGGAATGATCTAGTGAACAGAATGACCTGGTTTACTTACAACAGTGTAATTTGAATGTTTGTACATAACCTCATTAGACATTTTGTTGTCTTTTGTTTTCTTCACAAATTATCCATAAATTGTTAAGTGTCATCCGAATTGAAACAGTAAAATTCATACATGTAAACTTAAAAGTAACTGCGAGATATGAATCGGTAATAGGGTTGAAGATAATAATTTCTTTTTTTGTCCCTTCTTTTGAGGAAAAAAACACCTTATTTTATCGTTGCAAACTCATGTACTTCAATTTTTTATTGCATTATTATTTGTGAATGATAATTTTTCTTTGATTTTGAAATAAGAAATAAGTTTGTAAAGCACATTAAAGAAAATTGCATTTGTTGAAACTACAAGTCAAGAATTTTTGTAAAATGCCAAGTCAATGTGTTCATTCAGTGCCCGCGAGAGCTGTGATGAATCGTTAAAATCAAATCAACTATGAAGAGCACATACACTTAAGATGGATGTTGATAGAAGATGCATTACTTTTGACAAAGTGCTGTTGCCAAACACAAGTTGTTCATTAATGACACTGCTAATGTTTAACAAGAGAGCAGTGCGAATGGACAGAACCGGTCAGAACTGGTTGCAACCAACCAGAACTGGTTGTATCTGACCTGAACTGCCTCTTTCCGCATTGCTTACATTTTTTATCCTGGATGGTCGACAGTGACCACAGAGTACTTTGCTGTGATGGGCAATGGATTGTGTACTTAAGGACTTGATAATTAATGACCATCAGCAAGAAATGTGGGGGAAAACAGGGTGTGTGCAGAGCTGGTTTTGACTGAATTCAACAGGATAGAACTGGTCGGAACCGGCCACATCCAAGTCCTTTGTGTAGCCTCACTTTACTGACATGGGATGGAAGTGCAAGTAAAACACCACACATAATTTTGCTTGTAACCTTTCTTTCTTGCCAAGCTACATTTGTTCTGCACACAGCCCATGTGCATTTAGCATCTCCAACGAGTTACTATTTTTCTCATACTTGGCAAAAATCAGTTGGGAACCAGTGAAATGCCACAGACAGTACCTGAAATTGTGACTGGTAACCCTTTTTTGACACGCCAAAATTTCGGTGGTGAGCAAAATGCATGAAATTAAGCCCGCTTCACACCTTTCTGATTTTACCTATTCACTGGATCATTGGGCCATCCGTTGCACAGATCGGAGAGGTGTGCGCCGAAAATCGGACCGATCTGATTGTACATCGGAAGACCGGATGAAATCAAACATGTTTGATTTTTTTCGCATTTGATTTCACCAGATCTGACGTCACCGGAAAGGTGTGCCAGAAGCACTCCGATTTCACCGGACGCAATAGTTATGTTAACCAATCAGATTCACAAAGGAAGTCACATGATTCACTAATGACGGCTGCCATTTTGTCATCATGTGATTGATCATCATGTGACCGGTTATAGAACAGAATCGGGCATGTGGGCAGGTTAATGGTGAAAAAAAAAAGACGTATAGGTAATCCAGTGATCTGATAAAAACGGAAAGGTGTGCAGTGGGCTTTAGTTACCTAAGTTTTGGAACTAGGTTTCCAAACCTAGCGAGTTCCAAGTCTCTCATTTGCCTCAAAAAAAACCCCAAACAGCTGCACATTGGTACTGAATTTCTGTCCAGGTTAAAATGGTGCAAAATAGTTTGTTTGCCCCAAACCAAAGTATACCCTCCTTCGAATCTGCTCTGTCCTTCATGTGTCAAAGGTCAATTCATTTAGCAATGTAGAAGAAGATGTAGCCCGTCCTTTCCCGTTCTTCGCGGACTGCTGATTCGGTTATGCGGACCACTTCTGAGTCGTCGTAGCTCAACCAAGAGGACTTTTTACTGTCGTAGACGTCACTGATGTAATGCCCTACCGAGGAGGTACTACCGATGTGACTGACGATACTGGTCAGGCGGTAAGATGACGGTAGGTGACCACTCTTTTTTAAAAAAAAGTAACAACATTTTTTTTAAATTGGCTAGAAAGTGATACAAGGCATTGTGGAGAGAACAACTTTGGAGAAGTTTGTCGAGTCAAGTCCGTCACAAGTCCTTCCGTCTCAAGTCAAGTCAGAGGCTATTCAAATCAAGTGCAACAAAGGCTTTCTTCTGATATTGTTTATGCCCTGTTACAAATGTACTTATGATTTGACTTGTGAATGGACTTATGATTTACTCTGTTCAACTTCACTTCAACACAGGTTGTGGATTCATACAGGTGGTTCTGATAAGTACTGAAAATATCCTTCATTTTCTTAGAACACCTCTTGTATTAGAGATAGTCACTTCACATGGTGCATCTATAGACTTCTTCAGTTAAAAACGGTAGTTATCAGATACTACGTATATATTGAGTTTTATTCAGTTGTACTTGATAGCTATTCAATTGAAAAACCAATAGCATCAGCTGGGCACTATCTTTGTCCAGGTCCGATTTGAATCTAGGCAAATAAAGTGAAATGAGAAAAGACCAAAGCATGATCTGGACCTCGCCCCAGGAAGCACAAACTTTTAGGTGAAAGGTTCAATTTTGCTTTACGACAAGGCAAGTCGGTCACAAAATGTCAGTCAATGAAAGTACTAATCAAATCCTTCAAACAATGGACTCTGTCCTTTGCAAACCCAGTGCATGTGAGCAACCAGTGAGTCGACAAGACTCATGATCAAACATGAACCAACCTCGGCATTCTTGGTCAGCTCTTTCGTCGTATCGTCATCTGATTCATCCTCAATCTCCATCGGCTCAATTGTGTCCTCATCATCTTCAAGACAAGTGAAGCTCTCGGAAAACTCTGCAACGCAACATCACGGTACATGCATAAGGATACCACTTATGGAAGTTATGGCGACATGTACACATTCGGTGTATTCATTAAGAAGTTGTCCATATTGCTGTTAGTCATTGTAAAGTGTTGGCTAAATAGTGTTTGTGAACATTTTGCTAAATATTTAACCCATAAGTACCTTGTATTACATTGCATTATATCCTGATTAAACCATTGCTATGACGTCACACTATTGTTAAAAGTGCGGAATCGGATCTACGAATCTCTTACACTGGTCACAAAGTGTGGATTCGGAACGACGAATCTTTAGTAAAGTGTGGATTCGGAATTACGAATCCAAACTTTGAACATGTCGGACAATTGTTCTCCATCATGCGCATGAATAGGACCGTCTGCGTGAAAATTTGCTTTCCGAAAATTACCAATGCATCTTCACTGTCACATTCGCCGCCGTCACTGCAAAAACTACTGTTAGTCAGAAAGAAATCGTCGTCTGAACTATCCATTTTGACGTAAGGAGCCTATACACACAAAATGACTTAGTTGTACGGGTGTGGCGATACACATGCTAAACACGCCAGGAAACAATGTTGCAACCTGATGCCACTTCCGCGCTTGTGTACAACGTATGGAGTCATTTCAAGTATTTCCTAACAATTTTGGAAACATTTATCAGTCCCAGATTCATTTCTTATCATCATTTTTGCAACGAATGGCCTTCATTGAGATGATATATGAAGAGAAAAGTGGTGTCAGGTTGCAGCATTCTTTCCAATGCTTCTGTTGACGCAATGGTTTAAGTCCAAGAATACACTCGCAAGTGTGGATTCTTAATTTACGAATTCACTCGGCGCTTTGCGCCTCGTAAATTCTTAAATTACGAATCCACACTTTCTCGTGTATTCTCCTTAACTGAATCTATACAACCATGGAACACTAGGGGACAAGTTCTGGACGAGTTGCGGACATTGTATTGGGTATAGTCAGTCAGTCGATTCGTCGACTAAAGAAGGTGTGGCTTGAGATGAGCACAGTATCTGGTATAAGTTACAGGATTCTGAACAACTTCCCTGCAATCTTCCCGCAATTAAGTTATCAGCATGGGCGAGTCAAGCAGTTGCTAATGAAAATTTCCCCGGAACATGTCTGGGACAAATACAGAGCTTCTTCTGGACAAAAACAACGATTCTACCCGCAACTTGTCCGGAACTTGTCCCTGATAATGAAGTGAGACGGGCCATGGTACAGGGACTATGGGTAAAAGTTAAGGTCACAGACCTTGTAAGCTCATCTGCTTAGCTTGTTTCAACGCATCCTCCTCCTTCTTAGCAACTTCTTGAGCATCTAAATAAAAAAAAATGCTTAGAATCAGACGCAAGGCTTTAAGAATGCAATGCAAAAATTGCAACAACTCCCTCACAAAATCTGATTGAAATGACAGGCAAAAACAGGTCTCAAATTTTTCGGGGAGATGACGGTTGAGGGGGATAAGCTCAGATTAAAGCAGTTCCTTTAACTTACGATTTATATCAATGTTTAAAAAGGACTGAAACTTCCAAAGCCTGTTTGATCGACAGTTAAGAGTCTGTGCCATTGATATCAGCAATTTTTCAACATTCTTATATACTTTTAATCAGCAATATTGGGGTTCAATGCTGTCTAAATGATGAATGTACTGTAGATTCAAATTTCAAAATTTAGACTGAAAGCAATTTGAGAAAAAAGCCTTGGCCAATTAAATGTGTCATACCTTGCAAACTGAGCTCAGTTGCCCTCCGCAGCTCCTCATCCTCTTTAGCTTTCAGCTCCTCATAGCTTGGCCTTGCGTCACCATTCACCCCTACTGGCAAAGTGCTGTGGTCCTCGTCCCTGATTATGTCCACAATAGTGGCCTCTAGCAAAGTTGGCTTGACTGCTGAGATAGGGGTGGCTGCCAAGTCATTGTCAAGACAGGAGGAACTTTTGTTTGGAGTCCGCTTGACAGGGGTGAAGAAGTTGATGATGGCTTTTTTCGCCGTGCGCCATCGGTGTGGCTTCGTCCTGTTGCCGTCGAGAAGACATTCCGTGTCGCCCATGAGGTCGGCTTCATTATCACCCGCACACAGAGCATGCTCAGAAGGAGTGCTTTGATAGGACGTCATCCCATCCCCTTTGAACCGCTTACAAGGAGTTCCATTCGCGCGTGAGTCCACACCTAAATGGTCCCCTGATGCGCCCTGTAAGAGGACATTATCCACAGCGTGGATGGCATCACAGGCCCCCCGTCTCTTCAGTGATATAAACTCCTCATCATCGATGTCCGACAAATTTCCTTCGCTCCTTATTTCCTGGGGACTGTCTGGGATATCCTCGCCTAGGGAAGGAGTTGCGTCAGGCATTCGGAGGGGATCCTGAGTGCTGATGGCCAGGGCGTATGCCAGCTGCTGCTCTTCTGACATCTCAGTGATGGGCCGATCGGCGTCCTGTTTGCTCTGCTCCATCGCCTGAGGGAAGATGACAGAAAAACAAGACAATTGTGAAATTGAATCTTGTCCAGTCAGCAGTCGGGGCATGAAAAAAATAATTAGATTAAAAACAACAACAAAATTTTAGTGCAATTTGGTAAATTTACAATGGAATCCACTATTTTAATTATTTGGAATGAAAAAGAAAATGATAAAACAAATTCAAAACAAGAGAATGTAATTTAAAATTATGTATCTCAACACAAGATTCATTAGAAAATTTTTGTCAGCAACTGTGGGAATCTTTTTGGACAAACATTTGAATTTAAGTTGTTCCATATGATAGGAATCAACAGTACAGCGAGCTCAGTTGTTGACTTTACTAGGGGAAAAAATCATTTAAAAATAAAGAGGGATTTGAACCAAGAACCCACAGATTACAAGTGCAGACTTCTCAACTGCTCAGACCCCAGGTTTTCTGGCTTCGACTGGCCTACTTAGGTCTCATACAGCGGAGGGAGAAAGCAGAAAATGACTGATGGCAGAATCGGTACAAGTTTGATATTAGAATGATGGAGGAGATGACCAAACCAGCAACGTGATCGCCGCACTGGGCATGTGTATGACAGGCATAACATTTACACAGGCTTCAAGTTATTGATGGCTTTTGACTGGTGTTGGCACGCATGGTGTATCGATTCCAATCTCAGCTGATCAATCTACCGTAACATAAACGTGATCTTGTTGCAAAATATACAAAGCGATCACAAGTGTTTATTATACAGTTCTAGATTTTGGAACACAAACCGAAAGTTTAATTATCAAGCCGAAGACAATTGCAAACACTGTGACCTTACCATGCCGTCAACCAGCATTTTTTGATTGAGCATCACTATCTGACAAACAAGAACAAGAATTGGAGATGCAGGGGTTGCCCTTAACTTTTTTTTTGACTGGCCAGCCGGACCAGTTGGCTAGAATTTTGACTGGTCCGCCAGGTTTTTGACTGGTCCGTCTTATACAGCGTGTACCCACCAGTTAATCAGTTTCACATAAGTCATAACAAGACTATTGTCATCAACACCCATGTCATCATGTCACCTGAGCAATAGAGGTCTATTTTCTTCCTCCATGATCTGAGGCCGCAAAAAAATATATAGTTCTGCCTCAGATTACATGCCTTTTAAAAATAGGGTCGGTCGGTCGGATTTTTGGGTTTTTGGGGGGCCATTTTTTTTATGCCGCTTGAATGGGGTATTCAATTAGGCCTCAGTATGCGAAGTTTTAGCCTGATTTTATTTTTATTGCACTATGAAAGCTATACACAAAAAGATGGCCACAAAAAGTGAATAAAACCTACCTTAATTAGGCCAAAAAAAATAGTTCTGCTTCCGATTACATGCCTTTCAAAAATAGGGTCGGTCGGTCGGAAATTCTTCTCTTTTTTGCCAATTTTCTTATGCAGATTGAATGGGGTATTCAATTATATGCGAAGTTTTAGCCTGAACTAGTTTCATTGCACTACGAAAGCTATACACGAAATGGCAACAAAAAGTGAATAAAACCAAAGGCTTTAATTTTTGTCAATATATTTACGTTCGATAATTTCAAAAAATAATGGAAAATTCAGGTCGTTCGCACCATATGCACAACGCTAGTCAAGACGCGGGGAGCTGGCCGAAACTCCGAGGTGTGTGATGCGTGCGTGTGTGGTGAGCGGCCCACCATGGGCCGACAGACCCGTTTTTACCGTCAAAAATTTCGGGAAACACGGGGCATGTATCACTCCAAATACGAGTAGTGCGATCTCAAAATGAACTCATGAACACAGAAAATACATACACAGATAAGCTTGATCAATTTTGTAAATTAACTTGCAAAAATGTTCTTTCTCCATCGGTGTTTTCTTGGCATTTTTACGATGTCGAATCCGACCAGTTGACAGAGCACGTGCCTGGCGTCTGCACAATGCATAGCCATGCTAGCGCTGTCAATCGCTACTCCTAGAACTAAAGTATAGTAGTGGAGCCTCATAGATTAAGAACCCCGCAAAATTGTTTTCAGCACAAAACACTAATCAAGTACAAAAACGTCCATCAAAATGCAGAAATTTCCAACAGAACCGCTGCACAGTTTGCCCCCAAACTCCGTACTACACCTCATGACATACTCACAAATTATGCGCAGAACAAATATCGCTGGATTTTGTCTTTTTGGGGGCTAAAATGATGAAAAATATGCCCTTTCCGCACTGAGCCAACCTGACACTTGAAACGTGCACGATGATTTTCGGTTCGCTCGGAGCGCGCCGCGGGGGGTACGGTACAAGCGAAATGATAGTATGCGCATGCGTACAAGTGCTTGTACCGTACCCCCCGCGGCGCGCTCCGAGCGAACTGAAAATCATCCTGCACGTTTCAAGTAGCTCAGTCCGGAAAGGGCATATTTTTCATCATTTTAGCCCCAAAAAGACAAAATCCAGCGATGTTTGTTCTGCGCATATTTTGTGAGTATGTCATGAGATGTGGTACGGAGTTTAGGGGCAAACTGTGGAGCGGTTCTGTGGGAAATTTCTGCATTTTGATGGACGTTTTTGTACTTAATTAGTGTTTTGTGCTGAAAACAATTTTGCGGGGTTCTTAATCTATGAGGCTCTAGGAGTAATCGATCGCATAGCCGTGCACAGACTAGTTACCGCATTTTCATCGTGTCTTCTAAATTGGCGCGGCGGGAACCAGTCATCGCCGCATTGAGCTGGGTTTACGCACATGATGAAAGTCACCGTGACATCGAGTTGCGAAGTAGTCATATCGCGAAGCGAATTTGTAAAAATAACGGAGGTTTCTTTTGAAAAAAATAGCGAATGTAAGTAAGAAACCAAATAAATACAACAACCATTTTTTTGACGCAGATTTTTTTGGCTGGCCAGCCGGACCACTTGGCAAGGTGTTTCAGCTGGTCCGCCGGCAATTCAACTGGCATTTGGCCAGCGGACCACCGCTAAGGTCGAACCCTGAGATGGATGTAATTAGTGGTAGTGCTACAGCCGAACGACTCCCAACCAGAATTTGCTGAACATGGCACCTTCAAACTTTAACCAATTTTGTGAGGCAAAAATTAATTGCAAAGTTTTCCCATCAAGTTTTATGTGGTACAAGTATGACTTTTTAACTGGATGAGTTTGAAGCTCATCAACAACGAAGTTCAGCAACACGAAAATCAAGGAAAAAGTCAAAGTGCCCCATGTTTGCAATCTCCACTACACTAAGAGCGTGCTCAATGTTCAGGAACTTTTACCTTCTTCAGTTCTTCCTCCTCCTGTTCCCGCCTCTTTTCCTTTTCAAGCTCCGCCTTTTCTGCCTCCCTCTTGCTCATCTCCAGGGCTCGTTGGGTCTCATCAGTGTCTGAGTCTGGTAGGCTGTCCAAGAGAATAGTCTGTCTAGGCTGGTTGCTATAACAACAGAAAATGGACCGAGTTACAAAGATTAGACTAAAAAAAATCTGGAATCACTTTATTTTTTATATATTTGACAAGATGTGCATTTGAAACCGGAAGAGAATAAGATTGATAATTAATCAACAGTTAATTTTTTCCCCTGAAACTCAAATTTTTATTTGTGCACAAGAACCTAAAGATTAGAAAAAACCGATTCAAACAGGTTTTGGCCATTCTAATAATTTGTGACCCGTTCCACAAAAAAAACAGGGTATTAAGTCACGCTGTGCATTATCGTGTAATGGCCCACTCAACGTTGAGAAAGTAAACATTTCGACAAAATGTGATTTTTATTTTGTCATGAATGACATCTTTAAAGGGAAAATACAACATTTGTAAACATCAAAAAATAAAACTACCAAATCATTTTGAAATACCTTGCTGGACTGTTAGTGAATGACAGTGTAAAGCATCCTGTAAAATCATGGCACCTGGTATACTGTCATTTTCAAGAAAAGTGGTATTTTTGTATCTATTTCCAACACTGATCGGCCGATCAGCGTTGGAAAAAACTGGCTTTTTTTCAAATACTGGCCCCAATTGACCATCGCACTTGTTTACAATCGATTACAAACCTATGAACGGGTACGAGCCAGCTAGACTGGTTCCCTGACCTTACAATTCCCCAATGTATGTGAACTGCTCTGTTTCTTCTTATATGGAGTCAGGGAACCAGACTACAGGAAAATGATTGTTTTTCTTGGTTTTTATAGCATTTTCGAACCCAAAACCTCAAAAAAGTCAGTGTAACTATATTTGCTATATATTTCCAAACCCCCAATTCCATCCATTTCTGAAAATTACAGCAAAAGCAAATGATGTATATTCCCTTTAATACCTAAAGTTCAGGTTTTTTTCACAGAAATGTTTATTTTGATAAACAAAGTGGGAAAAAAAATGACCATTTTGAGCTTTTCCTGCCCACATCTCTAATAGAGCCAGCTATGTCAAAGCATGTGTTCTCAGTTTGTAATTCAAACTCCAAGGAAGCAATAAATATGCAAATATGTCATATCTCCAGAACAGGAGGGGCTATGGAGCTCTATTATATACCACATGAAAGCCTACGTTGTGGTCTTTCCAACCGTGTATGTAACTCAATTTCATTATTTTATTTTATGTAACTAATGTGTGTGTAAGGTCTTTTTTCTGTTTTTGCATTATGCAAGTACACACAAGAAAATCAATACATACCCCGCATTACTAGCACTGTACTCCAACCGCTTTCGTGAGGAGGAGCTGAAGTTGAAACGAGACGGCTTCCCTGATTGGCTGGTCGCCGATGCATTGCCGTCCACCAGTCCCATAACGGGCCGGAGAGTTCTGTCCCCACTCAGCGGTCGTTGAGGGCTCAGGGACCCGTTGATTAATGACTTTGCCTGAGACGTCGGTCCTTGGGTTGCCTTGGTGCAGTGATAGTGCATGCACAGGTATTTGGGTATGTGAATGCGACGTCGCAACTTGGAATTCTGAACAGCGTCGATGTCAAACCGGTAACGCTTGAGGTGAATGATGATTACCCTGTAGGGTCGATGGTTGAGAGGGGGGATGGAAGTGAGATAAATTACAGCATTGATTAAGGAATGTTTCTTGATTAGTTCTCGGGGAAACACAGAATTGATTAAATGCCTGGGCGGCAAGTGTTCCAAGGACCGCGACAGTCTTCAGGGAAGGTGTTGCCAACACACCAACAGCCAGGACAGATTTACGACGTCAATTTATATTCCGTGAGTAACTGAAATCTGTCCGGATTAGAAAGGTGGATATTTCTTGAGAGGATTGAATATTTTAGTAGGTATCAATGTAATTTGGAACTTTGATCACTTTGTGTTGAGGGTTCAAGAAACTTCTGGAAAATTTGCGAGATTTTTTATTGCCTGTAATCATAAAAATACCGAGAGAGAAAATTAACCCTTTCTTCATTGCACTCTTCCATTCACGTCAAAATTTGTCAAAAGTGAAATCTCTTTTGCGCTGTCCTCCAATATCGGCAACCGAACCAAGTCTTAAAAAGACTCAATTGAAAAAGTTTGTAATGAGATTCGCAGGCCCTTCTAATCTCTCCAAATTTGTACACTTGCAGATAAAACCTCCAATGGATCTAATGTGCTCCAATGTTCACTTGGCTTGTGAGCCAAAACATCCTCCAATGCACTTCACTAAACATAGGTATGTTCAATCGCCATGCACTAAAGAAAGTACGCAAGGCTAAAAAATAACTTCAAAATGTCCAGTCGCTGCAATGAGCAACAGTATGAGCTGTATAAGTGTCTCTATACCTGGGTAGCCTAGTGAAGGTATGAGTGACTGTCGCTTGTTTGCAGTTGCACTCACTGCATGCGTACTCAATGACTTCCGCTCGGAAGAACTGCTCCATTGCTGTCTGAATAGATCCGATGGGGTTGGAGGAACTGTAAAAAGGATTCAAAGCACACGGTGGACCATGAGCTCAAACAGCCAAATACCTTTGGGATTTGTAATTTATTTTATCATCAATGACTGGGCTCCTGACACACCTTCCTATGCATATGCAAATAGATGAAATAACTTCTCTGCCGTGGTGACCAATGAAAGAATTACACTAAGTTCATGAATATGCATGAGGTATATAAGTTTCTCATCCCCCTTGCTTTCTTTTGCATGCCCGCCTCCTTGTTTTATATTCATACATTTGCAATACATTTTGCAAGATTGTCTTTTTAAAGTTTCCAACAAAACTGTAGCTATGTAGAAAGGAGAACGGCTCCTGTGGACACAATTTTGTATGAGAAAAAGAGTCAAGAAAATGGAAGAATCCATCCGCCATCTTGAAAAAGCCGCCATCTTGGAAAAGCCACCATCTTGTGGGAAAAAGGGGTGGGGCAACTTTTTTTGTATGTGTAAAAAACACAAATGTGCAACTATTTTTTTCCATCATCCTAAATATTGCTCACATAGATCTCTTCTGGGCAAGTCCAATGACAAGTCATAGAACTGGGCTGTCTTTGTGACCAATGAGAAAAGTGGGTTTTGCTCATGAATATGCATAAGATGCATCACTCACCTTCTTCTGGGCATGTCCAGCGACAGGTCATAGAACTGTTCTGCTTTTGTGACCACCTCCCCGCACTGCTTACAGACGATGGAATGCATGACCTCAAACTCAAAGTTCTTGACTACGGGGCACGGGTGGGCATCCTTAGGGTCCTTCTGCCCCTCTGTCTGTGGGGTGTCGCCGGGAGGGGTGTCTTGTAACTTCTGCTTTGCCTTCTCCCAGTCATCCTTGAGTTGGTCCAAGCACTGGCAGAGAAACTCCTGGGCGTCCTGTGGATTTTAAGAAGTCAAGTGTTAATCCTTTTAGTCACTGTACTGCCCGAAACTGCCCTGCCTATTACTCACTGTAACGGCTGAAACGGCCTAAGCACTCTATGGGTTAACTGATTTTTCAGTGATATACACAATGTGATACAATGTAGCACTAACCTGGGCCAAATTGCTTGGCTCTGCTTACCGTTAGCCAAAAATCCCTGCTTACTGTAACAGAAAATACCGTGCTTACAGCAAGCGCATTTCACGGGTTAGCGAGGATTTTTTACTTCTGCGCATGCGTACATCCCATAACTAAGGATTCTGTGCTTACAGGGTTAGCGCAGATATTTTTTTCTGCTCACGCAGTAAGCACGAAATGGTGATTGTAAGCGCCAAATTCTGTGGTTAGCAGAGCCATGAAATTGGGCCTTGACAGTTAGCAAAACAATTTTCGACAACAATGGATGGAAAAAAAATATATATAAAAGTAACAGAATTGGGGAATTTAAGAGATATATAGCAATGCACCTCTAGCCTGGATTTGGGGTTTCAAATTCTGTGCATTTTGGATGCAATTGGGCCTGAAAGTGGGGTTATTTAGTTGTGGAGGGATCCTTTTTCAAGATTGCTACTTTTCCAGTTTGGGAAACATCACTTGCTTTAGGGGTGGTCTTCTTTGCGTGAGAATTTCTCAAAAAGTCAATGGTCAACCCACCACAAATTGAAAAGAAAATGAAAGATGACACATTGATCATCATTTTTCTGTGCAGCTTGTACACCTGTGAGAGTTCTGAGCATATTTAAAAGAATTTTGAAGTGTGGGCATTTATCACCAGTGTCTATGGGAATTTTTATACTGGGGTGCAGTGCACCCTTCATTGCTACCGTAGAGGGGGCCCTTGTCCATACTGCCTCAAAACACCTCAGAAAAAAGTCTTTGAACTCACGTGCTGCATGAAGCCAGAGAATCGATTAGCCGTGGAGGATATCGCCTGCTTGACTCGTCGCAGCTGGGTGCCAACCCTATCAGGTGACTGGTTCCGTTGCTTGGCAAAAAGCAGGGAAGCTAATGCCCTAATAATAAAAACATGTGCCAAATGAATATTCATTATGCCTTATACATATTGATGATGGTGTACAATAAATATATAAGCCAATGAAAATTATTCATTGATTCATTCTCTGGTCTCTATTAATTCAATTTCCTCGCGACCGTTCTCTTCAAAGATTCTGAGTGAAGTTTAGTTTGATTAGTGAAATACCCATAGAGTCTTTTAGTGCGAGTTCCCCCATAGTGTGTCTTTTTTCCAATTACAATTGCACAATTAAAATATAAACCCAATTAGGAATTATTATTTGTAAATATACAAGAATGGAGATAAACAAGTATTAAGCACATCTAATTGGAACAGTCTCCTGACGATGCCTAGAGCAGGCTAGTTAAAACATTGAGACCAAAGACAAGTTCTTTTAGAACTTAAAGCAGGACGGTTCTTATCAGAACTAAAAACTACTGAGCGAAAGTTGATAATAAGCAGGACAAGTTCTTTTCAGAACTAAATATCTACTGAGCGACAGTAGTTATTACCACATGGTGTTACTGCAAACCGAAAGGATACTTATTGGAATTATGGAAATCTACTCTTAAGACAAATAGTTTATTGAGGATTTCGAGGTAATTGGAACTGTTCTTACTTGTAGAGACTATCTCTCTGCATGTGTGACAGGAGGTTTCCGTTTAGTATGTCCATTGTGAAGCGATCCAAGGCAAACAGGGACTGCAGGATGGCATTCATGTAACAGGTGTTACCTAAATTAGAAAACCTGTCAAGAAAAAAAGGACCAAGAAAATGAAAAATGAATATGTAAACTTTTTTAAAACGGAAACCCTATTTCTTGGTTTGTTTGTTTTTATTTGACAACCTCCACTGATGTCTTACAAAGAACAATGAACACAACATTACCAAATTAAATGAAAAACAGACTTTAATGACAGAAATACAGAAATACAATGTGTATCTGAGGCATTGTCAAGGATAACACAAGAAAGCTAACAATGGCTTGTTTCCATTGTGGTCCTCTTCAAAAGTACAGCGGTTTGAAATACAAGAAATTAAAACTTAGATGAAATTAAAACGGACTAGCACAGTAAGACATTGTATGTCTGAGGCACTATTGAGAACAACACAAAAAGACAGTGGTTTAAAATACCTTCATAAAAAGACAGAGGTTTAAAATACCTTCAAAAAATAAATTACCAATTGCACATGAAATTTAGGCAGACGAAATTCCGAAATTTAACAAGGTGACTTCAAGTACTACGGAAAGGTTACTCTGGGATTTTTCTCTCAGTGTTCGGCATCAGGCTTCAGTTTCATGATTTGAGTCCCCTTACTTGATCGACTCCCTTACAATATTGGTCCAGTTTCTGCTAGCGAGACACCAAATTCTGTTTACACAAGGCCAATTAGCCTATTTTGGATATGGCAGACACAATAGGAGGCCTCTGCTTGGTTTGGGTAAGTCTTTTGTATTTACCCAAACCAAACAGCGCCTTTGTATTGTGTCGGCTGTCCCTCAAATATGTCAATGGTTGGTGTCCTCTCATTGGGTATTAACGTAGCATGATTTGTATGACTTTTGGGCTGGAAACAAAGACAAAGCTGAAGAAAAAAAACCAGTTGTTTTGTTTCTGGTAATTCCAAATGAAGTCCAGCAAAGGTCCCCAATCGGACAAATATCGGACTCACCCTTGTAGGGATAACTGAGATGTCTTGACGGCCGTTGGGATATTTCTCTGGCTCCAGCCCATGTACGTATTGCCTAGGCACGGCTTCTTGGGCCGGGGTAGGCTGAGGAAGCCTGGAGTCCGCTTGATGGCTGCAGTGGTGTTGATGTTGGTTTGCCTGAAAGATTGACAAAAGTACAAGCCCTTTTTCCTAACGGAGCTTTCCTGAATTCTCTCAAATCCTCCACCGTGCAAGAAACTCTCACATTTGTGGTATTCCAACTTTTGAGGAGATTAAAGCCCAATCAAACATTGCGATACTAATACAATTTTTCAAAAATACCTTCCATGAAAAAAAAATCTTAAGGGCTGTACAAGCATTACAATAACAAATAAGAAAAATTAAATAAATCAATTAAAAAAGGTAAATAAATAAATATAAAGTTAAAAACATAATCAATTGTTGGTAGGCTGTACCCAGGTACTTAATTATGCAGATTTTGAACAGGTTATATAAGTTGAGGAAAGAATGTTGCATTCTGACGCCACTTTTAGTCATTGAAAAAATGTTGAAAAGACATGAATCTGGGACTGAAAAACATTTCCAATTTTGAAAATACTTTGAAAATGCACTCGACTCTCCATAGACTTTGTACACAACCAAAGAATTGGTGTCTGGATACTACATTCATTTCAAAGTTGATAATATTTACAATTCTCTAATTTGGACCTAGCGCCGAGCTCCGAGTGCCCAAAAGCCTGATTTTCTTTGATTCATTGTGTCTTTTTCCTTGGGTCAAGCCAAAGATTTGAGACTGCTTTAAAACAACTTCCATACCTTGGCTGTAGGAGTGCATCTGTTGCGGTATATCCAGCAGCTTGGCGGCCTCTGCTGTAGAAGGCCTGCACACCAGAGACAGGCTTTGGAGCAGCTGATAGGGGTAACAAAATTTGACAGAATAAATTGAATTTGTTACTAACAATCTGAAAAACGTGACAAATAGACACCATGCCCAGGCAGTAGATAGGGCTGTCTCGAATATACGGAATACTCAAATATTCGATTGTCAACCGAATATTGGAATAGCTTTTGGCCGGTTTGAATATTCAAAAACAAAAAAACTACGCATGTACACACATGACTGTGAGGTAATTTTATCCTTTAAGTGGCAGCACTTTATTATCAGGTGCCACTTTTTTTGGTCTACGGTGATGTTTTTGTAAACAGCAGTTCATTGTTCACATCTTTGTAGCAGGTTAAAGAGGTTGTGGAATGCTCGAAGACATTTCCGTCATTTTTCGGGTTTATGTAGCCTAAGGTATGATGAAATAAAAACGATTATTGTGTCTGTCATGAAATGAGTACAAAAGGTACTTTTGAGAGCTGCTTTTCAGGTCCTGTTTCGACCCGAACGTGCAATTTGTGTACAAGTCGTCGTTGGGGGCAGCAAACAAAACATGGTAAATCGTGACGTAATAAACAGGACTCGTTTATACTATGCTGCATCGGGAGTGCTGTTTATTACGTCACGATTTACTATGTTTTGTTTGCTGCCCCCAACGACTACTTGTACACAAATTGCACGTTCGGGTCAGAACAGGACCTGAAAAACAGCTATCATAAGTACCTTTTGTACTCATTTCATGACAGACACAATAGTCGTTTTTATTTCATCACACCTTAGGCTACATATACCCGAAAAATGACGAAAATGTCTTCGAGCATTCCACAACCTCTTTAAAGCCCTTTTACAGTTATAAAGTACTTACTACACAACACTCCAGTGACCCATATCGATCGCCGCATGCAACTTTTAACTGGCACACTCTGTGTACAAATTTTTACCGGCGCAGCACATAGTTGCAGCTGGCAGTTCTGAATATCCAAATATTCGGTCAAATGCAGTTTTGAGTAATCAAATACTAAATTATTCGAAAATGGACAACTCTAGCAGTAGGTGGCGTTTTTTTGGTTCATTTTTTAAAGCTTCGGTGGTGGGGACATACCGCATGCATACTGGTTCGTTGTATATCACGAAGTACGTATGAGCTAATTTTTTTCGAAGTATTTTTCTTAAAACGCACCGTTGGAAATTTCCGTTAGTAGATGTTTTTTTTATTCAGCGAAGCGTGTGCAAGCGTGGACACGACGCACACGTGCGCGTGGTTTTCGACTTATTTTTTAGGAAGTTGTATGAAACAATTTTTTTTTGGACAGAGCTGGGGGGGGGGGGGGGGTTTGACCCCCAAAACCCCCCCTCTGGATCCGCGCCTGACATTCAGGCCCAATTCAAAACATGATTCAGCAACTTTAGATTTGAAAACGAGATCCTAGAATGTTGTTTTTCTCAAAATATACAGCTGAAACTGAGCTGAAACTTCATCAGGTTAGTTGTTCAGCACCCTCCTTTAGATCTTGAGCACTTTTGTTGCTTCAAACGAACAAAATGCACAAATTACAAATGATGGACTGTATCATTAATGGGGTAATTGGGCACAGAGTACATAAGCATAAGCAAGTTCATTCAAAGACCACTGGTCAACGAGTTGTTTTGTGACATATATTGTGCCTGCACATATAATGTATGAACGTGAACTTGACCAGGAAAGACATCCAACACCACTCACTGTTTTCCTTTCTCTCCTCAAGCTGGAGTTGTTTCTCTTGAAATGAGGACAAGAAGACTGACCCGCCCTCTTCTTTCCTCATCTGTAACGCACTCTTACTCCTGCTAGCTCCGCCCACTTTAGGGATCCTTCAAGAAAAGAGTTCAAATAGATTAGTAGTCATACTTTCTTCAAAAAACAATTCTGGTATCCCAAATTATAATCCAAATAAGTATATAATTAGGCCCCCCTTTATTTAAGGCTTGCGTCACTACACAATATGTGGAATATAGCCAGAATGTGTGATTTGTCTTCAAACGAAATTATCTCGTTAAGTGAATATATTCGCCTCTTTTTATCTTGTCGGAATACAAAAAAGTACCTATAACCACGAAATCACCACATTTAAAGGGTTCATAAATTTTACTTTGTACTCCTTTTCAATGTATGAAAACTATTTGACATCCCTTTTTGGTTAAATTGATGGAAAAAGTTTAAACATTTTCAATTGTTCAGACAACTGAGGGCGCTGTTGCTGTGATGTCATTTCAGGAATTTTAAAGACACAGTTCAGTTTAGGGGTTTTCTGTTCCAAATTGTGAACACAAACCTTTGCTCAATGAAGAAATTTGTGAGAAAAGATCGCTATTTGGCTTATGCTGCCATGTACTGATCCATTAACGAGTCACCAAAGAAAAGAAAATTGACGACAGCAAAATATCTACAATGCTTGCAACTTTTGGTGCTAAAATGACTGTAACTCTGAGGTTTCTGCCTGAAATGACATTACATGTTTGCTCATGAAAATTGAAATTTGCATTAGCATAAAATCCAAAAAGGCACTTAAACGAAAACTGAAAAGAAGTTTAATAGGACACAGAGGTGAATTTTCAAGGACTGCATTAAAAAAAATTACATTGCACGGGCTCTTTAAAAGTAAAGGAGACAGGTTCATTCCAAGCTCAGAGATGTTTCCTTAGGCCAAAAAAAAAATAAAGAAAGAAATTCTGTTTCCGATAACATGGCACTTGAAAATAGGGTAGGAATTTTTTTCCTGGCAATTGGTTTTTTGTGTGTTCGATCATATGAAGGTGTCTGCTTGTAGTCAAGGGTAAAATGCAGAAATTGGTGGTTTTCAGGTTTTTTCCTCATTTTTCCCAATAAGAAAATTTGGGTAGGGGCTGTCAGAATAGGGTAGGTAGGGTAAACGGAAGCAGAACTAATTTTCTTTCGGCCTTATATAACTTTTCCTGACCTGTAACTTTTCCCGTTGGTGTTTTCCTTGTCTAAGTCCCCCTGTACATCCGTGAACAACCACCCATGCGGGTCCGATGAGTCATCGTTGCTTCCAGGGCTTTCCTCCCCTTGATTCTCGCGGTTCCGGTTCGGTTCCGTCTTGACCAGCCCCTGGGCTGCTCGGTTCGGTTCCGTCTTGACCAGTCCCTGGGCTGCTCTGATGTGGCTGGGGGTAAACATGGGATTGGGGGAAATTCTGCCCGTAGTAGGCTTAGGGGTGGAGGGTTTTTGGGGCGTGAATGGCGTGGAGGTTCGGGGGACAGCTGGAGGGGCTCGGGATTGAGGAGTTGTATTTCCCTGGTGGTTGACTTGTGAGTTCCTTAATCCTGGACTCTGTAATAATAAAAGTAATAATTATAGTGGGTATTTATAAAGCGCACGTATCCACCAGGACTGGTGCTCAAGGTGCTACATCATTATTACCCCTGCTCACTGGGCCCATGAAACATATGCCAAATACCATCTCAACTCCCTGGGTAGTATACAACTCGATGATGCTGCCATTTCGGCACAAGCAGGTCAACCACACTACCCATGTCTGCCCTCACAGGCACCCATTTACTCCTGGGTGGAGAGAAGCAATGAGTGACAAAGTGCCTTGCCCGAGGGCACACGCACCATGACCCAAGGCTGGACTCGAACCCACAACCTGCAGCTTTACCCGCAGACCACGAATTCATGTTTATGATGCTTGAGAAAATGCAATTTACACCATAAAGCTACACTTATTGAGCTCTAAGCTCACTATACACACTTGTATTTTGCTGTATTGACGCACCGATGTGGTAGTATCATCGTGCGGACCTTTATGAACAATCTGAACAGCAACGTCCAAGATTTAAATTTTGGGGTTGGGATTCTTTAATGGGTACCCGGGTATTTTTCAGTTGGGTACCTGATTCCTGTGCTACCCGTACATGCACACTCCTGGTAGTGGTAGAATCTGATGAACCTACAAGTATGTGTACTGAATACAGGCCAACTAACTTGTCAGACCAATATGACTGAACAATGGACAAACAAACTGACAAACAGACTGACCAACCAACCGACCGAAAGCAACTACAGAGGAATAGTTTCAACCTACTTGCTTGAGTGGGGTGTATGCGTTGGGTTGTGGTGAACTGAGGCTCAGTTGTGCTGATGTGTTAGGCCTTCTATCTGTAAGGTGATGACGGACACAACATTAAAAAGTTGCAATTTGACTAATACTGATAATCCTCATAGTCCTCTTGCTGCAACTATCTTAAGCGTTGCATTATGACCTTTTTTCACAGAATTATGCTCCTGTGTTTAACGGTAATATACAACTTTTGCTTTAGAAGTAATTTTCAAAGGATGAGTTTGGGGGCTTAGTATTTTATAGCAAATATTGTTATTTATTGTAAATAAAGTTTTGTGTTCATAGATGCTGGAGTGCCCGCTCCTGTGCGTCATGTCAACGCTTGCGTGCACACATACACGGACTCGCCGAATTACAAACCAACTGCTAACTAGACGCATGTCCATGGAGTTTAGTGCCATTACTATCTTTAAACCAAGTAAGCTTTTCAACGATAATTTCGTCAGTTACTTCTTGGATAGCTGCAAATGATAAACTCTACCTTTAAGTTATAGATTGTCGGTCTCATACACTTAATCTGTCTACCCTTTGTCAAATGGACACCCACCTCTCTTCCGTTCTTCGCGCAAGTCGTTCAGCACGTCAGCGAAGCGAGCAACATCGCCAGGGGGGTTAACATGAATGATTTTTCCGTTGACTTTGGTGGTCCAACTAATGTTGGCCCCATTGGCAAGACTGATGCTGCATCGGGGTACATTTTGATTGAAAATCACTCCTCTAATCTGATTGGTCACCTGAGGTTCAAGAAAGAATACAATTGGTCGACAGGGACAAATGTGCAAATAAATATGTAAAAAGGAGCCTTGGCAGCCATGGTAGTGGTGCAGTGCTTTTGTTCTGCAGATGGACAAACAAGGGACTGCTTGTTCATTCTGTTACTAAATCGAAAAGACAATGAACATCTTCAAGATTACTAATTTTTGCAACAGGTCTAATGGTCTATATCCTTATATTAACCCTAACTGCCCTGAATCCTTCAAAATCCTCTTTGCCAACGTGAAGGAATTTGGAGGATTGAGGTTACATGTACATGGCAAAAGTGCGTTACTGATTTTGTAGGATGCACTTTGTCAAGGTCTTGGGCCGGACCTTGTGTTGTTTTTAATCAGCCATGCATAAATATAGGCCTGGATTATGCTTGAAATCCTCCGTACTGCTCCAGGATGTCACTGGCCAAGCCTCAACATATTGACAGTCACTGCCGCAGAATTTTGCAGGATTCAGGCAGTGGTCACCCCTCCACAGACCATATTCAAGAAATAATGGAGGAATTTGCAGGATTGAGGCTATATGCTATTTTTCCATGAGGCCAATTGAAGGATTTTGCAGGATTGAGGCTACATCCTAGCAAAAAGGCCTAGGGAGTTAGGGTTAATGTAAGCCTGTGTCAAATCAACATTGAAAAGGGTTGGGGATGGGGGAATGGGGGGAGTTGGGAGAGAGGAGGGATATAAATGCATGTGTTTACGAACGTAAGTAAACGATATGTTCAGCTACCAATAAGTTATTTCAAAATTCAAAGAAACTGATGAGGATGGTGATGAATGCTTCTTCCTCACAATGTTGGTGCCAATGTTTGCCTTGTCTGACGAGACCCACTATCGGGGACTGGTCTTCCAAAATGTGTCCATGATGTGCTCAACATAGCAACAACAAGCAGTGTCTGAAGCGAGGGCGCTGTTGACGGTTTTGCTCCATGCGTTACCGTCGTGATCCTGTGTGGCACGTATGTCGCGAATGGACAGCTATGATGGGGCAAATTTGGCTCAATTGTATTGAAAGGGTTAACTTGAACATACCACAAATTTTTTGGAGGGGCCAATTTTGAAATTGACCAAGCAGACCACCTGTCCCGTTGGCGTAGTGGCTAATACTAGGTTGCCTGTCTTCCAACTAGTCTGGCCGGTCTCAATACTGGTGTACTTGACACTTCCTCCCACCGTACACAGCGTCTCGTGGATACCCACAAAGTTAGCCATGATTGGCCGTTGGGGTGATTAAGACTATTATCTACAGAAAGAATAGAAACAAAATATTAAAACTCTAGTGACAACACATTATTCATTTTTCAATGTTGTTTTCCCAGATCATTACAAAATCACGACAACGTTTTTGTTGGTTGTTTTCTGGGATTTAAATTGTTTTTTTCTTCTTCAAATACTTAATTTTTGTTAAAACAATGTACATCAACGGAATTCTTTTAGTTACGCAGTAGTTACTTTTACGGCTATAGTTATTAAACTGCAACATATCACCGGAAGTCTTTACAAGGTTTTCAAATTCCTAGTGATAAAATTGCTTCGGTAGCTCAATATGATAGAAGTGTGTTTGGAGGGCCAAATGTCAAGGGTCCCAATCTCGGTTAATTGAGGTTTTTAAGTTTCCCAAAATACAGATTTTCTTAATTTTATTGTTTTTCAATCAAATCCTATTTTTTATTGAAGAAGGCCCACATGTAATTTTTTTTCTGGTTCATGAGTCTGTAGGTTTTAAAAGAAAGTAAAGTCCGAGGACTTTTCGGTTGACCATGCATGTTCTCGCACCCAGCACAGGCCATGACGACAGCAGACTGTATCTTGTGTCCAACGGTCACTTATACAAAAACTACTTCTTTAATTAAGGAACATTAAAATTGTCTCATTAAAATTGTGTACACTACTTTTTTTTAAGGTTTGAAAACCACTTTTTGTGTCAATTGACAGAAGACTTAAATCTGAGCTCATAGCTGTTTCAATTCTAGAAATCGGGTAAGGTATTATTACTGTGATAAGACCATTACAAAACAAGTCAGGTGTGTTTACAAACACAAATGTCCCGCAACCGTGACTGTTCCCATGACATGACACCACTCTTTTAACATCAACTTACCGATACATGTACCTGGGTCACATGGAACGTTCATTGACATCGTTATTGTTTTCTGTTGGTAAATTAATCCCTATGATCTCGGAATAATTATAATGTATTTTGTTTGCTTTTCTTTTGGGAAGTCATTGTACAAACAAGCTGAATTAAAAAACAACACAGCTGTATATAAAACAAAATAAAAGATCACATTTCAATTTTATACTGAACAAGATTTCTATTGTTTTAGCCACTATGACCTTGACCTTTCATCTTTTGGCCCCAAATGCAATAGGTTTCTTAGGATTACCAAGAGCAATCTACAAACCATATTTGAAGTTCATAGTTCATACGTCAAGTAGGCCTATTTCTCCTATCGCGCTGACAATATTTCTATTGTTTTAGCCACTGTGACCTTGACCCCTGACCTTTCGGCCCCAAACGCAATAGTCTTCTTAGGACAATGCACAAAACAAATTTGAATTTTGAAGTTCATATGTTAAGTATTTCTCAAGTTATCGCGCTGACAAGATTTTTTCTGGACAATGCACACCCCACCATGCCCACCCACCACCCACCCGGGCATGTGTGCGCGCTGGTCCGTGTGCGGTCCAGCATTTTTACGACTAACGTTAAGCATGCTAACTTGGTTACTCTTCTTACATGTCTTACAGCAAATATTCTTTACTTCGTCCTGTCATTAGCTACGATATTCGACTGGCATATACGTTGACTGCAACAAAATCAAACTGTGTCATCCTACCGTTTTCTTCAACAGCGACAGAAACAAATCATCATTTCAGTCGAAAGCGCAGCCATTTTGAATTGGCGCGAAATCGTTCAATGTTTATTGAGGGCGCTATAATACATCCACGTGTGAAGAAAAGGAGACACTGCGATCAAGTGGTGGCGCTGTAACAATTATGATTAAAGTACATGAAGGCAAAGTCCTGTCGTTTATCTCAGTCAGAATTCTCAACTTTATGTCAAGAGAAAATTTGTAGAGTAAGTAAGCATGTGTTATGTAGTAGTAGGCTAATTTTGTAAACATTTATGTTTAAACATAACTCTCCTAAAAAGGCTAAAGTCCTATCGTTTATCCTATTCCTAGCTTGACCTTGTCCTTGAGTAACTCCAGCTGAATGTCCGACAGGTCGACCGTTGAGACAACTCGACTCGGGACAACTCGACCGTTGAGACTGCTCGACTTAATGGAAATGAATACACGTGGAGCAGAAAAAGTTGCACAAATCTGTGGCAAGACCGATCACGGGTGCGGCGCGGGCATACTCGATGTACAGAGGGCGTCGCATTGGGCCGGTGCGCCCCGCCCGCCCGCGAGGACCGGGCCGGGCCTGGCACGCGGGCACGTCGACCAGCGCGGCAAATGGGCGCACAGGCCCGGCACAAACGATGTCACCGTGCACGGTACGGCCACGTTGACCGACCGGGGATGAGATAAGTGGGCGCACAGGGCTGGCAAAAACGATGTCACCGTGCACGGTACGGACAAGTTGACCGGCAGATGGGCGCACAGGCCTGGCAAAAACGATGCCACCGTGCACGGTACGGCCACGTTGACCGGGGATGCGCGCAAGTGGCCTTGAAAAAAACAACGATGTGCACGGACAATCACGCTGCGCTATATCAGCTCTGTTATATGCAACAAAAAAACTCATGTGTCATCACTCCCAAACTGCGATCAGCCGCCGTCAATATCCCCGGTACTATCCCCGAAACTAGGCCCAAAACATGCGAGGCGACTTGTCTCAACGGTCGACTTGTCTCAACGGTCGACTTGTCTTTTCATTTATCGCACATACGGTCAAGTTGTCTCAACGGTCGAGTTAGTTGTCTCAACGGTCGACTTGTCCCGAGTCGAGTTGTCTCAACGGTCGACTTGTCTGACCCCCCTCCAGCTGACATGTTAATTCCATATTCATTCACATGTAGCTGACATGTTCCACATTCATTCACATGTAGCACTGGAGGAATAACCTGTTCGTTTCCATGTGGTAGCAAGAGACCCAAAAAAAACCGGCCTCTCCTCAAAATTGTCCAAATTTCACCTCTTTTATCCCACCCCAGAGTTCATTTACATACATTCAGCAGTCATTTACGAAGCCTAATGATCGACTTGAAACAGACCACACAAAAAAAGAGTGAAAAATCTTGACGATTTCGGTGGCTTGTCCGTAAAAATACGCCAGTTCCAACGGCTGTCTTCCATTTTGTTTTACTAATTATGTAAATGTATGCATCACGTGATGACATCAAAAAAATCTGGGCGCGCGATGTATGTGGGTACCACACCGCTTTCAGGCGTCGCAAGTGAGTTCAATTTTCGTCTGGTGCGTTGCCGTGGAGGGCATTCTCGATGTCTTGCTTTCCGCGACAACGCACACCTTGCTACCACATGGAAACGAACAGGTTATTCCTCCAGCGCTACATCATGTGAATGAATATGGAACATGTCAGCTGGAGTTACTCAAGCTACGTTTATCCCAGAATTCTCAACTTTTTGTCCAGTGAAAATTTGTTGTTAATTATTATAGCCTCTAGTCCTACCCCCATAACTTAACTATGGGTATAGAGGGTATGCACGGCCGTTTTCCCACTTACAAACATATGGAGATTTGACCTCAGTGAGGTCAATTTGTGCATCTGTATAGCCTCTGATGACGTCATACATGTCATGCATGGACCTTATTTGAAGAGTTACTCACCCTCTGCTTGCTTTTCATTGACTTGTGAAGTTGTGACAGAAAAAATGTGTGACTGGTTCACAGTATATGAAATACTTCGTAAATCATAACATCCCTTTTTTTCTTTGGTTCGAGTCTTTGATTTTCTGTAGTAGTCTGTGTGTCTAAAGCTACAAGCCTTTTGACTTTAAACATTTGGTCAGGATTTGGCCAAACATGCCAAATCCTGACGAAAGGTAATTAGAAAGGCATTGTAAAGTCCTAGTTACCATAGTTACTAAGACTAGATTTTTCTGATAAAATAGCATTTTTTAACTATAGCCTGGAAAAACAAGTAGTTTATCATTGTAAAAAGTGATCTGCTACCTGACGCAGTCTTTAATTTCTAAAACTTTTTTTTTTTTTTTTAATAATTTTGAACAATATCGTGTCCTTCCCAATATTGAAAATTGTGTCAGGAAACCACATTGATTCTGACATTGTTGTTTGTACACATTTACAGTGATACGCTGCACCAAGTAGACCTTGATGGATGCCTCAGTCTTGAAGTTTGAGTGCCACAGTGAGGATGATGGGTACAACAACGCTCAACTTGATGGCAACATCAACGAATGTGATAGTCGAAGTGATTCTGATCATGAGGCACTGCATTCTCAAGTAAGTCTCTAGAGTAGTCCGACAATTTCGGACTCTCAATACTGTGTATGACTATGAGCATCCCAAAACTTAAGGTACTGAAAACATTCAGTGCAAGAAAATAGACTGGCACCTTAAAAACAACCAGTCCAACACCCGTTTAGTACTGCATCAGCCAACTGTGTCAAAAGAAACCTGTGGTAGTGGCTCCGGTCTGTCTTTCTACACATTTTTCCATAGTCTGTCACCAGACTACTGGAAAGGTCAGTCTTTTTAAACAGTTGGACATGTACCAGTCTAGTCTTAGGCTTAAAATATAAATCACTTGGTTCATTCTCAGGTGCATAATATTCCAGAAAATGTCTCCTTTAAAAATTGAAAGGAGACTTTAAACTTGGCTGGTGAAATACTGAGGACTTTGTCTTTATTTTAAAAAAAAAAAAAGACCGGAAATTTTCCAGTTACCCTCTAGTTATCAGTTTCAGGAAGTTGTGAGTCAATAAAAAAATTAACTTACTCATTTTAAAAAATAAAATTACTCTGATAAGCCAATCAGGTAAACAATTCCACAGAATGTTTGTGCAATTAATTGTTTGTTTCAGATATTCACACAATGCATGCGTGCAGTATCAGTTTCCAGTGGAAACAATAGTCAGTCTTCGGTGATGGACAAGGGACTTGGTGAACAGACAAATGCGGGAAATTCCAGGGTGAGTGCTCGGCATTTTCTAGATTTATACTGATTGGGCAATTCTGGTGTTGTGAAAGGAAGTATCATATCCATGACAGAGCCAATTAACCATGATATCTGATTTTTGACTCGGAGAAAAAATCCAAAACTCATAGTCTGTAATCTCATTGACCATTACGAGATTCTAGATAATGGATGTATAAGATTTGAACAATACATTTTCAAGTTTAGTCACTCAGTTCAGAGCTGTGGATCTGAGTCTGTCTTTCATGGTTATATAATTTTATTTATGGAGTCAAGTGGCGTAGCTGTACTTTCTTGCTTTCCACCACTGTGACCTGGGTTCGAATCCCGCCCTGGACACATGTTGATTGAGTTTTCAGTCCCTGCCTGATTCTGTGGGCTTTCCCCTGAACATTCTTCTGGGGTTTTCCTCCCACCTCTAAAATTGTAATTTCTTCTCAATAGGCTTCTCTCTTCAAGTTTCTTCAGGCTTGTACGCTACAGTGCTTAGTGCGCTTTTGAGGAATCCTTGTTTCATTACCAGAAATAATTAATAATAGTAATAATAATGAAAATAATAGTGGTCTTCCTATGAGATTTAATTTACAGCTGTAGTCGAGTCAATTACAAATCAGTTAAATGCCAAATGACAAGGCAGGTCACAAGTATAAACAGGGGATGACCATTGACAGTTGAACGTCAGTGTCGTTTGAATAACTTGTAGCTTAACATGGGACCAAATAACTTATAATTGATTTATGATGACTTTGTCAGGACTTGATTGCAACTCCGATTCAGTGTTGGATATTCTTTGACTACATAGATGCAAACCTATTTTTGGCACTCTTTAGCAACAATTTTCCTGTTGCAACAAGGTTTTATTTATTGGAGACATCAAGAAGTTCAAAATACTGATTTTTTTCCCTACATACAAAATTGCCACAGTTATGGACCCCAGAAGGTTTCCAAGAGGCTTCAAGCAGTGACAATGGAACACCACCACAACCTCACCAGACGTCAAATTGTTCTCAAAGACCGCAGGTTTGAAAATTGTCATTTATCCAGTCTTTAGAACTTCAAGACAAATAAAAAATGTTACAGGATCATGTCTGATTGGCTTGTGCATGTCCCAAATGTACAAAGCATTCATTGGGATTTCTAGGATTTAAGAAACACACATCTTGATGTGTACAGTAAGGCACTGATTCTCCTCCGACGATATTGATGTAAAGATTATTGAGCCCCCTGTTTCACCCTCTCCAATTTCCCTGCAGAAAAGTACCAAAATGTGGCTCGGCAATAGACGGCGTAAGAAATGGTCCAGCATGTACGGCAGCCAGATTCGGTGCCCTCATTGCCCCGAGACATTCCTACACAAACGCAGCCTCAGTCGTCACATCATGATCAACCATGGGCCCAAGGTTTACTTCTGGTGCAAGCGGTGCTGTCGCTTCTACAACCGGCGGGACAACTTGCGTAGTCACTACCGTAGCCACCACCCTAAACACATCAGGGATCTGGACCACATCCAGGGGGTCGGGCGCGAGAGCCTCCTCCCTGGAGGGCAACCCTCGTCCTCAAAGACCAACAACGGTCCACTGGATGTCAGCACCTGCAGTACATTCATCAGCAATCAAATCGTCGGTGGAAACAGCAGTCAGTCAGTCACAAGCAACAGCGCTCCACAATCCAGCAACAGCAGCTACAGTACTAGCAGCACCACCACCAAAGTTGGTGCCAAGCCGCTGAAGATTCAAGCAGCGCAGCTAATGGAGAGAGAAAAGGGGGCTGTTGGCGCACGACAGGAGACTTTGAGGATCAGGACTTCCTTTGTCAACACAAGAGATTGCAAAAGTAATGCCAAAAAATCTGCCTGTGCTGCTGCTAGACAAAGTGGAATAAAGCCAACGCCCGAGAGACAATTACCAACACTGTCAGTTCCTCCAGCAGGTGTAAGCCAGGAGTTCAAGAGACCCTCTGTGAAAGCACATCCCATCCTGTCTGCCGATGCTAGAGGTAATCCCTGGACAGTTAGGGACGTCTTGGCATATCAGCTGCAGCGGGAATCCAACCACACAGACGAAGACGTTGTTGAGATTTCAGATGACTCGAGCTCCGATGGAGAGCTGGACCCCCCACCCCAAATGCCCTCCCAAGGGCCCAGGGATGCGGGCGTGGAAAGACTGGAGCATGGCACTCCTTTCAAGGACTTGCAAATCGAGAAGGTGATGGAGGGCCAGGTCACCAGAGTCACCGAGGAGCACCAGACCTACATCTACTCCAGAGGCGAGAAAATCCGCACGGAGAGAAGAAAGCGCGTCTACAACGTCCTTCATCTCGACGGGGTCGGCCGTGGGATGAACTTAACAACTCAGCCAGCAATCATGACCAGCTCTGGTTTGACCAGGGAGGGACAGTTGGAAAAGAATGTGCAAGGTCGGGTCACTAAGGTCACCGAGAGGTCAAGCAAGTACACATACTCCTCCGGGCAGAAAGTGATGAAAGAGAAAACATCAAGGGTTTATGACGCGATATTGCTGCCTGGATTGACCAACATATAAAGGAGGCTCCATTTGATTAAAATCTGATTTTGCTAATTGATGTTTTCTAATCAAAGTCTATACACTTTATGTCTGAACTGTAAATAACCCTGTGTAGACAACTCATGGACAGTAGTGTAAATAGGGGGAGGGGTGGGGGTGGGGGCATAGTACCCCTCACCCTTGGATAAGTAAACAAAAAAGCATTTCGCTCCTATTGTTTGAGGGTAGTCTTTTGTACAGCACTACCAATAGTGAGATGGTGTCTCCCCCCCCTTTTTTTTTGTGAAGGTCGGTCGGCTGACTAGAAAAAAACCATGGCTATCTTGGCGACCCCCTCCCAGCAAAATCCTGCATACTCCGCTGCTCTTGAGATCAAGTGAAGGGCACATTTTATATGCATGGCATGAAGTTGAAATGACAAATTTTCCACTGAGATGTTCACATTTTGTCAGGGTCTGCGCATGAGTTTAATGCACTCGAGTGTAAGCGTATAGCAGCAATGTTGCTCAAATGTCTTCCGATATTTTACTCTTCGTCATTTTCACCACTTTGTATCTATTAATACATGTAGCAGGCACTTGTACACTAAGGCCAAAAGATACATCAAACCATTCTGTAATAAATTGCTAGTTGTGAGAACAGGTTGTTCCTTTAAGGAACAAATGGCGTATTGATTATGTAGTTGGACAATAAGTTTGTTAATATCAAAGACATAGTTCACTTAAAGTCACAGTGCAGGGGTACATTTTGAAATGAATTCAACACAATCATTGGTTTGACATACTGGAAAGGTCAAATTTTGTACATGTATTTAATACTGAATTCATGTTTGTAATTTTAAAGCTCAACATAATGTGAACATAGAAATTGATTGCAGTGGACTATCAATTTGCTACTTCCGAACAACTGAGCTATCTAGCCCTATGTTGGCAGTTTATTTACAAATATAATAAAGTATTTCAATGTAAGTTTGTATTTCTCTATTGAAGTAACCGTTGTCAATGCTTTAGACTTTTTGGTTCAAATTCTTGGGCAGGGCCACAAGCCAATTTCTTATACATGTAGTTCCTTATGCGAGGCGTTTTGCGGAAGTGGAGAAAATGTAAAAAAAAAAACGGAGGTGGATTTTTTTCCCCAGATTTATTGATATTGGTAGGTCTACTACACGTATTTTAAAGAAAAAGTAAAAAAATCATTGAATAAAACTTTTTTTTAAGGAAAACAATTGTCATTTTTCATAAGACCGCAAAACTCTAAGCTTTCAATACCTTTTTTCTCAGTATTTTATTTTTTTGACATGTTGATTAATACAAACTTTAAACAATCATAACTTGCCAATGGAATGTCCAATTAAATTACAACGAACAGTTTTGGAAGGAGCATTTATTCTCATTCCCAATACCCGCAAACCCTTATTTCAACCTCTGCCCAGTTCTGTCTCAACTTTGCCAGAGCGCCTTACGATTGTCCAAGTAATAGTTCCTCCATGCAGTTCAGCCTAGATCTGCACACATTCACAAGATAAGACAAATCATAAGAACTCATGGTAACCCAAGTTGCCAGTTTTGTTAGTACTATTTTATTGAAATGTATACATATGTTTTCAAGTTTTTGTTTCTTTTGAAAGATGGAACATTGTATTTAGCCTGCGAATAATTTTTTTTGGGGGGGTGTTGAAGTCTATCTGAAGCCTGCCCCGAAATGTTTTGTATATTAAAAATAAAAAGGCACATCTACCAGAAGTTTTTTTAGCACTTTAATTAAACAGATAACCCTTAATAAGACACAATTGAAGTGCCACTGGAATGACGCTCTTGTGTTCATAGACTGTGTACAGAATTTGAATGCTTTAATATTAAGTTATTTTTCTCAGATTTTTGGTACATTGTACATCCTGAATTCAAAGTAGTCTGGCTTGATACACATGGATGTCCCTGCTTCTGTCGTGAAGAACTTCAACCACCGAAAATCGTTCCCTCATCATATCTAGAAATCTCTCGTCCCTCGCGTATCTAATTCTGCAGGACAGGAGCACTAACGTATCCCTGTTGCTTAAATGAACCATAGTCTGTAAGAGTTTAGGGAAGGTGTCTTCCACGTACACAATGTCCGCTCCCAGGATGATCTCAAATGGTGTCTCAAACTCTTGTAGGTTCTCGCCCCAGCTCAACTCCTGGACGGAAATCATCCCGCTTCTGACACCAGATTCTTGGCCGTTCTCCTCCACATTTGCCTGGAGCTGATCCAGGGCCAATTGTCTATCTGTCAATACCACCTTACTGCCAAGAACAGCAGCTACGGTCCCTACAAGTCCTGTTCCAGCTCCAAGCTCAATGACAGATTTTCCACTTAAATTGAGCTGCTGTGCATTCGACTCCAGATATTCTGCCAGAACCACTGCCTACCGGTGGAGAAAAAAAGAGAAAATAAAATATAATTGCAATGAACATCAAAATGAACATCAAAATGAACATCAATTTGGGAATCAAATTGTTTTTACCTATTCAACTGTACTTGTGCATTGTTGTGAAGGTTTAACTTCCGTCTCGGGATAATACTGAAAAGCAGGGGAGGAACATTTCTTGAAGATTGAGGGGGGGGGGGGCCAGGTTGGACGCCCTCTTACCTTAAGACTGACAAGTTAGTCCACCTAGGCTAGGGGGGGGGGGGGTAATCAGTTTTTATGGATGAGAATTCCAACATGGATTTAAGACTCTGCTTTTTGTATCACATTACAATGCCATGATTGAACCTAGTCCTAGGCAACATTGAAATCAAATTAGGTTTTTGCCCTTCACCGACGTATGAACACTGTATACTCAGTGACTGTGTTACCTCCCAAGTGAAAGTTGGAAAAAAAATCACTCGGGTGGGACTCGAACCCACCGAGTATTACAGTGTTTATACGTTGGTGAAGGGCAAAACCTAATTTGATTTACATCACCCCCGGGCCCCGATGCAAAAATTTCATTTTATCAACATTGAAATGTTTTTCAAATATGGACATTACATTTTGTGTGACTTAAATAAAAATATTGTCAAATCGAAATATTGAAAAATCAAAATATTGAAATTTAATTAAATGTCAACAAAGATCTCAATGAAAATGAGAAAATCATTCATAATGTGGAGAACCTACAGCATCCCACACAACTGCAGCAACCCCTAGCTCCTCCCATCTTTGTCGAATGGTGACAGTTTGCCCAGCAAAAGTAAACGTCTTTGTTTCTTCTCGGAAAGCGCTCAGGTGTGTTGGGGTGTAGACAACCAGGGCCATTGAATTTGGTTTTGAATTGTCACTGCAAGTGTTTTTGTTTAAATCATCTCGGATGTGGGGTTCACAAGGTTCATTTTCCCCGTGTGCATTGGTGCAAAGAAGGTTTGTAATCACAAAGCTCTGAAGCACACGGTTGAAAAAGTGAAAGCTTGTCATGTCAAAACGCTTGTAGACGAAAATCTCGGTAGCATAAAATGGTACGACAGTAGAGCGCGTAATGAATATGCATGACTATGACGTCACTAGAAGTCATGAGTAATATATCACGCACGGTACTGATAGATATACAGATGCACACTGTATGTGCTGCATCCCACTTACCGATGATATCACATTGAACAAATCCTCTTTCTACTGTCGCGCCGCCACCCTCTAGTGTCGTCCCACTTACCGATGATATCATTACATTGAACAAGTCCTCTTTCTACTGTCGCGCCGCCACCCTCTACTGTTGCCCCACTTACCGATGATCATCAAGTGGGACGACACTAGAGGGTGGCGGCGCGACAGTAGAAAGAGGACTTGTTCAATGTGATATCATCGGTAAGTGGGACGACACTAGAGGGTGGCGGCGCGACAGTAGAAAGAGGACTTGTTCAATGTGATATCATCGGTAAGTGGGATGCAGCACATACAGTGTGCATCTATCAGTACCGTGCGTGATATATTACTCATGAGCTTCTAGTGACGTCATAGTCATGCATATTTATTACGCGCTCTACTGTCGTACCATTTTATGCTACCGAAAATCTCGCACTGATCACAATGAACAGCGCCACCAAGTGTCAGAAAGTGTCCAGCCGGCATTGACAGCTGATCTGATCGACTGTGTGTAGATCGTTGTCGCGTGTAATTCTTTTTTTTCAAGTAAATTTTGGAAGTTATAGAAATGGCGGTCTGGACTGCTTTCTTCACCGTTGGGTTGGCTTTCTCATCAGCTACCTTTTGGTTATATCTTTTGTCAATTAATTTACCGTCCTTGCCAGAAAACCCGCAATTGCGCAATGAAAGGTAGGCCTGTGTTTCTGTGAATACGTCAGTCGTAAAACCCCGTATGGCAAGCCAAACTATGAGTCGTACTATGACTCAATAGAGGGGAAAACGTTGCAACCTGCATGACCTGACGCCCACTGTTTCCTTCATATATCATCTTAATGAAGGTCAGTCATTGCAAAAATGGATGATAGGCCTAAATCATGAATCTGGGACCGAGAAACACTTCAAATTTTGTTTTACTAATAAAACAGAAAATTTTCTTGACTCTCCATACTAGACTTTGTACACTCGCGCAACATTTTTTTCCGTTACGGGCCACTATTTTGTTCCGACCAAATCTGAGTCAAGTGTGTATTGTATTATTCCAAAATGACCTTTTCAACCTAAATCAGTCTTCTCTCAAGTAATGGCACCTTTTTTTTGGTAATTTTAAACAGTTTTGGGGGGTAGATTTTTGTGTGTGGTTTATGGTTGCGCGTTGATCATGGTGATTGCCTGCGTTATTTTCGTGTTGCGTTTTGTCATGAATGTGTTTTGCCGCCGGCTTGTTTTCTAATGTGGTTTTGTTATTTTGTTCTGCCAGCTTGTTGAATATTTAGCCAAGTGAAAAATATTTATTCATTAGCTTGAAATATATCAAGCACACTAGGCTCGTGACATGGGGAGATTTGTCAGTACTAGCGAATCTCCCCATGTCATGAACCTAGTGAGCTGGATATTTCAAGCTACGTGTATATATTTATGAAAAATAAAAGAAAATTGGAATTGACTTTGTCTGGAAACATTGAATACATTTTGAAGATTTGGAAAACTTCATACACTTGAGGTCTCACTAAAGGTAAAAGCTTCACAGACAAAAGTAAAACTAAGTTTAAATTTGGAAAAAATGATGCAACCTGAGGCCACTTTTTTCTTCTTATATCATCTCAATAATGGTCAGCCATTGCAAAAATGTTGAAAAGACATGAATTTGGGACTGAGAAACATTTCCAATTTTGTTAGGAAACACTTAGAAAATTTACTTGACTCACAATAGACTTTGTACACAACCCATGAAGAGGCATCTAGATACTACATTCTGTCTTTAAATTTCATTGCTTTTTCATTTCCGTCACTGCTTTTCTCCACACAGTGTCGAGCTGAGATTTCCCACCAATCTTGAAGACCTGACCGATTTAGCAGAGGTTCTTCAAGACTACAAGGCCAATCACTATGGCTACGTCATGCTGCTCTTCTGTAGTGCGTATCTCTACAAGCAAACGTTTGCTATCCCAGGGTCTGTGTTTATGGTAAGTTTGGTCAAAAAATAAAAATGTAAACCACTTTGATTAAAACAACACGTCAGAATTTCAAGATGCCTGATCCGTTTTGAAAAAAAAAAATTACCCACAGACCACGAATTCAATGCTGCAGACCACGAGGCCAGAACGTTCCATGGCAGTAGTTGATTTTGGATGATAAAAGGGATTTAAAGAGAGAGTTTCGTTATTGTTTTCGATATTTTTCGTACTTTTTATTTTTTTTGTCTCCAGAATCTATTAGGTGGAGCCTTATTCGGTATCTGGTATGCCTTCCCCCTGTGTTGCCTTCTGACTGCCATTGGTGCCTCTTTCTGCTACCTCTTGTCACACGTCTGTGGCCGGGCGGTGGTCATGAAATACTTCTCCAGGAGAATACAGCCGTTACAGAAAAAGGTAACAAACGAAAAACCGCTACAAACTGCTTGTCAAATAGAGTGATTTGGAAAGAATACAAATGTTTCAGAAGCTTCTCCAAAGGCAAGATTCTTCAGTGTCGCTGTGAAGGTACTTCACAAGCCCAGTCACAAATAACAGGGGATGAACAAGAAATGGAATGCCTTTGTCATAGTTTATGTGATTGTGAATAGCTAGTGACTTGACTTGGGACTGGAGGACTTGTGATGGACTTGTGATGCATTGAAATTATTTAAGATAAGCAACATGACTGGCAGTAGCACTTTCATTGCAAACCAAATGTCATATTAGTTGGCTTAGATAGCATATGGTGATGCACACTAGATGGGGCATCAATGCCATTCTGTTGTCATCCATGAGGGTTATATACCCTTCAGCTGGAAAATTAAAGCAAAATGTTTCGCAAACATCAAAAACCAAAACTACCAAATTATTATGAAATATCTTACTTGACTGTAGGTAAGTAATAGTCTTAAGCATCCTGTGAAATTAGGGCACCTTGTGTGCTGTCATTTTCAAGGAAAGTGGAACTTTTTATATCAATTTCTGACGACGGTTGGTCGACCATCCTTGAGAAAAACGTGTCTATTTTTAAAATACTGCCCCCAATTCACCAAATTTAGTTAGTCCACATTTTGTTTGTTATCGGTTACACATTCGTAAACGGGTGCAAGCCAGCTAGTCTGGTTCCCCGACGTCTATACATTGCTCCATTTCGTCTGAAGCAGGGTCACGGAACCAGACTACAAAAACAGCATTTTGTTCCAGCATCTATGAACACAAACGTTTAAATAGGTCAGTGTCACAATATTTGCTACAAAATACTAACCCCCAAATCCATCTATTACTGAAAAATACAGCAAAAACAAATGTTGTATATTATCTTTAAAGGGAAGATCCAACATTTGCAAACATCAAAGAACGGAATGATCAAATTATCACGTAATACCTTACTGGACTGTTAGGGAATGACAGTCTAAAGCATCCTTTAAAATCGTGGCTCCTGGTGTGCTGACATTTTCACGAAAAACTGTATTTTTCCAACGCTGGTCGGCTGACCAGCGTTGGAGAAAACTGGCTTTTTTCAAAAACTGTTCCTACTTTTTTATATTAAGTTATTCTGACTTTTCTTGGCAATTGATTACACTCCTGTGAAGGGGTACAAGCATGCGCTAGACTTATTCTCGACCTTACAGTTCCCCAACGAGTATTAATTGCTCCGTTTCATCTTAAGTGGGTCAGGGAACCAGACTACAAGAAAATGATAGGTTTTCTTGGTTTTTCCAGCATCTACAAGACCAAAACGTGAATTCAGTCAATTTAACGATATTTTCTATAACATACTAATCCGCCAAATCCATTTATTTCTGAAAATTGCAGCAAAAGCAAATGTTGTACATTCCCTTTAAGCCATAGGTTCCATTCATTGATCATGTGTATTGAAGAACATTGAAATCATATTGTGGACGAGTAAGGGTTTGTCCTGGTTTTCCTGTAAACAACAAAATGTACTTACAAAATGTTGGTTTCTTATTGAAGATCATAATAAATACTGGTTTCTTTACCTTCTCTGTCCATCAGGTAGAGGATAACCTGGACAGCCTCTTCTTCTTCTTGCTCTTCTTGAGACTGTTTCCGATGTCTCCCAACTGGTTTCTCAACATCAGCTCACCCATCATTGGTGTTCCGCTACTCCAGTTCTTCTTATCAGTATTAATAGGTCAGTATTTGTGTCAGGTTTCTGAAAGGAGGGAAGGAATGATTTACAGCAGAGGATTCAGAACTTTGACACATTTTCAAAAGGGTGGGGGAGTGGCTAAAATACCCCCTTGTAAATTTGCAACCTCCTAGATCTTATGATTTCATTGTGATTTATTTTAAAATGTATATATGTAGTTATTTATGTATCATTTTATTTTACCAGGGTGGCCCCATCTAAGAACAGTTCTCCCTGGGGGCCCTGAAAATTGATATTGTGATCCTTGTAATTTGACCACCAAATTGTGAAGATCTAAAAAAGGAGAGAAAACATAAAAATCAAAGTCTAAGTAAAGAACTGCAACTGTAACATTTACCATCACCAACTTCTTAGTCTGTTGACAGCCATCACTGATAACCATCATATGGGCATTTTCACTGCTTACCTGCTTCTGTGAAGCAAGTTTTTTTTTGTATGCTTGCCAAATTGAGCACAATTTTGTGGAGCGCATATGTTTTTCACAAGAAATAGTTTTTGTAGAGAGTATGCCGTATCTCGACCTTGCGTAACCATGATATTTAATTTTGTTTGATAGGTTTAATGCCTTACAACTTCATCTGCATCCAGACCGGGAGTATCCTATCCTCGGTGACCTCTCTCAGCGAGATCATTACCACGGACGTCATGCTGCGACTAGCGGGCACGGCTGCGGTGGCGCTGTTGCCTGGCCTTGCCTTCAGGAAGTACAAAAGACGCGTCAAGTCCGACTAACAGTGACTGGAGTGCTTATACCAGCAGGGTGCATGTCGGCATTCCTAACCCTAAACTAAGTATTTTTGTAAGGAACCTTCCTGGGCCATCCTGTGCAGGGACCAAATGACACTTTCTTTGTACTTAACTTCAAAGGGGCATTAAGTACCATGTATATGTAGTAAGTTATAGACCTTTCTTTCATTTGACATTGAGCACCATTTTGAGGGCACATGTGGTCTAGCGGTAGAGCACAGGCCTCATGATTGTGAGATTGTGGGTTCGAGCCCTGCCGTGGCCATGCGTGTTGTGCCCTTGAGTAAGGTGCTTTACCTCAATTACTCCTCTCAACCCAGGTGTTAAATGGGTACTGGTATTATTCAATGCTGGGAAGGTAACAGACTCGCTGTGGAGGAGGTGTGGCGATCCCCCCACAGCAGCATTACATGGACTTGAGTCTGGCCCAATCGCTTCAAAAGAGAGAACGGCACTGTCTCCGTTCCTATGAACACAGGTTCGTCCCCTTCACTTTTTTATCATTTTGTATGGGCTGCCACAAGAGCATACATTTAAGCCGTGGTTTGCAACAAATTTTGCCAAAAATTGCATATTACCCTCATAATGTAAGAAAGGCACATTTTTTTTACGTCTTTGGTAGACATTTGTTGATTATTTTGTATTTTCAACAATCCAATATGTTTGGAAACAATAATAACTATTGGGTGGCTAGTGCGTAAAGTGCTCGCCTTTTACCAATATGGCCCGGGTTCGATTCCCGGCTCGGACATGTGAGTGCTGTTGTTCGTTGATTCTCTCCTGTGCCACAAGGGTTTTTCTCCAGGTTTTCCGGTATTCCTCCCTCCGCAAATATCAATACTTTCGATCTATAGCTGTGCTCTGTGGTCAGACATGATTTAGTTATGCTTATTTGTTGTAAAGAAATTCTAGAAAGTTCTCTGGCTTCTTAAAAGGAGTCAATTTGGGAGAGGAAAAGCGCACATTTTATTTCTTCACGTACAAACAATAGAATTTGATTGAAATTATGATGTTTTCCTGTAAATTATTATTTGGTCCTTGTAAATTTAGGAGACAAGCCAACATGAAAGCTCGTTACCGTTTGTGCAAGTTGTTTTAAATCTATATAATGAAGCAATTAATTCTGGTCAGAGAGTTTTTAAAACGTATAACTGCATGCAAAAGGTACCACACAAAACTCACACAAACTATGTGTTACACTTATTTTCAGCACTGACAACTTCACATCGAACTTGGCAAATTATATGCAATGAAAATACGGGTCTTAGATTGAATGTTAGGAGGAAGTTTAATGTGAGAAAAGTTCTTAAGACTTTCACAAGCAGCTGCCATAGAAAGAGAAACTGATATGGGATCATGTATTTTACGACTGTTTATGGACAAGGCAGTGCTACAAATTGTAAATTGTGATGGATGAACATTTTTAATGCAGGATATGTGACATACAATGTACATGTAGAGTTGAGCCCATCACAAGTCCCTGCAAGTTCAGAACATTTATCTTATTGCAGATAATGAATAACAAGAAAAAATTGATTATACTTGGGCCACAGGTCACATTGTTATACCTCTGTCTTGAATACTGTATTTTCATTGGCTTAGAACGATCACGTGTCAAGTTCATAAAAAGTCATAGCACACTCCCTGTACGTGATATCCCACAGGGAGTGTGCCATGACTTTGTACGTACGGTATAAGTACGTACGATGTGAAACTCTTATATCGTTGGTACCCACGCTATTTTCACCATGTTTTCACGCATGAGTGGGAGCAGTGAACTAGCAGACGATCAGCTGTTTCGAACATGTTTTCGTGATTTTCACATCAAAATCCAAAGAATCCAAGACAGAGGTATAACAAAACAATTGTTCACTGCTGTTATGTGGGATATGACGTTTCGAACACTCTCGGCTTCGCCTTAGGTGCTATGCGCCCCTCGGGTGTTCAAAACGACATATCCCACATCACAGCGGTCAACAGTTGTTAATTGAAATGCACCATCAGATCTTTCATCATTCTACTTATATTTTCAATATTAAGATTGACTTCAAGTTTAGGCAGTGACGTTGGAAGTACCGTAGGATCAGGAATATATTTTATTCATCAGTTATATATTGTAGACACACTTTTCGATTGTATTTGAGTCACAAAATGGACTTCTGTATTTGTATGCATTTTAACTATATTACTAATAATAATAATGTGTATTTATCAAGCGCACATATCCACCAGTATTGGTGCTCCAGGTGTTGCATCATTAGCCTGCCCAAGTGGCAAACGTTTGTTTTTAAAAGTTCCACTGCCTGTCTATATGTAGTTGTATTTTACAGGTATGTGTCAGTCTTATCTGTGTAAGGAAAGGCACAGTAATGTATGCCAGATATTCAAACCGATAACCGAAAATCCAGAGTTTATAAATCACCAAGCAGCATATCAAATGATTTGATGACTGGCAGCATAATAATAAGTACATGTATCATACAAATAATATGCATGAAATGGGTTCTAACCTCTGATGTTAAGGTTGAAACATTTAAGCATCAAACAGAAATTTTTCTGTTTCAACTATCCATCACGTACAAAATGAGAGAAAATAATGGACTTGTAAGAACATTATTTTTAAAATTCCTTTTCTATCGAATTCAAAATACATAGTATTATAAGATGGAATTTTGCGTCTGGGTGATATAAATCAAATTAGGTTTTGCCCTTCACCGACGTTTAAACACTGTATACTCAGTGTGTTACCTCCCGAGTGAAAGTTGGAAAAAATCACTCGGGTAGGACTCGAACCCACGACCTCCTGCTTTCTAGTGCAGATGTCTTACCACTCGACCACCGAGCTAGCGGGATCGGTTGGCTGGTTCGAATCTGATGTACATAGCAGCGGGTACCGCATAATAGTTTATGCAGTACCCTCGGGAGGTAACACACAGAGTATACAGTGTTTAAACGTCGGTGAAGGGCAAAATCTAATTTGAAATACATAGTACCAAAACTTATTGATCACTCAGGTTTTGGAGTAACACATTTTGTGAAGTGATCTGATAATCCTTACAAAACCAAAAAAGAAAGTACACGAAAGAATGTGGACAGTTATTTCGTATTTTGTGATATATTTATTTGCCCATGGAATTTGTATACAGGGTCCATTACTTGTATTTCACATTCCCGAATCAACTGCTTTTATATAAAATAATAAAATGGTTTATGATCAAAACGATTTGTTTTAACTGTGCATTTTACTCAATCGTTATGGAGCACCGATAGGTACAAGAACTAGTGGAGGGAGAAATCAGAGATTTCAAAATCTGGTTATGCTAATTTTTTTTCAAACCGAACGACTGTTATCCGATTTCACAGGAAGTTCCCATCCACTCACAGTCATGCCAACAAAAAGTGACAAGTGAGGTGCCACATGCAATGCCCTCCCAATGACTGGGTATAGTTTGCAGGATTCAATGACCATTCGGCCTTTACAAAAATAGTTCAGAGCTGTAATGTTGACAAAATGGGTGGGAACTCGCTGATAAGTCGAAAGGGCAGGCTATTCATACACCAAGAAGACCACTAGCAAGTGAACGCAGTTACAATCAGAGACCATGGAGCAAATTCTGGGGATGTTCCAGGTGTTTTCTTTAGCCTGGGTCACCAAAAATGGAAGATTTACTTTTTTAAAAGTTTGTTTTCGAATATCCAGTTTCCAATATCTAAACCGAATGGTGAAATTCAAAATTAACTCCAAAATTAAATCCCACCACTAACAAGAACCTGCGTAATTCTAGAACATTTATTTCGTTAAAAAGTTAGTGCCGAGGAAAGATTTAAGTTTTGGAGGCTTCAAATCATTTTTTTTTTTAAAACAATGGGGAAACGTGTAGACATGCAAAAGGAATTAGAAACGAAAATAGGTGGTGTAGTCAGTTTAACCAAAACCTTGTCAGCTGCTATAAGTTGGTTCTCAAACAAATTGTACATCCGTATTAACACGGCTTGCCCACCATTGAGCCATGATGAAACTAATCATATTTGTGTCTGCAGGGGTGGGCAGATATGTATTATTTTGCTGAAAACGTCACAGACTGAAAGGGGTGGTTTAAATGGGACAAAGAAAAAATGTTTCTGTCCAAAGTCTTGAAGAAATTGAACAATCTGTTTGATCCACTCAGGGGTGTGAGTGACCACTGATAAAAATAACTTTGGAAATCTCCTATATTTTTGTACACAGCAATTGAGGGGGAAAAAGCTGGAAACCAAAAAAAAAAAACTGAAATCAGTTTTAAAGCTGAGATTTCACACCCCTGTCCACTGTTTCTAAACCCCTTTGAACCACTTTTTCTATTTCTATTATTTTTGTAAATCTGTAATTAAAAATATGAATAACCTGTCTCTATCTGCATATCATGAAGCACCAATTTTTGACAATTTTGATGCCAAAATATGTGTCACAGTAATTGGTTGGTTGAAAAGGGTCTGCATGTAATTACATCAAAATAATTTTAATTTGAGAACTATTCCATAAAAGCTAAAATCCTGAGATAGAATGGAAGTTAAAATAATCTAAACCTGTCAGAAAATATGAGGTTTTTCAATTAATTCTGTTTCTGACAGATTGTGATGTGTGTAAATTGGAAGTACCAGACACACGATAACCATTAAATGAAAAGAATGTTCCCTTTGACTCGAAATACTCCCTACAAAATGGTAAAAAAAACCATTCCAAAGATTCTATTAACTGAACAATATGTACAACTCTGAAGTAAAGCACCAGTTTTGAAAGTATATAAAATTTGGAGGATATAAAGGCTGGTGACAAAGATCTATACAAAAGCACTTTGGCAATGATGGTCTGAAACCAGACCAAAATGACTGCAGCATGAGCAATGTCTTGTGGCAATGTCTCAAACACTGGCTTCAGCCCTGGGCACATGTCTTCAAAACAATTTTGAAAACTTAAAAAAAAAAGTTTAAATCGGTAAAAAATTGCTATGGCATCAATTATAAAGGCTTCACAGTTTTTGAAGGATAAATAAGTACAAGCAATGCTGAAAAAAACTTTGGTTTGGAGAAATACAAATAGTTTAGATCCTCCAACAGCCAGAGCTGAAGCCAACTTTTGAAAAATGGCATGTCCCCATATGCTACCTATCTCCCTTTCTCCCAACTCTCGGTCTCAATCTTCTTGTATAAAGGGCGCCCTCTCTTGACTCAGACTTGCAAGTGTCTGCTGCATCTTTGGTGCCTGCTGAATTCTGTAGTATGTGCATGTGTTGTGTACTTGTACCAGTGGATTGTGGTGGGAAGGAATCAGGTATGATGTCAATATTCTGTAAAAATGAAGAAAGTCGCAAAATAGCAGTCAATACAGAAATGTCACCAAGAGACCTCGCACTTAACAGACACTAGGCAGCAGGTAGTCCGGAGTCAAACGGACATTAACCCTAACTCCCTAGGCCATTTTTGGTAGGATGTAGCCTCAATCCTGCAAACTCCTCCAAATGGCCTCGTGGAAAAATAACATATAGACTCAATCCTGCAAATTCCTCCATTATTTCTTGAATATGGTCCAAGGAGGGGTGACCACTGCCTGAATCCTGCAAAATCCTACGACAGTGACTGTCAATATGTTGAAGCTTGGCCAGTGACATCCTGGAGTAGTACGCAGGATTTCAAGCATAATCCAGGCCTATATTTATGCATGGCTGAGCAAAACGAACACAAGGTTGGGCCCAAGACCTTGACAAAGTGCATCCTACGAAATCAGTGACGCACTTTTGCCATGTTAACCTCAATCCTCCAAATTCCTCCACTTTGGCCAAGAGGATTTTGAAGGATTCAGGGCGGTTAGGGTTCAAGAACTTCATATACTGCTTTACTCCTCGATCCTCGTTCCTATTTGTTACCTAACACTTCTCTATCCCTTTCCCGTTCCAACAAGGCAAAGTTTTAAAGCAAAAAGTTGGATGAGGACTTACACAAATTCAAAATCAGCTCTTTTTAACTTTTAAAACAACTTTGATAAGTAATAGGAAATTTAAAAAAAAAACAACAGTGAACGGAGAAACTATTACATTATCGTGAAATCTCACGAAAGGTCCACAAAAAGTGTTCCCTCAGAACAGGTTAGGGTCTCAGCCAGCTCATACACATCATAAAATGTGACCTGTTCCGTCAAAAGCAGACGCTTCTGGGCAGAGGTTGAAATTGAGATAGGGCCAACAAATGCTGTGGGGGTGATTTTTTTCCATTTTCTAATTTTTGCATATTTGTAATCCTGAGCATGTCTAAAATATACTTTAAAAGTTTGAAACCCTAATTTGATCTCTAATTATAGTATTTTTGATGATTTGTTAAGGTATATCAGTTAAAGAAATGTCTGTTTTGTGACGTTCGTGTCCATTTTCTCTGTTTTCTACTTTTCGACCCAATGAACTTTAAAATAGCATAACTTTGCGCAGGAATGACCGGTTTCAAAAATTAAACCGCTATTAAAAGGAAACAGAACATAACAATATGCAAAAATCTCATTTTTGACCCTATGCCCAGAAAAGTCTGATTTTGACAAAACAGGTCACAAATAACCATGAACACAAATACATGATATCATAAAAAGTACTCGTGATGCAAATTCACAAAAAGTCTTACCTTTCTTGGAACCCACCATTCAAAGAACCAGTACAGTAGGAGGTCCACCACAGCGACGATGATGAAGAATTTACCGGCGATGAATCCCAGCTTGTTGTAGCGTTCTAGTCGCTCAGCCAAGGACAAGACTGGCATCTCCATGATGCCATCGTAGATCTGTGGAAAAAAAACCCGCAGGATATTATTGACAATCAAATGCAAATTGTATTGACTGTCTTTGATCAACTGTTCAGAGTAGTGTAACTGGGTTCCCATTTGTAAAGAGGACACTGGGGAGGGGCTCATATTCTTGATGGGGGGCACATGATGGGTTAAATAGATTCTTCCAATCCAGAGCTGTTTTTTGCATTCTTCAAATTCTGATTTGAGGGGGCCAAAAGAGTGGGGGACAGGCCTAGGGGGACAGGCCTAGGGGGACAGGCCTAGGGGAACAGGCCTAGGGGAACATGCCTAGGGGAACAGGCCTAGGGGGACAGGCCTAGGGGGACAGGCCTAGGGGGAAAGGCCTAGGGGGACAGGCCAAGGGGGACAGGCCTAGGGGGACAGGCCTAGGGGAACATGCCTAGGGGAACAGGCCTAGGGGGACAGGCCTAGGGGGACAGGCCTAGGGGGAAAGGCCTAGGGGGACAGGCCAAGGGGGACAGGCCTAGGGGGACAGGCCTAGGGGGACAGGCGCAGGGGGACAGGCCTAGGGGGACAGGCCTAGGGGGACAGACCTAGGGGGACAGGCCTAGGGGGACAGGCCTAGGGGGACAGGCCTAGCGGGGACAGGCCTAGGGGGACAGGCCTAGCGGGGACAGGCCTAGGGGGACATGCCTAGGGGGACAGGCCTAGGGGGACAGGCCTAGGGGGGACAGGGCTCCATGCTCATCTGTAGTTCTCACAGAAATGAACAATTACAGTGAACAGTGTGATGAGATTATCTTGGAATCTTGAATAAATATCAGTTTGAAAAGCCTAACTGCAACTATGTTGACCATCTATAATCAGAGCTATGCAACACTGTGTGGTGGTCTGAGCTCCCACTCCATAACACAGAGATGCACATGTAGTCAAGTCCTTTCAAGATCACAAATTCAACCTTAAGTCCTCTGGTAACTAGTCAAAAGAACCATGACACATGCATTCCTTTGTCACTGTTCAATCCCTATTACTATTATCTGTGACCTCACTTGTGATTTTAGTTGTGATTTCACTTGTGACAGACTTGTTATCGACTGGTATTGGATTTGACTACAGTTCTGGTATTATATGCCACAGATAGAAATGTGTACGTTCTTCCATTAAAATCCTCAACTACCATATAAGTGGCTAAGCTCATTTTTCTAATCAAATTGACAAATTGACTTTACAGCCAACACTTACACAACATCCTGGGGGGGGGGGGGCTTTTTCTTACCTTTTCTGTTCTCTTGGCCACATTCTCCCAGGTATAGATCCCTTTCATTGTATCATAAACCTGCTGTGCCGGTACTTGGCTTCCCTCCCTCTGCCGGGCAATGGCAACTTCTAAGGCTTCTACTAAAGCTGTAAATGTAAAGAAAAAATTACGTGCATTCACACAAATCTAAATAATAATGTAAGTCCAAATCGCGATGAAATCAAACTGCATTTACTACTCAAGAACCATGTAACAAGAAAAACATGTATGCCATGATTACGATTTATTTAAAATTTAAAGGCCACAATTTCTTTGATGAAAACCCAAACAGTTTGTTGGTGATACTTTCAGGATTGATTCAAATGTGCTTCTGAACACCACCAGATTCAGCCTCAACACTTGCATGGAAAAATGACTGAGACTGAATCAAGTTCCAGGTTGCCATTGACTTTGTTGGAAGTTGTTCTATTTCTGGTTGGTGATAGGATACATATGGTTTAATTAAATGACAGCACATAAGACGAAATAGTGTCACGAGCTGTTACTTGTTGATTTGGTGGGTATGTTGTATGTAAGAGGGTTAATCATTTCCGATTGATTCAGTTAGTGAAATATAACAGAATACATCACACTTTCTCTAATTACATTGACTACAAGATGACTATTTACTCAATGGAGACAGTGATCCAGTACATGTATATGGGGGCAATTCCACGGTAACGGAAGGACGTTTTCACTCATTAAACAAAATTTCAAATGTGTGTATCACAGACACTGTTCATAGTTACAGCAAACAAATGTCACATTTGTATTGCTATAATGCTACTTTCATTTTCCACACTTTTGGGGGGCATGAATGCCTCCCGTTTATGAATTATGAATATTAATGAGGTCGGTAACGGAAGGACGGTAAAACGGACAAGGGTTTTCCAACTTACTCGCGTTTTGCAAAAACTCTGTGAATTTTATGGGGCAATTATATTTTAAAGGTAGGAAATGGAATCCCTGAAGCTTTATCTATACTATACCACCTTTCATTTGACTTTAAGTGTTTCGGTTATATAATTACAACGTTTTAAGCAGATTATAATTTGGTAACGGAAGGACGGTAACGGAAGGACAAAAGGTTTACTCAATTATAGCATGAACAAAATGTGAATTTACACTAATTATACAAGTGAAACAAATTGCTTAAATGTGTAACTGAATGTGAAATCAACAATATGCAGACCTGGCATAAATAATTATACCTAAGAAACTATTGAGATAAAGATAGAAGCCTGCTAATTAATGATAACAAAAGAAAAACGAAAACAACCCAAAACACATAATTCACGAACACAGGACTACTACAGAAATAGACTTCAAACCCATCACCTCAATCCTTAAAAGTTTAAATACACAGTATTTGAACACTTGAGTATATTGGTTACATGTTCACCAACAACTTTTAATAATAATACCGGTAGGTTCAAAGGTTTACCTAAAGGGTGGGGGGGGGGGGGCGACCAGCCTACATGTACATTTAAGGTAAAAACATCTACCGGTAGAACTGATGGCTTCAGTTTTTTAATTGAACTCTAAAATCAATGTTTGAAATCAAATTACAATGATTTAGAGTAGTAACAATTAATTTATAAACATCCAAACTGAAGTTGTTAACTTGGGCATAATTTGTCAAAGACTGCACCTCACATGTCTTACACATGTAAATTGAATGAAAGTGCCCCAAAGTAACGGTACTTTCTGCCATCTCATTTTGGACTTAATTTGCTTCTGGAATGGCTTCACAGAATTCGTATCTTTCTCTATTGTCCATGAATGTTGATGACAGCAACTTTATGATTTGATTTTCTGCAACAACTCCATACATGTACAAGTACTGGTACATCGGCATATATGTACATGTACATTGTACATGTTGTACATGCCTGTGCCTTCCTTTGTAATAAACACCTTGCCCTGCTTATCCCGCTTTTGTGAAGGTGGGTCACATGAATGTCCTTTCAATGCTCATTATACATGCATGTATTTGCAGTGATTTTCATTTTTCAAACATGAGCGCAAATGTCGTAACATTTGATAAAAATACGATTTGTCCTTCCGTTACCGTCCTTCCGTTACCAATTTGGTAACGGAAGGACGTGATTTAATTAATTGTAATTAAAAAACGAGAAGTACAGCAGTGTCAGTCATAATGTCATATTGAAGGCCTACCTAAACTTGCTTTGCACAATAACTTTCAATGCATTCATACTGCAAGTTTTAAAAATAAATTAAAAATATGTATTTTTTCGGTAACGGAAGGACATTTTCGAAGGCTGAAATATTAGAAGTCACTGAAGCGAAACAAATTACGCAAAATGTTAAAAACAAGTTTTAGTCGGTTTTTCAAGACCAATACTTTCTCATGACAGAAACTGATGGCATTAGTACATATTTTTGTGTGTCTATTGGTAGAATACTTTCATATCACTATTAATCACATTTTTAGGATTAAAACAGGATTATTACATAATCCTAGTTTTTGGTACCAAAATGTATAAAAAATAAAATTCCGACTTCAAATCTTGAAAATATAGACTTTTAGCTTTCATTTGATGCCAAATTTGTTTAAGTCACATGTATTTGAATTTTTTGGTGCATGTCCACTTTGGTGTGGAATTGCCCATAAGCTTGAAAGTAACAGTTTCTTTGAATTTCTAAGATGCATGCAGCTTACACTTGACACTAGGCTCAGCAAGGAGAATAAATCTCTCAGGCAAGACCTCTGGAACTCCTCCTACCCTTGTACTAACCACCTGTAAACTGTGAGAAAAAAAATAATGGAAATAATCAAATTAGCTATTTATTAGATGGAATTTACGTAAATTCAATATAAGGTTTAGCCCTTCACCGACGTATAAATACTGTATACTCAGAGAAAAAAAAAAAAAAAAAAAACACTGCAAAATTTGTTGGTCAAGTGGTAAGACGTCTGCACTTGAAAGCAGATCATGGGTTCGAGTCCCACCTGAGTTATTTTTTCTCACTCTCACTCCGGGGGTAAAACACTAAGTATACAGTGTTTATACAACGGTGAAGGGCAAACCAATAAGGGTAATCTGCCTGTCAATATAGAACGGAAATTCATGTAAGGCCCTCTTGTGGTCCCTCCCATTCCACCTTCAAAGCATAAAATGTCTCCCAGAGTAAACCCACAAGTTTTATGATACATAAATTCCAACTTATATTGCCTATACTATCAACCACAGCATGCAGTGGTGCACTAGTGCCCTCACTGCCAGTCAATATGTGTACATTATATCTTGGCCTATATAGGCTCATCATGTTCTGCCAATGTCAGGTGCTACTTACCCACAGCATGCAGCTTCAACAATGGCTATACAGAAGGCCTCAGTCAGGGATGTATTCAGAAATATGTCCCCTTCATTTAATACCTAGAAGAATAGAAATCAAAGTCCTACACATCATCGCCATCAAAATTCTTGGTCAGACTCCCTAGCAGCATCGTAAATTTCTGTCAGCAAGCAGCTCTACTGTCACTTTCTGATCAAATACAACCTCTGTGAGTACTCAGTGTGAACATTAAACACAGATGCTGACTCAGATAGGTAAAGAACCATTCATTAGCAGAAAAATTGTCCGTGATGGAGACAAAATCAAATATTTGACATTTTTGGCCGGATGAAAATCTTTCAGCAAAATTCTCAATCCCAAGTCCAAGTCTGGAGAAATCTGGCAATAGCCTCCAAGTTTTAAACTTTGGTAATCCTGGGCTCCTCTACATTAGAAAATTAGGTTTATCCCTCTTATGCAAACATACATTCTGTGCAAAGTTGTCCTTTCAGTCAAAATCAATCTAGTGACTGTTTTTCAACAGTTAAGAGCTCCCAGCCTACATAAAGCAGGATTGATTGGCCGTGATTGTTTATGTAACTTCATATACGTATGCTTTGACTGTAGGTGATTGATAAGCCAGCTGTGCCTACCACTTGTCTGCTTTTGTCTGTTGACTGAATTTGACTCGTCACAGAGCTTGCATGAAATGTGATCTGACTGTTGGTGACTAGCCTATGTAAAACGCATGACAGGGGAAGAGGATTGATTTTTACTGTCTGTGACTGTTCAGATAGCAGGAGGGCTAAAGAATACAATTACCACCAATACAATGCAATCTTACCTCTTTGACATTGCCATGTGGCAGAGCCCCCAGCATCCTGACTCGATCTTGCAGCTGATAATTCTCTCTCACCTCCTCAATATCTATCCTCTTTGGTCCATCACCGCCTTCAAGATCAAACAAAATACACTCTCACAATCAACTTTAAGCTCAACGCAAACCGGTAAATGTGACATTCCTTGATGTCATATAATATGGATCATTGGAAAAACCTCTTGAGTGCTCTTGAGGTATTCTACATTGGTACTTGGAGAGTCAGGTTGGTGCAGTGGTACTTTTTTTGCCTTCCACCTTTGTGTCCAAGGTTCGAATCCCACCAAGGTCAATTTATTTCATTCCCTACGTGGTTCCTTGGGGTTTTTCCAATGGCATCAATCTGGGATTTTACAAATGCCTGTAAAAGTGGATGAATACACCTCTCAATGACTTTTGAGTTAGAGCCAGCCGTATCCAAGTAATTTGCATGCGACTTTACATAATGAAATCTGTGCATTAAACCAACCTATAAGAAAATCCACATCACTGTGTCGCTGGCAGATGACAGGAATGACTCCAGCTAGAAGGTCCATTCCTTTTCGGTACACGAGACGACTGACGACCACAATAGCGACTGTAAGAATGAACAAGAAAATGAAAACAATGTCACCAAATACCTTCACAACCATTATCTGGATCTTATAAATAAAACAGTTATTTATATAATACTACTCCCTTTTGGCAATATCCACAAAGTGAATGACTTAGGGCACTTGGAAGGATATACTGGAGTACGCTCAATGATACTCATCTATATTTTTGTAGTTGCCCACTGTGTTTCGTCTGTGATGTTGGAATTAAGTACCATCACCAAATATCTCAAGTCACACTGAAGGAAATGATGTGATAGAAGAGAAGAGTCTTAAGTGATCTAGAATGAATTGACCTACTTCTGTTTGGGTTTCTCCTCGTGAGATCAGGCATGAAGATTGTGGAGTCTACTGCATTGGGTATGACGGACACAATGTCTGGCTGTAGGCAGGCCCTCAGCACTGTGTTCTCCTTACTGTCGTAGGGACAAAAAAAATAAGAAGAGAATACCATTGTAAATGCTGCACCCAGACTCGTGAGAATCAAGATCCACACTCAATCACTGAGTTACATGATTGGATTCAGTGACAAATCCAGAGGGGTTGGGCCCCCCCCCCCCAGAAATTTTGCATTTGTAGTTCAAACGAGGTGTCACCACTTCAAAACCAGTACTAGTAGTAACATTCCCGCTCTTCACCATTTATTTGGAGAAAAAAAAGCAAACAGGGCCAATTTTAGCAGAAAAGTTACCAAATTTCGCCAAAACTGATCCAATTTTCAGGAATAAGGGAAATTTTCTCTGGGCGGATGTAACTTTACTTTTCTACAAAGTCACTGACTGCAGATATGCTACGTCAAATTTGAATTGGCCAGCCGACCCCTATAGTAAGCGCAGTGGTGTACTGTTGAAATGTCTGCTGTAGTGAACAGGAGGTCAAGCTCTCTAATAGCACTGAGTAGACAGTGTTCCTTTATCCAATTTCCATGATTTTTTATTCAATAAAAACACAGCTAATTTCACGTTTTTAACTGCGGGATATCAGCTCATTAAACAAATCATCATGTCTCTCCGTTAGTCCGTTAGTTAGTAACAAACATTGACATTGTCTATTGCTCCTACATATTTGACCGATTTCAACCAAACTTTGTCAAAAGTATCAGTAGCCCAGCCCCAACATGTCACATGACCAAACTGGGGTCAAAGGTCATCATGGAGTCACTGGGGTGAAACAAGCTGATTTTTAAACTCAAAACACTACTCCTTCCAGAAATTACATGGCACAATCACGTGACTAATGCATGAACATGAATTTGTTGCCCCACAGTTTCCAAGATCCGATCGAGCTTGTTTTCTCAATAATTGGAGTGCTGCATTAGTTTTCAGTCCCAAACTCGCCCAACTCAAAGTAAGTGCTGAGTCATTTCAAATAATTCAGAGTGTGAACACTCAAAGAGCAATTTTTTTTTACAAGACACAAATTGATCTTCTAAGATAACAGTACCTTGTGTGGGAGACACATATGACGTGGTTGATATCTGCTAGCGTGAAGCTGAGGAGTTTATTGGTGAGAATGGAGCTGATGTCGGCAAAGCCAAAGAGGGAATGATCAGTGAAGACCGTCTTCAAGTCCATGGCTCGGGCGTGAATCAAGGCTTCATGGGCCATGGTGGAAAAGGCCTGCGAGATGAGAAAATTGACACAGTTGGAGAATATAGATCCTTACCTTGCAGCCATCTTGCGTGTTTTTGTTCTACAGGGACACACACAAATAGACCTGTTATGGATTCATTGTTGATAAATTTAAATAAAAAACAAAGATGGCTGCCAGATGCAAGGTCTATAGGAATATACAGCGTGTGTCAATAAGAATGTAGCCGTCAATCCATAAATATTTAAAACACTAGCGCTCTCTTTTTGCAAAACTTATCTATACAGTCTGAAGGTATAGTAAATACTCCACGCAATGGTCTTTATCCCATCTCATTTGGACAACCCAGTCTAGAGATGCAGCTAATTAAATGAAAGGACTTGAATTCCAAGTTGAGCCACTTTTCGGATTATCTGGTATGTAAGGTATAGGTGTGTGAATGCGTGTCCGAACAGATTTTGACAGTCTTTACAAACTTTGCCGTAACTTTGCAACAAAAGGTCCAAATCACACAGAACAAAAGTCATGCCAAGGGTTAAGAAACACTCTATCATCTCAGGTAAATTTTTACAAAAAAATTATTTAGTTTCCTAAAAAAATTTTTTTGACTGCTACATTTTCTTTGAGACATGCTGTATATACCGCACAAGGAAGTAATATTGTTGCTGATATGGCTTGGGTACAAGTGTCAGATTGTTCTTCAATATTCCAAACCGAAAAAAAATGCTGATCACAATCTTTGTTCACTCTTCAGCCAACAAAATTCGGGGGAAAAAAACACACGACATTTAAAATATAAATTGATGATGTTTTTACCTGTCGGGTGAAAAGTGCTCACAGCTATGGAGCGACATATGTGCACCTAATGGTATGCGAACATGGTGTGGGCCACACACTGGGCCTCTCATGAATTTTCACACTTTGACATTAATTGTCTAGCATGGAGTCCACAGAAACTACATCAATATCAATGCGAAATGTCAGACCAATTTCACGGATTTGGGAAGTAAGGATATGTGCTTAGCATGTAAAGAATCGCTTAGGAATAGCAGATTACCAGCAATATGCCATTTGATGACGTTGTACCCGGTTCCCGCTTATTTTTCGCTAAATTTGCTAAGCACTATTTTCCGCTTAGCAGCTCCACGGAATTGGCCACTGAACATGTACAAAGTTGAACTTACTGAATGGCCATGGACAATGGTAATCTGCTCTCTGATGAGTATATAGCGGATCAACGCCATGGTTCCAAACACCGTGGGAAACACGCACCCATTGTAGAAGACAACAAAGGGTACGTAGTACACCTTTCAAAAAATAAATGAAAAATTCAAATGTGCATTTAGTACATTTGTATTAACTGTACAGGCTACAAGTCTATTTTATTTATATATTTGTTTGATTTGTTTTCTCTCTTCTTTTGAGTAGTGTGGTGTAGGCGTGTGTATTTTGTAGTGTAGGCGATCATATTTCGAGCAAGCACTGTGACTAGTAAATCCAGTCTACAGAAAAAACAGGCAAGTGGTTGGCACAGCTGAACCTACAGTCAAAGCATAGCTGTGCCAAGTAACAGAAACAGTCACAGCCAGTCAATCCTGCTTTATGTAGGCTGGGAGCTCTGAACTGTTGAAAACAGTCACTTGATTGATTTTGACAGAAAGGACAACTTGGCACAGAATGTGTGTTTGCATAGGAGGGTTAAATGTATGAACCCACTTGTGTTCCTTGTTTATGTACATTGTATGGCATGGGAAAACAATCAACTGTACCGATAGTTAATTCACATCTGCATGCCTACCAATACCAGGTAAATACATACCTTTAGATTATTGGTCATGTAGCGTACTCCGACACGATCACCGTAGGAATGGGTAACGACAACAACCTGGATAATAAATGAAAATGACGATGATCAAACAAATTTATCAAATACTTTTTGGTACATTCTAGGTTTTGTTTCATACATGCAATTCTTTTGTAGTATTAACATGATTAAGAAAATAAAATGCACACACCATACGCACTCTGAAAAAACAGTGTCAGTTTGAAGACATATCAGCACAAGACATAAAGTAACCTTTTGTAACAAAAAAGTTAAAAATTAAAAAATTTTGGTAGATTTGTTGATACACAAAACATCATTGTAATTCATTATCATAATCTGCATCTGCATCAATACTGCTAGGCTTACTGTCCTGAATCCATCAAAATCCTCCAACTTTTTCAATATGGAGGTATGCTGAATCTGCCGAAATCATCCGTAACAGGGGTGTGGATTTTGATGGATTCAGGCACGTTAGGGTCAATGGAATGGATGAAGTTCCAAGACGTTACTCTGAAATCTAGGAAACTGTTCCTTCTTATTCTTTTGGGAACAAACAGGACAATATTTCTTATTTTTTATTTAAGTTATAAACATCATTCTGTCCTTATCACATGAGCACACAAATTCTGTAAGTACAAAATCGTAAGTTAAATGTCATATCATGTAAAATAAAAATATTTTTTTTAAACTATGCTATCAAGTGGCACCTAATTTCTAGTCCGAAAATTTGGGACTCTTAACACTGAGTATATAAGAGTCCCAAAACTTAAGAAGTTAAAAACATGCAATACCAGAAAATAGACTGGCACATGAAACAACCAGTCCAACACCTTTAGTTAAGCATCAATCAGCTGTGTCAAAAGGAACATAGATCTATATTTCTACACTTTCTCTATTTTTACATATGGTCATACCATCAGACTACTACTGAAGGATCTTTTTTGTTCTCTTCAAAAAGCTGGACATGTAGGCCTACCAGTCTAGTCTTCAGTTAGGCTTCAAATTGAAATCGCTTGTCTTCACTCTCAGAGTGCAAACTGTTTCCAATTCAAATTGAGACTTCAAACTTGGCTGGTGAAATACTGAGGACCTTGCTTAGCCTCAAGACAATTTTGGAGAATGTTGTCAGCTAAAGGGTGAGTCAAGTTGGCCCAATTGGGTTTTGCATGTTTTTCTGTTCTAGCTAGGTCCTGATCTGCATAATTTTCTTCTATACAAAGCTAGAACTATTTTGCTTATGGTAAGCACAACCCGACACAGACTGGGACCTTAAGTGCTCAAAACGATGAAAAAGAAGATCAGGCCAACTTTACTCACTCTTTAGCCAGCAAATTTCTCCAAAACTTTCATTGGGCGACGAAAAGGTCCTCAGTATTTCACCAACCAAGCTTGAAGACTCAATTCAATTTTTAAAGGAGCCATTTCTTCAATATTTGGCAGTAGCTTGCACATGAGAAGGAAGTCAAGTGATTTCAAAATGAGGCCAAAGACTAGACTTGTACATGTCCATCAATGGTCCAACTGTTTGACAAGACTGACTTCTTCATTCATTGTTTTAGTCTGGTGCCTGACTATGGAGAAATTTGTAGAAATAGTGACCTAGTACCCAACATCCTAGATATTTCTTTTGGCACAGTCAGCTGACAGTTGATTGATGCAGTACTGAAGAGTTATTGGACTGGTTGTTTCAGATGTCAGTCTATTTACTTATATTGCATGTTTTCAGTACCTTAAGTTTTGGGACTCTCATACACAGTATTGAGAGTCCCACATTTTTGGACTAAACCTGACATTGGACCCAGTTCTTGGGAGATAAATTTATGTGCAAAATACGTACTTTATGACCTCTTTGGAGCAGGCACTGAGACAACTGGAAGATGTGACTCTCAACTCCGCCAGTGTTCGGGAAGAAGAAATCAGACACCATGCTGCAATAAAGAAAATAATACAATGTAACTATGAGTACAGGTCCGGAAGGGTTGGAAAATACTACAGTACTTAGATACAAAGATGAAAGAATTTAATTGCAACATAGAATCACCCAATAGTATAATTATTGTGAGTGAGTACTGTAAATACATGCATGTTGAAAAAACACAAATTGGGACTAACCTACTGATTTGCACAACACAAAAAAACCCAAAAGATATTTAGGCCGAATGTATACACATTTTGTGGTAATCCTTGTCTTTAGGACACCTCTATTTTTATGAGTTCTGTTCAAAACTGACTTGTCCAGTACCAAAGTGACTTTTGCAGGCTAAAGCAGTTTTTTTTTGTCAGATAAACTCATGTTAGTTGTAATTTTGAAAGCAACTTCAAAGAAAATGTGACTTTCCTACCTTATTTTGCAGTTCACCATCTTGCTTTTTAAATATTATTTCTGTGTGTCATTGTCATCTTTAACCCCTCATAACTCAAAGCCCTGCCCTCTTTCCACAAAATAAAACCTGCTGATATTCAAGGTGGTGTCATTGCCAACTCTTCAAATGTGTCAAGAAATATCAGAATGTCACTTTTGAGTGTCATTTAGTCAGCTGTTTTGGTGAGTCTTTTAACCTCATATTATAGAACGGGGTCCTAAAGATAAGGATTACCCACTTTGTCATTGTCATTTATTCAAGAATTCCTCTCAAAAATTCACATCATACCCGTTTCTAGTTCTAGCACCATATAACTTGTTGCAATTGGACAATATGTCAATAGCAACAGTGATTCTAAGTGTTTTCTCAGTAAATACTTCAATATTTTCCCTGCTTAAATTAGACGTTTTACTAACATGACTAACTTAGGACTTATTATCACTTTCTGATGGCTGATGATAGTTAGTACTCATACAGTCGTTTGACCGGTTCCGCAATCGCAAATCGTCTGAAGCGTCTTGTGGCGAAAAAACGCGCTTTCACAGGAAGCTACTTATCTATAAATATGCGCAAATTACTCACCTACTTCATGATATGAATAGTTTTCTGCGATCGTTTGAAAGAAAAAATTGCCAGGACATTTTGTAGTGGTCGGTGCTTTGACCGGTTCCGCAAATGTTTTCCGGTTTCGCAAACGGCGCCCTCTGCGAGACTGGACTGAAAATATTCCTTGTTTACTGGCCAAATCTAGATCGTTTTTGCCCCCAAACCAGCCAAGAAAAGATGTGGATTATATTTCCCTGTGCATGAGCCAAGGTCTGCACATTATAATGCGTCCAAATTTACAAAATGTAACTCCATGAAGTTGTTATGGTTCGTTGAATCTTTTTTTACGTTATAATAATTTTGACTTGCTTCAATCCAATTAAATGACTTTCTTGCTTTTTGTGCATTCTGTCTATCATCTTGCAATCACTAATTTTTTGTTTTTTTGTTGTTGTCTTATTTTTATTTAGACACACTCTGACGTTGGATAGAACCAGACACAAACCTTGTACCGAATTGCTCCAGTTGGTTGTTTTTTCTCACATAAGCACAGACCAGCTATTTATGAATTTGAATTAATATTTTCTCCAGGATCATTTTTAATTCCTATGACACTTAAGGGAGTTACTGCATGGCTGGATGAATTGGAACTGAATCATTGTCTGCAGGGGAGCACTGTTTATTAATATTATTTGTTTATTTAATTATTATTATTTATTTACTTTTGTTTATTCCCTCCTCCTTTTTTTCATTTTACTTTTTTTTGTGGGGGGGGGGAGTGTTTCAATTTGTTCAGGGTAACAACACAATAGGCCCCTATGCTTAATTTTGTGTGCACCAACATCCAGTAGGGGGAACCTGGGGGCCGGGAGGGGAGGGGGAACAGGCCTCAGCAGGCCAGATACATACAGGCCACATACATGTACATATTGTTTCACATTCAAATTAAATTTCACAAACAAATTAAAACAAATTGTTAAAAATGTCATAAATCCTATTTCACAGCAATGGCAATTTCTAATTATAATGTTCAGTTACTCCTCATACGTTGTTGCACATATTAACTATGTACGTGTATCATGCTTGGGCAACTGTATTAGCAAACCTCATCTACCGTTCGGTGATGCTCTTAAAAGAAAATGTCAACACATTCATCACGTATATCCCGATAACCCTTTCAATATATTGACATGTGATACCTGCATGTGTAAATGTAATACAAAACTAAAGCACTCAAGAAGCTACCCCTTTTAAATCCAAAAATATACCTGTCATATAAATAAATGGTGATGAATCACAGAAATAGACATGTTCTGTGAGTTTTTCATGCAAAGTAGCATAGTTTTTCAAACACCTCACTTCTCTTTCACATGTACTGGTTAATAAAAATGTATGTAACGCCTTTAAATTTATTGCCTTTATGACACCTGCATGTCTGTTTAATTGTTATACACAAATAATTTAAGCACTCCAGAAGCTAGCACTATACAAAAAAACTTGTCACATAAATAAATTAATTCAAAGAAATGGTGATGAAGACACACAGCTACATGTACTTCACTATAATATTCAACTTCTTCTTGACCTTCACAGGTAAAACTGAAAAAAGATGTGCTGATGGCCTCTTATGGCCTATCAGGAGGCTGGCGTAATCTTCTTCTTTGTCTTTGGCATTGTCTGTATGAAAAAGAAATTTTATATAAAACGTTTAGTTTATGACCAATTGAGACAAAAATGAGAAATGGTTTATAGTATTTGACAAATTTTGTGCTCCAAGAAAACAATCAAAATTTGTGTCTCTGTACTGACGAGAGACTGGTCTTCATAATGAAATATTAGTGGACCTATTTTTCTTTTTGTTTAAAAGGGTAAAGAGTAAGGTTAGAACCCACCGAAAAAGGATAATTTTAAATTTACTAAATTACTGGAAATGTCCTTTGGGTTAGAAAAATATTATTATGCACTATTCTTAATTGGTCCCCACAAACCTCACCTCCTAGCCTGGGCTGACTCATGCACCCTGGATGTGGAGAGTTGTAACTCTAAAATGAATTCAAACCCCTGAGGCACAACCGCTTCAACATCAAGTATGGGGTGAATTTTTTTAGAGCAAAGGAAAAGCATTTAGTGGGAAGTATTAAGAAAGATTTTTGTATTTTAAATTTTGAAGTCCAATTTTTTTTAATCAAAAACCTACACTGCTGTCCGGAAGCTGGACAGAAACAAAATAATTTTGTTTCAATTAATTTTCAATTTTTTTCACTGAACACCCAGAAATGATCATCAAATTCGACATTTTTAAACAAGGATTTATAGAAATTCTCAACTTCTTTGTAAGTTGTAAAAAAAAAAGATTCATGCCAAAATAAATAAAGTGCACCGCGCTAGGGGGCCGTCATCAACAATACTTGTCAATAGCAGCACTGGTTAATACAGTCACACCATGGCCAGTGTATTGTATAGGCAGTATGAATGCGTTTGCGGAACCGGCCAAACGACCAGCAGTTACTCTGGTGGGTATAGAAAAAAAAATTCAAAGACTTCAAATCTTATATTTGTATGGTAGAATAATGAATAATTTCCGAACAAGTTGCATCAATCGCCATGATTTAATTCCCCTGAACAATCGTGTAGCAGGCCGACAAACATGAAATCACGCTTCCGTGCGCGTTCCATTTCGGCAGTTCGTTAACGGCAAGTGACGGTCGTGGGGGATTTATTTTTAAATGTAAGTGAGTATCCTAAAACTAAAACCATTTTTGAAAAGTAGATTGAATAACCTTTCCATCAGTACCAAAGTTTAAGTCCTTGACGTTTTCGTCTTCCTGAAAACGAGAGCTAGTTTTCCGAAATTGCGGAACTGGTCAAATTGCGGAACCGGTCAATTGACTGTAGTAGGTCACTGAGCTGGGGAAAAGTGAGTGATGGTTAGATATGGGAATCCTTCCCATTATGATGGGTGTCCTTCGTGGCAGTTGTATAAATCAATATCCAGTGTAATAAATGAAATAAATTTAAAAAAAATTAAAAATGGTAAGAAGTTTTAAGAAATTTAATTTCAGACCAGTCTCATACGGTTTGTGCACAGGGTGACAAGTGATGGCCAGATATGGGAATCTTTCCCCATAATGACTTACCATATTCTATGCTTCATCTTGTTCGTAATAATATCACAGATGCCGACATATGGGGATCAATACACAGGAAATCAAAACAGAAGTTGTGAGGTGTGTGCAGTGTCATGGGCGCGGCCATTTTCCCGAGACTCATAGAGCACGCCCTCTTGTGATGTGACAAGACCATGGCGGTATCCAGCTTCGAGCTTCATGGCTGTGACTCGACTCCGACCACGGCCTTTTTTCGCGGCTCTAAAATTGTTATTTCCTTAATCAATTTCGGGTCAGGATACGTCCAGCAATTTTGTACATGAAAAAATGGTTAATCCTCTTCGTCAGTTCCAGGAAAATAGTCTGAGTAATTAATTGTAGCTTGACAAAATAAGTCACAAGTATACTATGGGAAAAAAGACCTTTGCCTGTTTTCAGACAGTTGACTCAGATCATCGCTATTCACTTTTAGTCCCATTTCATTAGGCCCGGGCTAATTAATTATAGTTTGGCAAACAAGGGGTGGGATATAAGACCTAAGACTTAAGAATAGGCCTACTCGTAAACTGCAAACGAAACTGGTTTAGTTGAACTTTGCTCATCTAGCCCTAGCTAGGCCTAAAGGCTTTTTTGCTCTTTTTTTGGGCCTGCTCAGCAGTAACAAAATTGTCCTTCGAGATGCGTTTGCCCAAACGTAGACTAGAACAAACAATTGAGGCCTTATTGTCGGAATGTCAATGCCCCTGTTGTGTCACCCACTTACATTTTGTACCTCTAATTCCACTGTCATTCTTCAACACCTTTACAGAGAACCTAGTTTTCGCATCCTTTTCACCATCCTGAGTAAAACCAGTGTTGTGGACTCTTTTGCGGTTGTAATCCCCTATCACGAGACACTTCAATTCATCACCATCTTAAGTCACCCACGAAGGTTGTCCAAGTCCCCTTTGTTAAGAGTGGAGAGGTACCTGTCACACATTGTCAACTCCTTGCCGACAGCTCTTCATGCCGCAAACACCTTTTTGTTCGTCATACCAAAATCTTTGTGGAGCTAGCTCTCTAGAATTAAGAGCCCAGTCCAAAGTGAAGACTTGTTTTCCGTTGAGTATCCGCCAGCAAATTGCTTGTGCCGCGTGAGAAAAAAAATCACACCATCGTTGCGTCAACTGCGGTGAGAAACAATAGGCCTACATGGAATCCCATTTGATGAAGATCTCACGGTATCTTGCATGCTGTTTCCAGGACTGACATTGTCAGAGAAATTACAAAGTAACTTGACAACGAACAAAACTTTAAAATCGTTTGGCTACGAGTGGAGGAAAAACCTGAAGTGGACTACAAGTACTTGCCGTCATGAATTCGGGATTAATTCGACTTTTATTTCTTTACGATGTGTCGTTCCATTCAAGTCAAGATGGACTTCGTCCTGAGATAGCTGTTTTTACGGCCAGACACTTTGGTCGTGTACACAAAGGACGCGGACGTCGTTTATGATAGATTACACTAGGCGCACAGAACCCCCAAACGATGAAATTTGTTTCTGCAAATCGCGTCCAACCTCCCGCATTCGCACTGACCCTGTAACTTCATGCATGTAAAAGTATGGGAGAAATGATAAAACACTAACAACCATGGCAACTCAGCTGGAGATGAGAGAAACAGACAGTAGCTATGTTGGCACCTCAATCTGCAGGAACGGACGTACTTTCGTGCACCGGGTGCCGTCCTCTACAAGTACAACGACCGGTCACCAGGACCAAATTCTCGGTAGCCAATCCAGTGATTCACGGTAAGTTGTAGTCAGTGTTTTCAAAATCATTGCAGTTTGCTTTTCCCTCCCTCCGGGCCGTGTTCGGGAAAAACATTAAGTGTTAATTGATCAAATTGTGTCGAGCACGGAAGCGCCGCATAACCCACAAAACGCAATCCTTAATTAATTCCAATTCAAATGCTGCAACAGGTTTGTAAAGGACCTGTTCATTTTAAAAGACACTCCATTTTTTCGTCTTTTATTTGATATAACATGGGAATATTTTGTGAAGGACGCCATTAATTCTCGGGGTTTCGACGCGAAACTAGGTATATTCGTTGCATAAGATTTACGGTAGCACCGTGTGCCAAATCGCTTTTGTGAGTTTGTGAGGTTCTGCAGAACCGAAGGAAAAGTCAACGTTTCGGAAGGTATGCTCTGCCCGTCGTCAGGAGACTGTTATCATTGCAATTATGGAAGATGGAACGGTTTAAATTGTTTCTCGTAGTTAATGACATTTTGTTTCATTTGGCCAAAACAAATCTACTTCTTGTACATTGTATGTTCCAAGCCACAGGCCCCTGCACACAGCGTCACAATGGCGCCACAGTTCTACCTCAACTATATGCCTCAACCAAGTCGTGTTAATAATTGACTTGATAAGATTGACAACCCCCACCCCCGTGGAGCGAACCTGCAGCAAGACATCTCATCAAGCGTCATAATATTAACACCCCGGAGCTATAGTTACTGACTACAATATTGCATGTTTATCACCCTTTTGTGTGTTGATGTCAACAGACTTATTTTGATGTGAGATACATATTGCCTATAATGAGCCGAATACGTTTCCCGCCCGTACAGGTATTGCTCCGGCCTATCCCCCAGTCCCCCCCCCCCCCCCCCCCCCCCCCCCGCCCAGCGCCTCCACTGCCCGTGTGCGTGTCCCCATCAGAACATGTCAAAGTTTGGTCCCCTCCCAATGTACATGTACATGTATTTACTTTCCTAACATAATAGACGTTTATAAATTGTGCATGCTGCACACGCTTAGACTTTAGAATTGAATCATGTCCGTGATCAAAATTAATGACGGGAAAATAAATCAGGATAAAGTCGGTATTGTGTATAAATCTGTAAAGGCGAATATCACGGTAATATTTGTCCGTACTTTATGCTGCTTGACAATTTTGCCCCACTGCGTATACTTTATTCAATCATAAACATTACTTGGCATAAAAAATTGAAACGAATGAAAAGTAATTTTATACCAATAAATCATATCTTGGTGTTCAGGACTATACCTACATGCCTTGTAAGTTTATTAACAACTGATGAACAATAAAGAGCACTGCAATATTTAACCCGTAACACACTACCCTTTCGAAAAATGGAGTCAACATTATAACAACTAACAAAACAACAACCAATAACGGAGCATAACGTCCGAACACCAAATTTGAAGCTTACTGAATAATATCGGAAATACACACCAGACTAGTTGTTACCCTGGCAACGTACACAACTTTCACAATGGATTCGGCGGATTGACTCTCCCGTATAGCAGGTAAAGGGTAACAGGTCAAGGAGCCGTGCCGAAACTGAATCGGATTTAACCTTCAGGTATTTTGGTGATTTCGGGACCAACCTTTTGCTGTGAATATAGTACAACACGCGACACAGAGATTATCGTTGATTCAGTACCGTTTACAACTCTTGCAAGTTTTCCTTCCCGGAATATGGGAAACGACAATGATTATTTAAGCATCATAGCCCATGGAGGAATACCTATATAAATAGAGAGCATCCGGAGTTGGGTATCGATAAAACATTGGCACACGATAACTTCAGATACGATCCCTGCACGTGTTGATTCTAACCGCATGAGCAAACCTGTACAAAAGACGCTGAGATTGTGTGATCAGGATTTATTTGTTTGTCATACGGTGCAACCGTGGTTGCAGGTATCCAGCTACTGTTGGTACTTGTCAACTAGTATTAAAGTATACCATCACTGGCGTGGTTCTGAGCATGGAGGAAGGAATAGATGTTGTGAGGGTGAAATTTGAACTGTGTGTTCCTCTACTGTTTAAAAAGGTAGGTTTTGACGGTGCAAGGACTGGGCTAAGGCATAATCAAGTATGGAAGAACATCATAGAAGTACATGTACTGCGAGACTCAAATTTGCGTTGCGCTGTTCGTCACTCTTCACAGAAGCCTATATAGGCCTACATGTAGTAACGAGTCGGGGAGTTGGTACATGTAGATGTAGTCGAATCGATTTTGAGACCATGCCTCCCCATCAAAAGATCTTTAAGATTTCTTAAAGCGCCTGCCGGCTGCTGCAGTCCTTTTCGGGCACTCTGTTCAAGATATTTCCCCCTTAAGACATTCCAATATAAAAACATATGTGTATACATATATTTTTTTCATATTGCAGCCGTCACTCTAATCTGACCGGCAGGATGACATCCTACGGTGAGCGAGATCATGGAGACACGGGAGCTTTCCTGCAGCAGTTCACCAACAGCGTCAGCCGGGCCTTGCACAAGCAGACCTGCACCTGCAACGGCCGCACCTACACGGCAGACGAACTCAGGCTCAAGAGCAACCCAGCCATCTTCGCGCCAAATTTCCTGGAAGTTTTTCGTCGCGGCAACGATTCTTTGCCACTCATTCCCGGTGATACCACCAGGGGCGCCACGACTGGACAAAAATCACCCCGCGTTGTTGAGGCAGGTTTGAAGAGTTATACCAAGCCCAAGGCGAAATCTGAGTACGAGTTTGAGCCGCTACAACGGAGGGGGAATCCCCCCAGGAAAGTGAAGATGCTCGGCAAGGCCTCCCCCACTAAGAGACAGAGGAAGGAAGTGAACCTGCCCGAGAAACTGGACGTTGTTGACAAGAGCGGTCAAAACTGGCAGATCGTTCAGGACCTCCTCAGTAAACAGCACAAAAGGACATCAGAACGCCTCAGACCATTAGATAGTTCTCAAGTCACTACAGAGTCCCTCACACCACCAAATAGCTCCCGCATCGGGCGACATCAGGGTGATATCTTGTCAAAACACGCCCCAGATGGTATTCCGAATCAACCATATTGCCGGAGAGAGGCGGACATGGATCCAGAACGCTCCGCTTTGGAGTTAGAGGAACCCAAAATGGCACATTATCAGGCACCAACGCGCAAGGTTTTGGAATTCACCGAATCTCCGCGATCCAACCCCTCCTCAGTGCCACGATACATGCCCGACCAGACCAATCACAAACCAATGTCGATGCCGGATATTCGAAAGGGCAACATCACGTACAAAGATTACCGAGGAATGCTTGCCTCTCTCACAAGAGACGGCGATGTCTACACGGAAATCTCAATCGGTGATCCTATTGGACTAAACCAACCCTCGAGGGAGACAGGTAGTTTGACTCTGCCAAGTTTAAACACCGTGAACAATTCAAACACTACCACTCGCCTCAATAAATCTAAACTGCCTCTGGAGCTGGAAAGCCTCTACACAAGAGGTGGCTTGAAGATCTCCACGCTCCGAATCGACTCGGAAGGAACTCTGCCAGGGGATTTCTTGAATCGAAACAAGGAAGAGTTGCGCCAGATGTACCCAATGTACGACTGGCGCGTTGCCAACGGCGCCCGCGAACTCGGAGACAGAAAAGGTAGAAATCCTCCAACGATCGGGACCAAGGAAACATCAACAGTGCCCTCCATGTTACAGCTCCCTGACAAGTTCTCTAGCGTTCAGCACAACTCTCCGAGGGAAAAATCGAGGTTTATCGGTAAGAGACAAAACAAGAAGGCGGTCAGGAGTGAGAAAAATAGAGCGAGTGAACGATTGGATGCGGTGAAGGAAGATTTGGACAAAACTGGAGACGTGGCCGCGGTCTTGGAACAAATCAGCGCGGGCCAGTTACCCGGAGAAATACGTCCAGCTTCAGGACTGTTTCCAAGACAACCGCCGCCGACACCGATGGACGGTCGAAGAAAAAGGGTCGCGGACACCCAACCCTAATGATAAAAAAACCCCAATATGACTGAAAATGCCGAGTTTGATATCGATATTGAAGGCTGATCTTGGTTGGGTCAAGCCGTGCCGAGCTTGTGATGGGACCGATTGGGCCGAAACAGGCTGAGAGCATGAATCTTAAAATGGGGGTTCTGCTGAAGTTTACGTATTCAATATTTTCATCCATCATCCGTCCACCAGCTCCAATACAACAATCATATCACAGGTTTAAAACAAATTGAAAACACATAAAGTTAGCTTTTGAAAGAAAAAAACACCGGAGGAAAAGTAATATATTTGTTCGTACTCGCTGCCAATATCACGGATAATGTGTCACAATGGGTACTACACAATCGGATTTAAGGCATTCGGGAATCAATATACCGGTAGTCAGGTTGTTAGGTTCGATTGAAAATATCGCCGGTAGAAAATGTTTTGGGGGGAGCTGGGGACGACCGATGGTCGATTTATTATTTTCAAACAGCCTGGGCCAAACTCTGATGTGCTCTCTGTCAAAAACAGACTCTTTAACGTTTGTTTTAGTTACCCCCTTTACAATCACATTTATATTTTTGAGACATCGGTAAAAGAGGGATGCATTCCTTGAACCGATACACCTCTACAAATTATTCCAAACCGTCGTTACATGCAATTATTTTACAGTATATTTCAGTCATATTTTAGGATCACGAGTTCGTGGGGAAACCCTGCAAATCACCCAAACACCATTGTGTGTAATACCTCCGTTTTCAAGCTCTACACAAAAGCTTCTATTAGTTTTCAACAGAATATGTAACAATTATCTTTGTAACAATTACATAACATTAAACATAAGTGTTTAATTAAATAATGCGTTGCCGAGAAACAAGGAAAAAATTTCAAAGAACCAAAAACAAGTCTATTTGAGTTTTCCATTTGCCGCCATAACCACGGCGATTGGCACTTTTATTCTTTCATTTTTCCCATTACATACGAGGTCATGCATATCCGATTCCAACAGGTCTCAATTTACATCTTTCTTGCATGCACTTTAAAGGTAATATACAACATTTGCTTTTGCTGTAATTTTTAGAAATGGATGGAGTTAGGGATTAGTTTTTTTATTGCAAATTTTGTTACACTGGCCAAGAACCAGTAAAAAAACGGTGGTCTTGTAATCTGGTTCCCAGACCCTACTTCAGACAAAACAGAGCAATTTATTGACGTCGGAGAATTGTGAGGTCAGGGAACCAGACTAGCTGGCTTGCACCCGTTCGTGGATGTGTAACCGATTGCAAACAAAATGTGGACTACATGTAATTAAATTTGGTAAATTGGGAGCAGTGTTTGAAATATTTCTTTCCAAAGTTGGAAATTGATACAAAAATTCCACTTTTCTTGAAAATGACTGCACACCAGGTGCCACGATTTCACGGGATGCTATAGACTATTATTCACTTCCAGTCAAGTAATGTATTTCATAATAATATATATTTTTTTGATGTTTGCAAATATTGTATAATACCTTTAAGTTGGAACTTCTGAGATAACAAGTTTATTAAAAGTTATTACTGAATATAAAAAATATGAGGTAAAAACCAAGAAAGTACAATACAGACAACACACAATTCTGCTAACTGTAAGAAACATTTGTGGGATTTTGGCCTGTTTTACCTTTTCCCTGGCTCTGAGGCAAGTTGACATCCGTTCATCTTATGCTGTATTTTCACTTAAAATTGTGAGGCTTGGAAATTCTGGATTTTCTTAATACTTAATAATCATGAAAGGTTCTCTCCGAGACTATTGGAAGGATTTTATAATAAAAGTTCTAGAAAATCTCTCTTGAAAAAAGCTTCTGTTACAAGGGTTGAATTGATTTTTTCACGATTTATGCATTTCAGGCCACCATACGGTACTTGATATTTTGAAGCAGCTTTTTATTATTTTTGAAAGCAATAACTCTCAGTTTTGAAGTTGCATACAAAAATTGAAACAGGAACCAAGTTTGTAATGAAGTTGTCACAAGTCAATCACAGATCATGCAGTCATGCAGGCTGCCCAACTGACAGGCGATTCACATGAGCTGTGAAAATGATATTCCTTTTAGCGTTATTTATCCCGTTTCTCGTGACAGTACTAAGTTTTACAATTTTGCTTGTAATTACTCGATTACAACTGACAAAAACCTCCATCAAAAGATGTGAATTCTAACGATACACGTATTTTAATGATACATTCCTCTGATGTTCTGAAGTTCCAAACAAAAACCTAAAACAAAAACTACAACCTTGTCCAAACAAGGTTTGGAGCGAGAGTTGAAGGCATTTACACCACCATACCTCTCTCAATGTTGTTAACTATACTCTTGTCTATATACAATATACTTTGTGTCATGCTTAAGTTTTATATGAAGATATATTTACACGTATAAAGTTAAGGCACTGAGTAGAATAATAATGATGATGTCATCAAAATAATTGCTGAGGTCACATCTCGTAATCATACAAAGCATAACAAACATAACGAGGTAGTTGTTAATACATTCAACTTTACAGGCGATAATATGACTGTCTTTAGGCCAATTACAATATTGGTGTAAGACAGTTTCTGTGTTTTAAATGTTAAAGTCATGTTTAATATTACCACATGCCTACAAATGCAATGTCTTAATTAATCACAGAATTTGGAGATTTTCTTTTTTCATCGTTTTGCTGAAAAACAAAATCGAGCAGTGAATTAAAAAGATAAGGGTCCTTAAAAACTAAAAAATCTTAACCTAAATTTTGTCAATATATTTTATGAAGAAAGTGACTACACTGTACATTAAAAGTAATATAATTGTTAATTTGAAGACAAAAAAGTCAGCCTTTGAAATGGCCTTCGATCTGATTTTACTGGATATCTTGATGCTCATCAAGTTTGAAAGACCCTTTACGCCGTAGAAGTGTGATGTCGTGCGGATCGTCTCCAATAGTGATGTGTCCAAAAACAATGTCTTGTCCACCATTTTTACCGAAGGATTTGTTAAAAATTTTCTATTTGAATTTTCTCAGACATTTAGAATAAATAAGACCGGAAAATAGGACGGTGCTTCGTAGCTGACTGTAGTTATCACTCAGAATGTGACGGATTTCTTTACGTTTCTTTTCTAACGGATGAAAAACTGATGAAACGTGGATACCGCGCTATTACTAGCGTAAGGCTGAGTTTGTGTAGACACATCGCCCCGGGCAATGGCGTATGGCGTAACCACTTCTACGGCGTACCGTCACTGCACATTAACTACAGAAGGGGCCATGTGGACAACTCACTTGACCCAAGTGAGGGCATACTTTAACAAAACAAAGCATGCACGTTTGCAACCAATTTCCACAAGAACATGCTCAAAACCGCTGCACAAAATGCTGCTCGTGCGCAAACAAGAGAAATACTCGTGAGCAGTGAATGGTAGGAAATTGTCCAGAAAGGCCCTCAAGTATAAATTATTTCCACATTTTTATAGTCCTCAAGAGTCAAATCGAGTAAGTCACTATATTTCAAGTCAATATTGCATGAAAATTACATTAAATAATGTAATGCTGTTAATACTGTTTACAATTTATAACTCGGAACCAAAAACTGAATTGGCAATGGTTAAATGAGTAGTGTTTATTACAGCAGTGTGGTACTGTACATAAAAATCACTTCCCTGAATTATTACAAAAACGAAAAAAAGTTTAAAAAAAAACCTGACCAGATGTAGGCAATTGTGACTGCTAGAGTTGATGCAGGTGGTCAATCTGATGGATACTCAGGCACTCCATCTTCGGGAAACCGTCCAGGAGATCCACTTGGAATCTGGACATGCCCGTGTTGAAGGTGACCCGATTGGCAAGGCTGGGGCCCTTGGGCACGAAACAGTTGAGGTCCTCGATGAAGTACCGCATCAGTTCCCGGATCAGGACGCCGTGGGCGACCACCAGGATGTCTGCCACCATGCCTTCCAGGTCCACGTCCTCGTCAAAATCGTCAGTGTCCTGACTGCAGAGGCTGCCCTCAGAGTAGGAGATCTCAATAGCCCCCTCTTGTGACTCACTCCCGCCCATGGAGGATGACGACAGGGTCACATTGGGGGCGTATTGGTTACTGAGGGGTGACTGTCTGTGGTATTGAGGGGTTTTACTCCCACTCTGTTGAGGTTTAGAAGGGAGGCACGTTTGGACGTCACTTGTAAGGCCTTCTGAACTTCCGTCAGCTTGGTCTCTGGGATCCTCATCATCTGATGATGGGCCAACTGTGAACTCAACTGGAGGCACGTCCACCTCGTTGGAAGCACTCACCCCTGACGATGCAATGGAAGACTCTGGATTTGTAGGAGTTGCTGCTGACGAGTTCGTACCATCCTCAGACTTGAGGGTTTTTTTAGTGGCTGTACATTTTGTGGGAGGGTTTTGGAGTGCATTACCCTCTAGGAAGTCATCGCACAGCTCTTTGAAAAAGGAAACGGCACGTTTTCTGACCTGTAAAAAATGTATTGACTTGTCATCACAGACTGCACATGATTTTTCTGCTCTTTAAAGAAAACAGCAGCTAACATCTTAAGAAGTGAATTACATTTATTTGCAGTATAAGTCTTGATATTCAAAGTCATATTGTCATATCTGAGTTCACATCTGAATGAGTCACTTCCAAGAAAGTAATTTCAAGTAATTTATATGTTCCATTGAGCTTAAGAAACCCTTCGGTAGACAGGTGTATTTTGTAAGTCAACACATTAGCACCTGTACTACATTGTGTGATATTGTATTTATTATTACCTCCGCCAAGGAGGTTATGTTTTCATCTGATTTGGTTGGTTAGTTGGTTGGTTAGTTTGTTGGTTGGTTGGTTTGTCTGTTAACAAGATAAATCAAAAACTTATGGACGGATTCGCATGAAAATGTGTTCAGGGGTGGTCCTTGGTACAAGTACAAATCAATTAGATTTTGGAAGTGATCCGGATCTGGGTCTGGATCCAGGATTTCTTTTGAGGATTCTTCACCACTTATGCGAATATTTCTTCTGGGTGTACTGACACCATGGCGGGGAATTGTTTAGCCTTGGCGGATGTTGCGCTCTCTGAGTGCTTTCTAGTTCTCTGTTGAATTCATAAAACCACAACGCACTCGGGTGGTTTTGGGCTGTTCAGGGAATAACAGGCAGGGCGGTTTGGGGCGGTACGGGGAAAAATGGGTTCATGGAAATTCCTCATTAAATTAGGACTTCACTTTGACTTACTTGATCGATTGTTTCTCCTCCCTCTGGAGTGAAATGTTTGTGATGTTTGCCTTTCCTGGCTTGTCCCTGGTACTCCTTCACTGGTATCCCTTCCAAGCGTCCATAACCCTGACAATCAATAGAGAAATTCAGCGTATCAAAGATGTTTAGTGTATTAAACCCTACTTTTACAATTCCTACATGAACAAAACACATGAAATAAGAGTCTATGGGCAAGTCCAAATATATATATATGCACTAGGAGGCCCACTTGCAATTAAAGGTAGAGTATATCATTTGCAGTTATCCAAAAAGTAACTGACAAAATTATTGTTGAAAAGCATACTTGGTTTAAAGATAGTAATGGTACTAAACTCCCTGTGAAATTATTCTACCTGGCATGCTGTCAATTCCAAAGATGCGTCTAAAGACGTTTTTTTTGGAAATTTCCGTTAGTAGTTCGTTTTTAATTCGGCGAAGCCGTAAAAGGGTGCGCGCAAGCATTGACACGGCGCTGATTTCGGGCGCAATTCAAAACGTGACTCGGCAACTTTTGAATTGAAATTGAGATCCTAGAATATTGTTGTTGGAATATACTTTCACTGAGCTAAAATTTCACAAGGTTAGTTGTTAAGCACCCTTCTTTAGATTTAGAGCACTTTTGTTGCTTCAAATGAAACAACATGCAAATTCGTATGGTAATTGAGTATGTGCTTAAGTGCATTTTTCCTGACAAAACGCCTCCTCTCCTTCTGCTTACCCTTTCTCTTAACCTTTGATCTGTGACGACCTTCGGCCTTTCCACTGTTCCATGGTCCACAATGGCTTGAGCAGTCTGGGAAAAAAATTACAGACATCGTGTCCATTATTCATGACTTACTACATTTATGACACATGTTCTGCTGTGAATAAATGTTCTCAAGTCAGAATTAAGAGATTGCCCTCGGTGTGGGCAAATCTTGATGTTTTCAAATTAAGTACTTAAATAAATAGATGAAACTGATTATGAAGACTAGAGAAGCCATTCAGGGAAACTGAATAACTGGAAGCATAAAAATTATTAATTTGAAGTTTTGAACGAATAAATTGACTGGAGCCAGTAAACTGGATTCAAGTCTGAGTCAAGAGATCCAAGGCCATGACAAATGCAAGGATGGCTATTATGCAGAATTGTGCCTAGAATCAAGGCTATTAAGTTGCAGAGTGACAGGACAACAGAGTGTGTCACACCCTACCTCTGTCGCCCTCTGGAGGTCACTGGCAAAGATCTTGGTGAATCGGTGCTGCTCTAATGCCTTGGCCAGAAGCCAGATCTGCTTCCTCCCCTCCTCAGACAATGGAACGTCCATTTGACCTTTGTAAAAGAGGGGGTCAAAAATGGGAAAGTTTGGAAACAACAGTAGCACTGCCTCGACTTCTGTAATATACGCCTCGCTTAAAATTTTAAAATAAATCTTGCAATGGCAAGGCTAAACATGCCCACTTTTGGCTCCCGTACATGTGTACTGCATACAATGATACAACATTATTCATGGTTAGGGGCCATCTTAACTCATACAAATATTAACCTGACAGCACATTGAATATTCAAAAGCATAATCTAAGTTGAATCAAGTGCCATTTATTTTTGGGGGTGTCATTAAAGGGTTAAACCTTAAATTTGGTATCTAAAGGTAGGATCATTTCGGGTTTTGGGTTTTTTTTTTCGTTTGAAGCAACAATATTGCTTACAATCTTCAGTAGGGCGCATAACAACAAAACAGTTTAGCTCAGTGGAATTGAGGAGAAAACATATGCAAAGTTTTTTGGTCTGGTGACAGGATTCCATTGCTTACACACATACATGTATGTTGTGCCATCCCTATCTTCGCTTGAGCAAGTTATTTTGATTATTTGAAGGGAATGTACAACATTTGCTTTTGCTGCAATTTTCAGAAATACATGGATTTGGAGGATTAGTATGTTCATGTTATAGCAAATATTGTTGAACTGACTTGCTTCACGTTTTGGGTTCGGAGATGCTGGAAAATCCAAGAAAACCAACCATGATCTTGTAGTCTGGTTCCCTGATCCCACTTATGGTGAAACGGAGCAACTTATAGGCTTTGGGGAATTGTAAGGTCAGAGAATCAGTCTAGCAGGCTTGTACCATTTCACAGGTGTGTAAACAATTGCAAAGAAAATGCAGAATAACTAAATATGAAAAATTAGGAGCAGTTTTTGAAAAAAGCCAGTTTTCTCCAACGCAAGTTTTCTTGAAAATGTCAGCACACCAGGAGCCACGATTTTACAGGATGCTTTGGACTGTCATTCCCTAACAATCCAGTAAGATATTTCATGGTAATTTGATCATTTCGTTTTTTGATGTTTGCAAATGTTTTTCTTCCCTTAAATTGGTACATGTACATGTAGATGCGTTTCTGGTGATTACTAATGTTCCTATACTGTATGCCTATAAAATAAATGTTGTCCCTGGTAGTAAATTTAATTTATAAACAACAATTTTGGTACAAAATTCTTTTTCTCCAGTCTTACCTTGGATGATACCATCTTGGTTATATATTGTCTGGCCACTGTTAACATTGAGAAAATAAAATGAAATAAAATTGTAAAACTAAAAACTAAATTTGAAATCATGACCACTTGTGATTTGAAAATTGGCAATTGGGAAAAAAATGTACAAATAAGTCCATTGAAAAGAAATTCAGAAAACAGTAAACCTCGATAATATGTTACATCTAAGGATCTGTGGAGGCACAGAGTTTGAAGATTGTAAAATTAAAAAGTTTATACATGAAGCACTGAAATTCGAAGCGCAGCTTTCAACTCAGTTTCGTATCCAATTATGAAAAGAAACAGGATGTTTAACGACGGTCAATTAAAAAAAAATCGTGACAAGAGTTTGTCATACTAATCCCGTCTGGAACTAAAGAAGCATAAACATTTCCTTCCTTATCAAATGAACTGTTTTGAAACATCAGTGTTGATTTTGGAATGTCTGCGAAAAACTGCACGCTGGAATTTTAATACACTCAGCACGGTCTTAATTTTTGAGATCAGGGAAAAGAACCTAATTGGAAAAAGTCCTTCACAAACACAGAGTCTGGTCCACAGAGGATTGGATTTAATCTCTAGCGTGCCCGCCAGCCAGGAAGTTTCCCTGTGCCCTTGAGTGTCTCCGGCCCTATTTTCATTCATAATTTTCCATCCCCCCATTTCATATTTATAGGATGACTGGGCAATCTGCCAAGTCACAAAGTGGTTAATTTTGGTTAATTTTGCTGTCCTACTCGGCAATTACCAGGGTATGACAGAATTGCAAGTCACTAACTGACCACTTGTCAATTTGTCATCTATACTACTGAACTTTGGGTTTTCTGTAAACTAACAATTCAGGCATTTTGCTAACTTCCAAAAGGAACATTCTTTGTGGGTTAGATTTCATTTAACTGTGGCTGGGCTCTTTCTTCCTCAATACTGTAATATCCTTTAAAAAAAAAAAAAAAATTCAATGGGTCTGGGAGGGTTAGCGTTTACACCTCAATTGACTCCAACTATGGACTGATGAGTCTGTGAACTCTTGACAAATATTTGGAAAAAAACTATCCCCAAACCAAAGGTCCAATGTGTTCAGTAGTTGCTGCAACTTGTACACGTATCAATGAGAGAACGTTGTCTACAGAAGTGGGGCATATTGTAAAGGGTGGAAATCAAGTTCAAAAGGCATTTTCACTTATTTTTGAACCTCTTCTGTATTACAAAATTTGCAAGAAAAAACAAATAAACACCTTGCCTTAAAATTGTAATAAATATACATGTGGTAACCCCATTTTACGGACTCATTTCATCCGAATTTCACAGAAGTGCGAGCTTGCAGTCCTGCCCATGGCTTCTACCCTTCTTTTTTACAAACCCTCGTGTTCATGGCCAACAAAATACTCTAATACCGTATTATTTAAGGGCATGCAAATCATGATTTGGTCAGCATAGGCAATTTCAGGCCTATTTACTGGCCTGCACCCATGGAGTATTCTGTTGAACATGTTTTTTTGGCAAAGGACCTTTCCGAACCGTCAAAACTCCCACTACGGTTAGCCTGCAAACCCTAAAAGGTTAAAAGATAAACACCATGTACAAAAGTAGATTAAAAGTCTACAAGTTTCATACAACCCACCCAGGACGTTTCCTACCACAGGCTACAGACATCAGGAGTTGATTGATTTTGTTTCTGTTCAACCACATGATGGTCTCACCAAATCGCCCAGACTGCCTAATTACTTGATTGGCATCTTGACTGGGCTAAGCCTTCCCAGGAAGGCAAGCGACCTTGACTGGTTTCCTTCCCCGTGCTTGTTTACCCACCTCCAGTGACCTTGACCATGACTGTATAAAAAGTGCAAGCGTGTTACCGCCTTCCGCTGCTATGACATGGGGAGGGAGGCTAATTAGTGGAAAGCAGTTCGATCAATTTTGGTCATGTTTGCGTGCGTGCTTAGTGGCTGACTGCACATTTCAGCACTGATAAGACATTACGCACTAGCGCTTGAGTGGGGCCATAAAGTTTAAAGGCAAAGATTATTATTGGTTTGAAAGTTACCTGCAATTAGGTATTAAATGCACTTGCAAGCAGGGTGTCTGGTGCCTGATACTATACATTTAGTTACATGTATGTTTGTTTGCAATTCTGTTTAAGTAAATCATAAATTCTCCACATGCATAAACAGACGATTTTGAAACTTAGCTACATCCTGAAGTTGGCTAGAAATCAAATCAAATTCTGCAAAATGGAGAATACAGTCGACTCTCGTTAGTACAAACTCTGTTTTTACAAAATTCTGGTTTATAACAAACATAAAGCCTTGGTCCCGACTGTGCATTTATGTGCACAATGAATGGGACTGAAGTTCCTCTTATTATACAAAATTCTGATATAACAAACAATTTGGCTAGGTCCGAACGAGTTTGTTATAACGAGACTCGACTGTATATGAAGTAAACCAATCAGCCTGCTCTGATGGACCAGTATGTACATCTTTCATGTGTAAAAAAAAAAATGCATTATTTAAACCTTGAGCAGAAATAAAGTTTGCAAATTTAGCCTTATAGAAGGTTTAGAATGAGCATCCATTGCCCTAACCTTCCAAAATCCTCCAGGCAGTTTTGGAGGTTTTGGAGGATTGAGGCTGAATGTCAAAAAAGTGTCTATTTTGCAGGATGCATTGTGTCGAGATCGTAGGCTGTACCCAGCATCGTTTATGTTCAGCAATGCATAATTGAGACCTGCATTGTAAATGCTCGATATCATCCACACTGCTTCTGAATGTCATCGGCACTGCCTCAACCCATTAAACAGTATTTGTTAGAGGATTCTGAAGGATTGAGGCAATGGCCACCCTTCCACTGAACAAATTCAGCATCCATGGATGTCTTACAAATCATGGGTAATAATTCGAACTGTGCTACATATCCCCCATATCTGAATATTCAATCATCCAACGAATATCCGAATAGGATTTTCCCACACAGAATATTTCAAAAATGAGAGAGGTAGACCTCGAAAAAGATTATAAAAAAAAAACACCAGTGATGTAATTTTATTTGTTCAAGTTGAGTGGTTTTATTCTTTTTCAATTAAATGCCATATTTTTGTGAACAGCCAAATTCATGCTTGATTGAAGAGCTGGCATAGGGATATTAGCACTAATTTGCATCTTTAAAATCTGTCAAATGTCAGCCTGTCAGCTGCATGGAATAAATTTTTTGATAAAATACATTTTTGATGTTCAAAAAAACAATTTCACCTCAATGTCAATGTTCGAAAATTCGATCAAATCCAAGTCCCAATAATCAAATACTAAACAAGAAAGCACCCAGAGAGCGCAAAACTCCGCATAGGCTAAACAGTTCCCAACCATTATTGTCAGTACACCCAAAAGAAATACTCGCATAAATGGTGAAGAATCCACTAAAAAAATCCCAGATCCAGACCAAGATCCGGATCACTTCCAAAATCTAATAGATTTGTACAAATTTGTACCAAGGACCACCCCTAAACACATATTAATGCAAATCTGTCCATAACTTTTGAGTTATCTTGTTAACAGACAAACCAACCAACCAACCAACAAACTAACCAAATCCGATGACAACATAACCTCCTTGGCGGAGGTAATTATTCAAAAATAAACAGCACTGATTTGTCAGATATAGAGCCAGAGGTCTTGGCACTAGATTAGCCTTTAATAAGGCCAAAAAAATTACTTCTGCTTCCGATTACATGTCATTCAAAAATAGGGTAGGTAGGTAGGGAATTTTTTTTGGGGGGGGGGGGGCATTTTATTGTGTACGATCATATGGAGGCATCTGTGTGTAGTCAAGGATAAAAGTTAGAAAATGATGGTTTTGGGTGTTTTTTCTAATTTGTCCCATAAAAATATTTGGGTAGGGGCTGTCAGAATTGGGTAGGTAAGGAAACCGGAAGCAGAACTATATTTTTTTTTGGCCTAAGGCCAATTGGCCAAGCCAGCCTGATGGCATTTTTGTAGGATAGGATTATGTATGCATGGTGACTTAAAAGTACTTGTAGCAATGGCTCTTTGCACAGGGACTGAGTGGTGACTGGAAATATCAGAGCAAAAATATCTGTTTGAAAGTTTCATGCAATTTTTTTTTAGTAATGCACTTGTTATGCCAAAACTATAGAAATGGTCCCAACAACAGTTTGGTAGTATACAAATACAACAGGGTTTGTGGGGAAATTGTAAAAACTATTGACCTCGAGGTGTTGGATGATTGGGACTATCTCCTGAGATAAAGCCGAGGGAGATAGTCCCAATCACAGGGACTGGTTCACAGTCAAAATAAACACTGCCCGATTTCAAATTTTGGTTTGATAGCCAGGTTGTACACAGCCGTTAATCATTATGCTAAAATCTTTCCAAATTTTCTCACTGCAATTCTTGTTGAAAAAAGGTATTGTCTGGCTCTAATTAAGTTTTGCAAGCTGTTTTCGTGCACTACACTATTTTAACCACAAAAAAAGAGGTGATCGTCTGGATTTTTTTAAAAGAGGATGAGAGCCTCTTTTTTTTAAAAGAAAAATAGGCTAAAATAGCCATATTTAGCGTACATGATATGTGCCTAAAAAGGAGGAGGCCCTTTCGGAAAGATTCCCATATCTGGCCATCAGTAATTGTTCCCTTAAGTGAACTACCCGCCATCAGAAAGTGATAATACGTCCTAAAAAGTCAAAATTGGCAGGGACAAATTTTGAATTTTTACTGAGAAAACACTTACAAATTTTCAGACCAGTCCCATAGGGTTTGTGCACAGGGTGGCAAGAGATGGCCAGATATGGGAATCTTTCCCCTACTAATAAACTATTTAGAGGCATCTGAACTTCTGAAACATAACCCTAACGTCCTAAAAAGGGCTCTTTGGGGGTCAATGACCAAATGCTACAGAAAAATGTGTTGTGCAGACTTGTTATTGTATGGAAAGAAATGCATACTACTCAGCAGTATTTTGTAGCTTTAGGTGAGGTAAGGGTTAGGCCTAAGCCAAGGTTAAAAAAAGTTATGCCTGAAATAAAAAACAAAACAAAAAAACCCAAATATGCACTATAGTATAAGTATAATGCAGCCTCAAAAAAGGAAGTGGGTGGGGACGATCAACTGGTATTTTGCTTATTCGGCCTTACAACAAATTTGACAAAACCGTAATCAAATTATCAATCTCACTTTCTATTCTAAAGAAAAATCCAGACCACTTCATCGGGATGAAATTCATATGTAATTTACAAACCTGTTAGTGTTACTTGATCAACGAACTCAACAGCCCTACTGTGTGTGTAGACTATGTACAAATGCCTCTCGTGCATCCAGACTTGAGCTGAGTGCTCGCTCGCTCGGCGCGGCGCGGCGGGCTCAACACAAGTAGGATACGCTATACGGTTGGGTGGGTGGGTGGAAATGTTGACATCCAGCATTCATGATTGAATAAAACCGAGCAGAATACATGCAAACATTTCTCCACTTACTGTCTCACAAGCGTCAGAATGAACCTCGCCATCTCCTCAGACAGCTCGCACGCCTTGGCTGCACAGCTTGTTCTGCCAAAATCGCACAAGAGCTGGTGAATTTATAGGCGATTTGGGCTCAGCTTTTTGTCAGCTCGCATGCCGTGCTTTACCGGTGTCTGGTAATAATCGTCGGTACACCTACGCGATTGCGTATTGTGGCCACAAAACCCGTTGGTCCAATCTTAGACCAGACGTTTGCAGTTTGGATGCCAGACCGTGTCCTCTGTTGACCTCGTGACCTGTCTGGGGAGAATTTATTCGTCTAGCTAGCTGCGGTCTGAAGGTCGCGAGTATTGCGTTGGTCATACATGTACTGCTAGTTTATAGGGTTAGTAAATTGGCAACAAAATATTTCGTCAGTAAAATCATTCGTTATTTTTTTTTGTATACTTGCCAACGTGCGAACTGAAAGTTTAAATGATCGCCGTGAAACGAAATACATGTAATAATTTTTCCCCAGTACGTGAGGGTATTGTACATTCCAAAATCGGCTTGAAAAGCAGTCTTATAACTACTCATGAATAAATTCGTCCCGGCGATATCGGCCCTCGGACAGTGCCTCTTTAGGCCAAATAAAAAAACAACATGTTTAGCGTCTCCGCCCGCTGGCTTTTTGGAGGCCGCTTCCTTTTTTTTTTCAAACCGAAAAAAATGATAACTTTTAAACAGTGACGTCATTTTGGCCTCTTTGTCTGTTGCATCTAGCCCATATATGTCATTTCCTTAGTCCAATGGCGGTATTAAAAAAATAATAATCTGGCGGCCATCTTGAAAAATAGCCAAGTCGGGCGGCCATTTTGGAGAGAAAAAAGGGCCTCCCGCTTCTTTAAGGCAGGACGCTGAACATGTTTTTTTTTGGCCTTATTTAGAAGATGGGTCATGTAATTAAGCTTTGATATTCCTATTAATTATACATGTATTTATCTTCTACATTTCGATTTGCGTAGCAGTTGCATGACTAGGGACCGGTACTGAATGACGGATTTGCGTGCATGCGCAAAAGTTTAATTCCCGACGTCCAATTTAGCAGTAGATTTTTGTTAAAAATGAAACAAAACTAAAGACTTGAAGTTGGTCTAAGTTTCAAGTAGGAAAAAATTGAATCTGTTGAAGATGTCGGAGAGTAGTTCTTTACAAAAAAAATATTCTCCCTCGATTGAAAAGAATAGGCCCATAGGCCTACAATCCTACAGTACACATATGTCGTGATTATCCAACTCAAAAGTTGACTGACCGAGCGAGCGGACGGTAGTGCATGCTTATGGGCAAGATGCCAGGCTGGCATTGTTATTTCAAACACGACGTCTTAAGACAAGACGTGTCCACATCAGCAGCTAGAACTCATCATTGAGGCGGGGTATGCACGTTGGAAATCTTTCCGCTTTCTTTGGAAATGGAAATGAGGTGCAACCAGCTAGAATAATTGCAGGAAATTAAGTCGGAAATGTTGTACCCACAACAAGGTGCGTATAGTCAGGGGAAACTTCCCTCAAACTTCATCATCCTACGTATGTTCGAGGCGGGGTCAATGATTCAGTGTCCTGTAGTACCTGTACCGCATAGATGGATTGAATAATGGTTGAAATGTCGATGGCAGTTCAGTTTTAATAACGCCTTCAAAATTCAAATATAATAGCGCCTGGAGGCTGAAATTCACATAAAATAATTAGCAGCATTTTGTGTGCACGGCCGAACCTGCCGACAATCGGCCATGCATAACAAAATTGCCATTAGGGCCTACATATTAGGCGGCAGGCGCGGTTCTATGGAGGGTCGGGGAGGGGCTAGGGTGGCTTTGGGCCCCCCCCCAACTTTTGTTTGCCCCCCCCCCCAAAAAAAAATCCCCCACCCAAAAAAATGAAATAGCAGTAGCGAATGTTACAGAAGGTGACGTCACATGCGAACGGTCTACCCATAAAATTCGCTATTTGCCGGTCAGGCGCGGATTCAGAGGGGGTGGTTTTTGTGTCAATCCCCCCCCCCCCCCCGTTAAAAACTGTTGGAAATTGTATTGATAATAATAACGTACATGTCTGCCAGAGGAGTAGCCATTTGTGAGAAGGGGGCATATTTGTACACTATTAGGTATTATAGTGTGCATGATCGTAGGATTTGATCAGCGCTCCCCATTGAAAATATGATACCCCCCCCCCCCCCCCCCCCCCCCCCCATTGATTTTCGGAGGCCTAAGTGTCCGGAGAAAAAAACGGCCTACATTTCAGCACGCTTCCCTCGACAAAATTTCTGGATCCACCCCTGCAAGCCCCCTAAAAAATATGGGGCCGTATCGTAAGTCCCACGCTTCATAAGTCCGACGCCTCATAAGCCCGAAATTTAGGAATCATGAGACATCGGATTATGATGAGGCATATTGGACGGCCTCATAGCTCCGACGCCTCAAAGTTCCGACGGGTGCCTAACTATATGTTTCCCAATACCGATGTTCCCCATACCGATGTTCCCCGAAATCCCTACCCTATAACCCTAACCCTAACCCTAACCCTAATCCTAAGGATTTCGGGGAACATCGGTAGTGGGGAACATCGGTATTGGGGAACATCGGGTAGACCCCATTCCAACAACGGACAAACGATGTTTCGGATTCGGACTTATGAGGCGCACTTAATATGAGGCGTCGGACTTAGAGGCTTCAGACTTATGAGGCGTCGGACTTATGGGCCTTTATTTGGTTGGGGTGAGATTTTGTCGGACCATGGAGGAAGGAATTATGGTCGGACGTAGAGGCGTCGGACCTATGAGGCGTCGGACTTATGAACCGCGCCTGATTATAGGCCGATAACATTCCCCCCTCCCAATGAATTCCCCACTTTTTTGCTCTTAAGAGCAATGATAATATTTTGTTCAGGGTTCGACCTTATACCTTTTTTCACTAGCCAGCCGGGATACTGAAACAGACTCTTATTTAGCCCGCGGGCATTTTCACTAGCCCGCATGTTTTTCTTCTACAGAATGCAACTCATAAACAGCAATGTGCACAAAATATTATAAGTTAATATTAAACGTGTATCATGAGGCAATCTCGTACTGTATTTTAATAAACAGATCTAATAATATAACCATGAACAGTTAATAAAATTAGACTCAAATGATACAGGTTAGCCCTTTTCTGAAATTAATGATTTATTTCTTCCTGTCCTTTCATAATTTGCCGTATCCCAATTTTTTACTCGCCATGCAGCCTGGCTACTTAGGAATAGTTTGTCAATAGCCCGCCGCTGTTTTGACAAACGATTATAGCAGGCTACCGCTAAAGTCGAACTAGGCCTAGTGCATTTATTTTAAGAATCTCTATAAAACTTCAGGGGGTTCACGGTTTCCATACCGGGTTTAGAAATAAGTAATCAATAATGATTACCCGGATTTTCCAGATTTATACGATAGTTTCTGATGCGCCTAGTTTGTGGCATGTGAGCTCTAAACTTCGATGGACTTCACAGTGGGCATTTACCAGCGCCCTCCCCACTTTTAATTTTTTTTCTTGCCCCGCCCACTTTTGATTACGGCCCATCCACAGATGCGTGTGTGGCAAGTAAAACTTCTCCCGCCATAATGGTTGTCAGTTTCTTGAAGGAAATGCACATGCGTCAAACGCTTTTGTTTTGTTACGGTTTCGTTCTGTTGATTTTTGTGGGTTTTGTTTTGTTTTGTTGATGTTGTTGTATGGTTGTAATATGACCCACTGTGACGATTTCCTTTGATCACGAGGGTCTAGGACCGGGGACCGGGTGACCAGAGTTGCTGACTCGAGTCATGTGACTTGGACTCGAGTCGGACTCGAGTCGCTACTTTTGTGACTTGTGACTTGACTTGTAAATACCAGCTTTGACTTGTGACTTGACTTGGACTTGCAAACAATGACTTGTGACTTGACTTGGGATTGCAAAAAATGATTTGTTACCAACCCAAGTCAGACGCTACTCGAGCGACCCAATACACTTTAATTAAGCTATTATACTTTTAATTGGCTTTTTCATTCCAGAAAATAGACCTCAGTGACTGAATCCAGTAAAATGAATAGTTCCCACTAGTTTCAAAAGTTTTCAATAAGACTGTCACAACAAACTACAGTTTTCAATGACCAATTGTCTCTTGCTTAATGTATTGGTTGAACAAAGGGGGGGGGGCGACAAGGTTTCATGGGGGGGGGGGGCGGTCGCCCCCCCCCCCCCCCCCCCCCCCCCCCCCCCCGCCGGTGGCTACGCCTCTGACCTAATGACTTGTGACTTGACTTGTGACTGGACCTAATGACTTGTGACTTGACTTGGACTTGCAAAAAATGACTTGCTGCCACCTCTGCGGGTGACTCAAAGGGGGGGGGGGCGTGGGGGGCGGTCGCCCCCACGCCCCCCCCCCTCCCCCCCCCCCCCCGCCGGTGGCTACGCCTCTGACCTAATGACTTGTGACTTGACTTGTGACTGGACCTAATGACTTGTGACTTGACTTGGACTTGCAAAAAATGACTTGCTGCCACCTCTGCGGGTGACTCAAAGTCTTAGAGGGACTCAAAAGGAAATAGGTCAACTCGTACGCGAACCAACTCGTACGCGAACCAACTCGTACGCGAGTCAACTCGTACGCGGATTGGTCAACTCGTACGCGAACCAACTCGTACGCGTGCCAACTCGTACGCGAGCCAACTCGTACGCGAGCCAACTCGTACGCGAGCCAACTCGTACGCGAACCAACTCGTACGCGGGCCGTTTTAGGAGTGGTTTCGAGGATTGGGTTGGCATGGTTGGGAAGAATTTGGGAATAGTGTGACGGGTAGTCCGTAGTTCAATGTGTGACCGTTGTGTGTGATTGGGATTGAACCTGTGAATGATGATAATAAAGTAACTGATTTTTGTAGTTAGACATGTGTTGTATCGTTTTGTGCATACCTGTAGCCTTGTCACGTCAAATTTAATTCCATATATTAATGCAACGATGTACCAGTTGCATTTTTCGTGTTTTTTTAATCGATGTACCTGTCAGTCAATTAATTGTCACCACTGACCCAATTGCAATGCTCTGGACTACCATGGATCTGTTCTCGCGGTTCGGTGTCCTAAAAGAACCGGCGGGTTTAGAAGATCAAAAGAGATCGATCAGACTTGTCAACTGCCTGTCACTCAACTTTCATTGTGGTTCACAACCATTGATCAATTAAAAAGCAGACACGCGGGGACATCCGTAGGCCTAGCAATTTCTATTTACAACTGAAATGCTTGGTATAACCATGGAGATATAACACATAACACATCAGGGTTCGAAATTAGCGGTATAGCCCGCTAACCAAATGCTTGTCAAAACAGCGGTGGCCGGGGCTAGACAAACTATTCCTTAACCAGGCCGGCGTGCGAGTGAAAAATTATTGGGATACGGCAAAGATCAACGAACAGAAAGGAAAAAAAATCATAAAATTCAAAAAGGAAACCCCTTTAATTTGTGTCTAATTATCAACTGTTTTAGAGGATTAAATTATCTGATCTGTTAATCAAAAACACCAACAAAATTCCCTCAGAATTGCGCTTGAAAATACGCCATTTTGTATCTGAGATAAGAAAAAAATGCGGGCTAGTAGAAATGCCCGTGGGCCAGTAGCCCGGCTGGCTAGTGAACAAAAGAAGTTGAGGTCGAACCCTGCACATTCCGCCCCAATGTAATTGTTCTCTCCTTTTTTTATTATTGTTCTTCCCCAACCTTCCTTGCCCTCTCCATTTTCATTTCCTCTCCTTTTTAATTCTATCCTCTGAGCCATTTTAAATCTGTTTGCAGCATAACAAAATATATGATGGCCAGTATTAATTTGGTGCGATGGTCCGGGATAAAATGAAAAAAACATTGTGTCTATCATTATTTTTCCCTTGATTTCAAAAATGTCAAACTGTTATCTAACTCCAGTGCTTTCCCCGAGTCCACTCCACCCTATGCCTAGTGCGCTTTCCCGCTGCCTCAGAAAGCCAACAGCTAGAATCACTGAAGTGTGATTGTGACGCCGCGTACGTGTTATGTTGCGCTCGAGCGCCGGCATCTTTAATCTATTAGGGGTATTGTTTCGTAAACGTGGTAACATGGGTGTGTTAAAGCTTTCAAAAATCAACTACATTTAATTTGAAAATCTCAACCTTTTAGAAAAGGTAAAATTATGCCGACCTACCGTACCGAACCTAATTTCATCTGTCCATGTGAGCTAAACCAATCGTCTAAACTCACGCGTACGAGTTGGTCCGCGTACGAGTTGGTCCGCGTACGAGTCGGTCCGCGTACGAATTGACCCGCGTACGAGTTGGTCGCGTACGAGTTGGTTCGCGTACGAGTTGACCTGTATTCACTCAAAACCTTTAGGGTACTATGTCGATTTTCACGTTTTGACCTCTCAGCTCAGATGACCGTACGGGCAATGAAAAATCTTCATTCTTGTGTTGGAGGGCCGGGGGCCAATATTTTATTTACACAATAATACAGGGTACCCATTTTTCAGGCGACTTGAATCAAGGTTATAGGATTATCGCGGGCCGGGGAGGGGGGGGGGGGGGGGGGGGAAAATCCCGCAATACATTTCTGTTTTCCTTTTGTCAAAAGAGGGCGCGCTCATATTCACTCGGAAAAAGAGGAACCTTTGATCACGCGTGTGACTTGCACAGTTTCTAGTTGCAGACTTCAGGCGCCTCTCCTGTACAAATTAAATATCAAAGTGATAATTAAAATGGCAGAATTAACGGGTGCAACTCCTGATGAAGATATTTTCGACTCAATTGTAATGGCAGAAGAAAGGTAAAAGCAGATGATGTGTGACCGCATTGTTCATTTTAACAAGGTAGTGTATATTTTGCCGGAGGTAACGCCGGCAAACTAACGTTTACTAAAGGTTTGCCGGCGGCAATCCATATCAACAGAGGGCGCTGTACTCTTTAAGATAGGGCTGAATTATAATATGTATTAAATTCCCACCAAAGTTGTGTAGCACAATCGGTGCAGTGGATAAGCAATTGCTCTAGTGAGTGGGATGTCCCGAGTTCGAATCCTGATCCTTGTCACATTTTTAAGGGTTTTTTTTTCATCCCCAAATAAATAAGAATATTCTCCTTTTATTATTTTAACATGTCTCAAACATTTTATTGCAGAGTATTAGTACATTTTCTTTTTCAGATTTGTGGCTCTGGAGGATTTTTTTTAAAAGGGAAATAAAGTCCGAAATTATAAAATGGTCTGAATCCCATCTTGTGAATACGAGGTTACAACGATAATATTGGCATGGAGCCAGACTAAAATTTGTCACCGGAAAATGTTTTAAGTACCAAAAAACAGTAACTGCACATGTTCAGTGCATATCCGGCAAACTAACGTTTACTGAAGGTTTGCCGTCTCCGGCAAAATATCCACTGCCTTTTAAAGGGAATGTACATCATTGGCTTTTGCTGTAATTTTCAGAAATGAACTCTTTGAGGGGTTAGTATAATAGATCAAATATTGTTACACTGACATGTTTGAAGTTTTGTGTTCGAAAATGCTGGAAAAACCAAGAAAAACAAAAATGTTCAAGTAGTCTGGTTCCTTGACTCCACTAAAGATAAAATGGATCAATTTATAGATGCCGGAAAATTGTAAGATTAGGGAACCAGTCTAGCTGGCCTGCACCCGTTCATGAACATGTAACCAATAGCAAACAAAATTTGGACTGAAAAAAGTGTAAAGTTGGAGCAGTAGTTGAAAAATAGTTAGGTTTTTCCAACGGTGGTCGGCCGACCACCGTTGGAAATGTATACAAAAAATACAATTTTCTTGAAAATGACTTCACACCAGGTGCCATAATTTTACAGGATGCTTTAGACTGTCATTTACCAATATCCTAGTAAGGTATTTCGTAAAAACTTGGTAGTTTTATTTTTCGATGTTTGCAAATGTTGTATATTCCCTTTAACAAACGTTCGCGTGGTCCTATACTATCAAGTATCATGACTATAGTACGCACTCATCTTCGCACGCGCGTTGCAAGTGTTACCTGCGCAGATATAGATTGCGGAGGGTCGTGGATCTCAACATGTTTCATTTCCTTTCATTTCTGTGACAGGTTTTCTGATTTTTAAAGTGTTTATTGAGCTTGAACGTGGTGACCTGGCAGATCGTAACATGTAGGCCCTATATAAACTTCCTTGGACCTTGCTTAAAAATAAAGCAAGGGGGAAGGATAACAGAAACTGCCATGACTGCCACTGTTTGTTGTCTGCACAGCGAGCATCCCAACTACAGCAGTACATGTATGGTTGGGCCGCCCAAACTACAGCTATATATGGAAAAAATATTGCAACCTGACGCCACTTCAGCGCAGCGGTTGTGTACAAAGTCTATGGAGAGTCAAGAAAATGTTCTAAGTGTTTTCTAACAAAATTGGAAATGTTTCTCAGTCATGTCAGTCCAAGATTCATGTTTATCATCACTTTTGCAATGACTGACCTTCATTGAGATTATAATGATCCCAATAGCAACGATCCAATGATCAGGGCCCAATGATCAGGGGTAATAATTATGTAAAGCGCTTTGATCTTAGTTAAAAGCGCTATTTGAAAACCTGTTATTATTAGGTAGTGGATATTTTGCCGGAGGTAATGACGGCAAACTAACGATTACTAAAGGTTTGCCGGCGGCAATCCATATCAACAGAGGGCGCTGTACTCTTTAAAATAGGGCTGAACTATAAGATGTATTAAATTCCCACCAAAGGTTGTGTAGCACGTTTGGTGTAATGGTTAAGCAAAGGCTCTAGTAAACGGGACGACTCGCGTTCGATTCCGACCGCACCACATTTTTAAGTTTTTTTTTCTCATCCCCAAATTAATAAGAATATTCTTCTTTTATTATTTTAACATGTCTCAAACATTTTTTGCAGAGTATTACATTTTCTTTTTCAGATTTGTGGCTCTGGAGGATTTTTTTTAAAAGGGAAATAAAGTCCGAAATTATAAAATGGTCTGAATCCCATCTTGTGAATACGAGGTAACAACGATAATTTTGGCATGGAGCCAGACCAAAACTTGTCACCGGAAAATGTTAGAGTAAAAAAAAACAGTAACTGCGCATGTTCAGTGCATATCCGGCAAACTAACGTTTACTAAAGGTTTGCCGTCTCCGGCAAAATATACACTGCCTTATTATTATTATTGTTGTCATTTTTATTATTATTATCTAACCACAGATTTCATGAGGAGGGATTTAGCGAAGGCTTTGCTGCAGGTAAAATCGCTGGAGACCAAGAAGGCTTCAAGATGGGACAAGTCAAGGGTAGACAGATAGGGTCCGAGTATGGTTTCTATCTGGGCTTTGTAGCAACATGGCTGCAACTTGTGAAAGAAGACCCTGGACTTGCTAAGAAAAAGTAGGTTGCTGATTAGGGAATATAAATATTCTGCTCTTTTTCTACAAAATGTACAAAAGATACATTGTAAGTCTTCTTTTTGCTGAGTGATTAATTTTTTGTTTTACAGGAGTCCACTGTGGTCCAGGATTCGAGTCAGTTGACATTCGCATTGCATCAATGGTTACGAACCGGTCAAACAATGCAGTGAACCGGTCAAGCTTTAAATTATTTTTTTTGTTTGGTTTGTTTGTCATGCATAACCAAGATGGGTTGCAAAAGTATAATTTGGTTACCCAGACTGGAATCGAGTCCATTGACAAAAGTACTCAGAGTGGACTCAGACTCAACTGTCACGACCCAAACATGACACTCATGAAGGCTTGTGACTCATGAATCACATTATTCTTTGCAAACAATGGGAAGAATGTATCCAGTATTCAGACGCCACTTCTTTGGTTGTGTACAAAGTCTGTGGAGGGTGGAGTGCATTTTGAAAGTATTTCTAACAAAATTAGGGCTGAGTCAATTCGAATAATTGAATATTCGAATATTCGACCTTCCAATCGATCGAATATTCGAATATTCGGTTATTTGGCCATTCCAAATTCCCTCAAAAGCAAAAATATGCCATACATGTACATGTAGTCAACGTACGTGCGCACGTCAGCATGCCATGCATGATTTCTTCACAGGTAAGTCAGGTATTTGAAAACAATCAGTTGTTCTTCAGTCGTCAGTAATTTAAAGATTAACAATAACCAGAGAAGCTAGAGTGAAGGATTCCTTGTTTGCATGGGGGACGTATTAAGCCGTGAACCCCAAACACGGCGGGTGGCGTCAGCTATTTTGTAACTCGCAAACAGGAACCGAGCATATCCATTACTGGAAGCTTCTTGAAGTCTACAAAACGGTGTACTTCCTAGTCACAGTATTGAGGATAAAAAAATCACTTTTATTGTACTAACTCGCACTTTTGTCACCAAGAATTGAGGAAATGATTTTATATCATTTTAAATAAACTTATTCTCAACAACCAAAAACTCCAAGAAAAAACCTATGATATTTAATGTCTTTATTCAATGAAATATGGGTCTTTGAATTGTAAATGCATATTTAAGTTTATGCAAATAATGGGCGTGGGCGCGGCATACACACGCCCCAGCTTGACACGTGCAAAGCAGTATTTCCTTGTTTGCCCACAGCGGATGTATTATAAGCTGTGTACCCAAAACACGAAGGGTGACATTTCAGCAAAAAAAAAAAAAAATCGCCAGCCGATCTCCGGTGGGCGCATTGTTGGCGGGCTAATTAGGGCACAGGTGCGCTGACCCGGTTCTTTTGTCTGGCTAAGTGCGTGCTCTGGAGATAACTTTCTAACAAATAGGCCACTAAAAGTTTGGATATTCCAACTTGCAACATTTTGATACATTTTGTCTAGCTGTGGTTTTCTATGCTGGGAATCAGGGGTACAGTGCGGTGAGTTGACCGCAAAGTCTGTCTGGCGAAATAAATGAGAGCTCTTTTGAGTTTGAAATCCTCTCCGTTGTCTGCCCTTTTTCTTGCGTTTTGCTCGACTTGGAGGACATAAGCCAGAGGTTCCCGCCATTATTACTGAGAGTATAATTGCTGAACTAGTTTTTGAAGTGTTTATGTATGTTTTATTTGTGCAAATATTGGGTGCAATTAGCAGACTAACCCAGCGAACAAAGCTGACGGACAGCGAACGAAAATGTGTTCGATAAAAGGGTGCTCTGATCAGTTGAGAGAACAAGATTATTTTGTACATGTACATGTATATAATTATGGAGGCATTGAGGCGAACATCTAACAGCCATAATAAATTTACCCCTAAAAGTAAACAAGAAATTCTTTTAGAAAAATCCCAGAGTCCGTAACGTAAATGAACCAAGGTTTTCAAAACGTTTTAATGTAATGTTGGGGTTCATGACAAGTTTTCTACAACACCGCCACGTGCTGCGAGCAGCATACTGCGTGCAAGGCGATTCCCTATAACCACGTGCATTCGACACGATTGAACAGGCAAAGGAAAACTTTGGGGGTAATTGGCTTCGCTGTATCAGTGTAATGTACCGCTTCTTGTGCGACCCTGTGCGAGCAGTACGTCCCTTAAAATAAGTACATGAAAACGGAAAATACAAAGGCCCACACAGAAAAAAGAAATCAAGTTCTTTGCATGAGATTGCAGAGGTCTTCTACATCGATGTTGGCATGCCATTTTCGCGATGTCAATAGCCGATCCAGTAAGCCCCTCCCACTGCGCACGTGGGCAAATTAACACGTGCTCCTCTCCAATGCCACGCTGCATTTTCCTATGCTGCACACATGTTCATGTAACACCAACGCGCGGGGAAACTTGCCAGGATCGCATCGGGGAAAAACAGCGGCGGTTTTCTTTTAAAAGTAGGGATTGTAAGTAGGACAACAACAAACAAAAATACGGACAACGGAAACGTTACTACTCATGCTAGAAGTTTGATATGAAAAGGTGTCAGGAAGTGTTTTGTGAAGACATGAAAGACAAAATGTCTTGTTTATCTTGTCGGAAGCATCAGCGATTGGTGTTGCAGTCTGGCGTTAAAAAAATGGGTTGGCTTTACTGCAAGCACTCCCAAAGCAGAAGTAATATATGTATGGCATTATTGCTTGGCATATATACAAGCTACTTTTATGGGGTTTTTTGGCAGCAACTTGAAACTTAACTTTGAGAATACACTTTTGTTGTTAAAAAAAAAGTTTTTTTCACCTTTTTATTTCATTGCATATCACCACCGAATATTCTTATTCGAAAATAAATATTCGAATATTCGTTTATCGATCGAATAACCGAATATCCGAATATTCGGCACAGCCCTAAACAAAATTGGAAATGTTTCTCAGTCCCAGATTCATGTCTTTTCAATATTATTGCAATGACTGTCCTTTATTGAGATACTATGTGATGCGATCAAGCTAGATGAATTGTTTGTCGGGAATTTTCATTTGGAGATACAGGCCAAAATAGGGCCACTTCATCACATCACTTTATCACATCTCTTGGTGTTCAGACTTCTATAATTTTTTTAACTAAAGATGGTATCACCATGCAGTTTTCAAAGAAGTAATGCTGAGATTGTGCTCTTTTCAAATCTGTAATACATGTGTAAAAATTGCTTTGACCAGGGTCAACAATCGACTCATGTAGCTTGATCGCATCATATATGTGATGAAAAAAGTGGCGTCTTTCCCCAACAATATCTTTTATCAAAACAAAATACCATGTGATGTGTGGAATATTGTTCATCACATCTTTCAGAAAAGAGTGGGAAATAACTGACAGTTTGTTAATATTTCCTACAAAAAAGAGACTAGTATAACATAAAATAGTTGCCATACCAATGATCATTTCTGCAGTTTCTACTGCTTTGATCTATTCCACGATGTGATTTTGATCACTCATTTGACAGGAGAATAAATTAAATGTATTGAGTACAAAAAATATTGCTGACTTATGGTATCTCCACAGCGTAGTGAAAACACTTGATGCGCTGAACGCCATGCTTGCCTCCTTTAAAGTGAACGACATAAACAACGAAAGCTACTGGGATGATTTGAAGAAAATCAGAGACAAATTCAAGCAGGTTAGCATTATTTATATGCTTTGATAGCTTTCTTACTTCTCAGACCCTTTAAAATACACCCTCGGCCGACCTCACGAAACAGGTGTAGCTTACGCCATGCGTAGGACTTACGATCAATTTCATGAAACTCGTAGCTGTGCAACGTTTTAAATAATTTAAACATCTTGGACGAGTAGATAAACAGCATTTACAATGGCTGTTTTTCAATATTACTGTTCAGTCACAAAACAGTCGTTGAGTCACCTAGTCCGCCATTTTGAAAACAGTTTTGTCCTACTTACTTCGGAATCATGCAGCAACTGTAAAAATTCCATCACGGGTAATATACCTGTATTTCAAACACAACACTTTGAGTGTCTTGTATCCATGTTGATAAGTTGAGCAACGACAGGCTCCACAATGGGAACAATTTGCCAGTGAAATAGTTGATTTTCAGTCGCTACGCCATAACTTACGCCACCTACAGGGACTGCGTAAGTTAGGCCATTATGTGTTGTGTAAGTCGCGGACTCACGCAATTTGAAACTTTCGTGAAATTGTCATAACTGAATTGTTTGGCAGCGTGAAATATTGCGCAACGTGTGCATGAAATTGTTGTGGAAGTGGAGTTACGCAATTTCATAAGGTTTCGTGAAATTGGCTGGTGGAGCTTTGGGGGATTTGCAGGATCGGACAAGGAGGGCTTATCCCGTCGTAAACCTTCCATTCTCATCCAAAATTCAATCAGATGCTTCAAGATGACCAGTACTTGAGCTCTGAAACCTTGAATACAAAGTCTGTGTCTTAAATTGTGGACTGGAGTCCAAGTCATCTGAGTTATTTCTTTTTTTTGCATTAATAAACAGGACTGCATCTCAGCCCATCTAAAAAAAACTATATTATATGACAATTGAAATACATAAAACATTTGATGGAGGATTTTTTTGTTTAGGTTGCTTCACTTCTCGGTGTTAAACTGGATTTCACCGACGAGAAAACCCAACAACCACCCATGTCCTTCTGAGAGGGGCATGTCTGTTGGAAAGGAGATGTTCGTAGCTTGTGTTGGTGTGAGACAACTCTCGGGAGCTAGCTGACGACATAGCCTGCTTCCAACTGGAATGGTAAGCAATTATATAATGCATGTTAGCTTGCAGATGTCATGGCACAAGTTTTATCTGCAGCCCGAATTGAAGACACTTGCAATCCAGAATAATCAAATCAATGAATGCATTTGTGTTGATGCATGTAATGCAGGATCAGTGATGATGTATTTAGGAGGTCGACACTTGTCAAGTTGAAAACTGGCCACTTCAAAGCAAATGCTTGGTGGGCACAGCTCATCGTGAATTGCTCTTAATATTTTTCTAAAATTCCTTAAATTCACCAGTCTATCATTGTTGTCATATCTATCAGGGCCGGCCTCCATACACATGGCCAATGACACTCGAGCCTCCCAAATATCACACTGCAACTGCATGCGTCACATGCAAACCTGTGCACGCATGTCAGACTTTATTTAGAGCACATTTGGTCGTGCAGTCATTGCTGTGATTGGCCAAAACGTTTAATATGGGGAGGGGCTTAAAGGGCCCATGCAATGCACTTTTTAATTGCAGTCCTTGAAAAGGCACCTTTGTGTCCCATGTAACTAATATTTTCAATTATAGTTTTGCCATTTCCAAGGGTATTTTGGTAGCCTTTTTGTTGTTGTGCTAATACAAATTCCCATATTCATGAGCAAAAGTGTGATTCCATGTCAGGCAGAAACCTCAATGTTACAGCTATTCCAGCATCAGAAGTTGCCAAAATTGTGGATGTTTTGCTGTCATTAAATTTCTTTACGATTCATTGTTGAGTCAGTACATGGCAGTAAGCCAGTGAGCAAAGCTTTCTCACAAATGTTTTCAATGATCAAACTTTTGGGTTCACAGTTTGAACAGAAAACCCCTAAACTGAACATTGTCTTCCTGAAATGACATCACAGCAAAAGCGCCCTCAGTTGTCCACAAAAGCATGGACAATTTTAAATGTTTAAAGAAGTGCACTATTCAATAAAATAAACCAAAAAGGGTTGTCAAATACATATAGTTTTCATACATTTAATCGGAGTAGAAAGTTGTTCCTCAGAAAAATTAATCTCATGAACCCTTTAATGGATCAGTGTGCAAGTTGTTTACTTCTATGTTTGTTTTTGCCACTGTGAATGCTTCAAACTGTCTTATTAATAATATTATTTTTTACAGGTGCTGCAGTATCCTGCCCTAGCCCCAGCAAGAGATGTTATTATCCTTTCGGAGGTTGCGCCAAAGAATGTGACAAAGTTCAGGGTTCCCAGCGGACTCTCTGTTCAGGAGCAGTAGATGACGCCGAGTGACCACCCACCACCCGATGGAGTTCCAGTGTGTAGGATACATTGTTTGTGTGTGTACTGGTAGCAATCCTTCCTTGACTGTTCACTAATGTGCTGCAAACCATGTTATTTTTGTGATAGTCAATAATTTCTAATTATACAGGGTGTCTCAATAAAAAGGAAACCCAACTTTGAAGAACCAGTATGGACAGACTAAATGTTTACTGGCTATAAAACTGTTATCATCTGAAAGCATAATCTCTATGCTTTTCAATGATACCTTGTTTGCATTTCCAGGGTCATGCATCACTGAGCGCCACTGTCATGAGATTTTGATGCAAAATTGCAGTTCGTCCACTTTCATGTCAAACACAATAGCATGGTGTGCATGAGAATAAGTATTCAAGAAGAAGACACGAGTGCATAAAAAGAAACCAAAAAACCCAAGTCAGGTTGGTTTCAAAATATGATTTAATTGTTTGTCATGAATTTCTCGTTTTGACCAAGCCACGTTCAAAGCAGTGTGCTATTTTCCCGAGGATTAACATTCAAGCCATTTCATAGACATTTTTGTAACAATAGGCACACCGTGCCCAGTGGTTTTTTTTTATGAAAGTGAACCAACTGCATTTTTGCATCCAGTGTACAAGACAATGATGCTCACTGATGCATGACTCAGAAACCCTAAACATAGTATCATTGAAAAGCATAGAGATTACGCTTTCAGATGATACCAGTTTTATAGCCAGTAAACATATCGTCTGTCCATACTCATTCTTTGAAGATGGGTTTCCTTGTTTTTGAAACACCCTGTATAGAGTACGGAAGTCTGATGTTAGCTGTCTTCGTTCTGGTTCGCGTGCTGATTTCTTCACACACTTAAGTTATGTGCATGAACCAGAATACGTGGCGCCCTTCTGTAATCTATTCCCACACAATCACTCAAGAAATTGACAAAAAAACTTGCCAAATTTTCACAGTTTCACCTTTCCCTGCATTCTCGAGCATCATCAATAAAAGTGCCACTTAATACCCACTAACTCCTCAGAAGACTGCCACATTATCAATCATGAATTATGCAACACTGCTCAGGTATTAGACCTTGAAAGGCATTGCTTCCAACTTTAAGAGATCAAAACCCACAAAAGACAAGATTGTGTTTCTCCAACACCCCTCATTCTGGGGATACTTTTGATTACTTATAAGCTACACTAAAAGAAGTTAGTAACATCCCACTTAAAGGTAGAGTATATCATTTTGTCTTTTGTGCATTTTTTTTATCGTTTGAAGCGACAAAAATGCTCAGAATTTAAACCTGATGAAGCTTTAGCTCAGTGAATGCTGTATATTCAGAGAAAACAATACTCTAGGATCTTGATTTCAATTCAAAAGTCACGGCTTCCCGAATTAAAGGTAGAGTCCATCATTTGCAACCATCCGAAAAGTAACTGGCGTAATTATTGTTGAAAAACTAACTTGGTTGAAAGATAGTAAGGAGACTAAACTCCCTGTGAAATTATTCTTTCTGGGAAGCTGTCATTTTGAAGTAATCAACGAAAGAAGGCATTTCCAACGGTGATTCTTAAGAAGCACCGTAGGAAAATTTAAATTAGTAGTTCGTTTTGTTATTCAGCGCAGCGCGCACAAGTATTCGAACGACGCACACGCGCGCGCGGTTGTTTTAATTCGTCGGATCAGTGCGCGACGTCGCGTATAGTTGCAATTCAAAACAATTCAAAACATGATTCAGCAACTTTTGATTTGAAATTGAGATCTTAGAATGCTGTTTTTCTCGGAATGTACAGCTGAAGCTTAGCTGAAACTTCATCAGGTTAGTTGCTCAGTATCCTTCATTAGATTTTGAACTCTTTTGTTGCTTCAAACGAACAAAATGCACAAATTACAAATGATGGACTCTACCTTTAAAAAGGAACTGCTAACGGAAATTTCCAAAGATGCGGCTAAAAATGCATCTTTAGAGGCATCTTTTGAAATGACCTTCTGTCATTGTTTTCTTCAAAATGTCATGCCAGAAAGAATAATTTCACAGGGAGTTTAGTGCCATTACCATCTTTAGCTGCAATAATTCATAGCATAACAAAAGATGATTTCAGAAACATTCAACATACATGTGCATGCAAAATACATGTACATCCAAAATACAGGTACATGTACATCCAACATACATGTACATCCAAAAGACATGTACATCCAAAATACATGTACATCCAAAATACATGCATCAAAAATCAAGATACACGTTTACGTCATTAGAACTCGAACAAAAACATGTGCCCCTACTTTAATAAATACAGTTCTTCCTGGTACATCAACAAATATTTGAGGCAAATAAATTGCAAAATGTGTTCCAGTCTTGGTAAATTTTGTTGCATGCCACAGCTGAAATATTAATGATCTGGTCAATTTTTGTGCTAAGTATAAATATGTAAATATTTATTTGGACATAATTTGTAATGTTAATTTTGTGATAGTTCTATAATGAGTTCAAAGAATTAAATGACATTGCATTTCTATATACATGTAACAGGTTGTGCAGTCCACTTTTTAAACTTCTCGGTTATTACAAGGCTTATCTTTGCTGCGTGGTGATTTAAAGTTTTAGGCTGTATTGCTACTTTTATTTATAAAGGACTTCTAGTATTTTTTGAATAAATTAACTCCAATATATTAAAATATTCATATATTCCTGGGGAACAGAGTTGAAAAACATTGTTAGCAATATACAATAAATGTACAATCACAAAATCGTCTTTATTCGTTAATTGAGAATTTTGTGTGGATAAAAGTCATTCTAATTTATAGAGCACAAAGTATTTTCACTGTTATTTTTTTTTCTTTTAGTTGTTGTTTTACTTGAATCATACAGATTTTATTCCTATTAAGTGTCAAACTAAATCTTTCGAAATGAGAAGTTTGTGTCTTTTAAAGAAAAGAATAAAACGCCACAGAAATGTACAAAAGAAAATGAATGGAGTAACTGCAGAAAGTGATGTGTGAATGAATCTGGTGTGAAGATTAAGAACTAGTGCGGTGCTGGGATAAAAGACACCGATGTACAATGTATAAGTCTAGTGCACGGGTCGCCAACGAACAGCAGAAGTTTAAGGAATTGTTTAGTGTTGATCGTCAGAAGTCGCAAATTATGCTTAAAATGTCTTATTTTTCAAAGGGACTTTACTAGTTCGTGGCGTAAGTGGCATAGATTTAGTTGTTCCACTGGCGGCATGAATGACCAATATTCCTGTCTCATTGGTTGAATTCTGGTCCGAACATTCCGAAGTAGAGGCATGCGACCGCCCAGCAGGCGAAGTTGGTGAAATCCGGTCCGTGGCAGTTATGAAAATTCCCGCGCTTTTCGATTTTGCACGAGGCTGCTGCATAGCCGAATCAGTGGTAGAGAGGGCGCCATTCACGTCTGGCATGATTTTGGTTGAGTTGGAAAGAGGACGCTTTCCTCTGTGCGATTTCTCGTCAGATTTCCATTTATATTTAGCGAGATTCTTTGTCGGATGACTGTATTCAGTTCCTTCAGGGGAAGTATTTGTTCCAACAGTCCTAGAAGGCTTGCATAGGTCAATGTCCTCACTAAGATGTTCACATGACATTTCTGGTCTCGCAATATGGCTGGCCTTGGTGATGAGATGTGCTCTGCTGATCTCTCTTTGAGCGAGGCACGACTTGCCCTTCTGCCGTTCGATCCCCGTCAATCTCTTGTCCGCATTGTCGAGAATTGACTGAAAATTAGTGCGTGTGCCTTGTCTCCGAGCTAGGCATTGTGTCATGTCTGCACTCTGGGTGGATTTAGACTTCCGTGCAGAAATGTAGGCACTGTCTCCCCCGTGCAAACCGGCTTGCACCCGCAGGTCGGAGAAGTGAGGAACCGTGAACAGTACAACTTTGCAAAACTGGTCAGGTCGCGTTTCCGTCTGAGTGGACTTGGAGGACCTCTGAGGTTTAGGTCCTGGAGATTTTACATGTTTGTCATTTTCCCGCCTTTCCCCGTCCATGCTGTCTCCTAACTGCATGAAAAGCTGAGCGGATTCAGTTTTGTTGAGTGGCTTTATCCAGTTATCGAAAATGACAACTTGTTCATTTCGTTGGCCAGTGGATTGCCTTAATTCGGCATGCGTATCTTGGGAACCGAACTTTTTGTTTCGCGTTCGCTTTGGTGCCGAACTTTTATCAGATGAACTATGGTGAGCTGATAGTCCAGTGTCTTTTGAATTGATTGGAAGAATGGCTAACGAACTGACTTCGTCGTGATTCGAACCATCATAACTCACTTTTGGTCTGAAAGATCCCGAAAGCATATGATGGTTTCCAAGTTCGGGAGACAAGGGTGAGGTTCCCCGACGCAGAGCGCCCGACTTGCTTGCAGTACCCGATAGTTCCTTGGAATGGATGTGGCTTGCATCGCGTCTTCTGTACCGTTTGATCGCCTCTGTTTCGTGGAGATTGTGGGTTTGTGGGGTATATTTCTGTTTTCCCGTCCTGTCCGCGTTTTTCACAAGAAGTTTTTCTCCACAAACTGCTCGTGTGGGTTCATTAACCCTTTTAAGCATCTCACCCGGGAAAGTGTTATTGATGAGGCTTGGTGCAGATGTGCTGTTTTTACCTACGTCGTCTTCAAACCTAACTCTCCTCTGAACCTGTCTGTCATCTGCCTTCCCCAAGTTCACCTGTTCGTAATCACGTGGCGCTGTCTCCTGATGATTGATTGGAACGATGTCCATGGGTTCCACAACCTCCTCTCGCTGACTCATGGAAGAAAACACGCCATCTGCCGGTGAGCCTTGGGGCGTCGCTGGACTATTCCAACTCGGGCCTCCATAGCTTCGATGCAGCATTTCGGCCAAACACCGGCGGGAACCGGAGTAGGACCAATGTTGAGGATCGGTCAACTTGGCCCCCATCATCTGCCCATGCGTGCTGGAGAGGATATCGGCAACTTGAACTTTCTTGTCATTGAGGGTGTGCTCCATGCGCTGCCTGAGAGAGGCACGAAGGTCATCTGTGTAGTCCTCGATTGACTCCATGGCGGTGTATTTCCCGAGGCGACTTTTTACTCACTCATGGAACTTGGATAGGATCCACCTTTGAAAACGAATATCAAAGTGAAAAAATGTCAGTCAGATTCTCAGTTTTCATGTTTATTTTTTCTTTTCATGCGCACAATTCGTCACCCAAGGTATACCTTTACAGTACGTGGAGAACAAAACGTGCAAAACCGTGACCACTTTTCAGAGATTCTGAAAATTGAATAATTGTTTTCTATGACTCTGCATGAGGACGTACTATTATATGTGGTCGATTCGAGTTCTGGACCTACTAGGTTTAGAGTGAGTTGATTTGGTAGATCGGTCCTAAAGTCAACTCATCAGCTGTTATCGTGTCATCACACCTGTCACGACAGGCCACTAATCATGTAGTTTTATATTTAAACGATCAAAGTGCCTGATCATAATCTCCTATCACCCAATTCGGCTTTCAAATCGGTTGATTTATCTCAGAAAGACAGCCAAATGGCCCAAAGGGCAGAGCGTTTCGAAACGGCAGCTCCTTTTTAAAAATTGGTTTTTCCATTTTTTTTTCATTCATTGTGTACATTTTGATTAGGTGTGTAATGGCCAATAGGCAATAGTTGTAATCGGTCTAGGCCTTAATAGGTTTTGAGCTAAAGGGAATAAGAATATAATCTCAAAAAAAATTTAAAGGCGCAAAAACCTGACCTTTTCAAATACTATCCCCGAGGTATTAAATTTAGTCAGTGCCCACTTTGTTTGCAAGTCGGTTACACATCCGTGAACGGGTGTAACTGGTTCCCTGACCAAACCCTCCAAACCCTTCAAATCCATCCATTTCTGAAAACTACAGCAAAACCAAAATTGTTGTATAATAACCTTTAAAGTCTATACACTCGAATTCACTGGAATGCGTATTATTTTGTCCAAGGATTGAAAACTTCAGCTACAGCTAAATCATAAAGACTATACGACCGCTTTTACGGATGGAATAACACACCACTGCACATCACAGAGACAATAGATTTGCTAATATTGCGTAAATTGAAAGATATTTTTTCAGTAACTATTTGCATAAATGGTTCTAGACTTACCTGGAAAAAAGAAATGAAAACCAAGCTCCAAAAGCATTACAATGCGCCGTGAAAATTGTCATATATTTTCAAGTATGCATGATAAGGGTCCATGAAGAACGTCGCCATTTGGAAGACAAGCCCCCCCCCCCCCCGTTTATTAAATTTGGTGTCCTGAGAAAAAAAAGGGTCTCCATTTCGGAATGGAGACATGTCAAATGTGCATTCATTCCTTGGCTTTATGTTTTTACCGCTCCTCAATATTCAGAGACACAAACCAAGACGGTGACGCCAATGGATTACGCAGCAACTGTCTTCACAAACACTCCAACTCCGTGTGCAAATTAATTTTTGCAAAAGACAAATTAAAGTCAGTGCTTTACCAGAGTGGCTGCTGAAATAGGTTTTAAGGGTACAGTTCTGTAACGGAGAAAAACCGAAAATGAGAATTGTTCGAGTTTCATGGCAAACTCGCAAGAAACTAGCCCGCCAAAATGTGAAAGGAAGTGGTTGTAATCACTTCCATGAAAAAAAAATTTCCTAGGTAAATTCGAAAAAAATACCAGGAAAACAATTTGCTCTACTGCATATTGCAAATTTCAGGAAACGTGGCTCTTGTGAAATGAAAATCGCTTAAAGGAACCGTGGAACTCTTTTTTTTGGGGGGGGGTGCTTGTTTCTAAATCCCCACATATCCCTTTTCAAAACCTTCTCCCGTATAGTTATAAGTTAACTAACCGTACAATAAACAACGTCAACAAAATTGTACCATTTTAACAAATAAAAACGAACAAAATTAATGTTTAATCGGCGAAGTTATGCACCAACGATCGCTCTGTACAAAGAGGACGAGCGCAGAGCGAATCCTTTCAGTATTCGCCCTCACTCGGTTTTAACAATATGACAATGTCACGTTTCAACTAAAGAAATTAACTGATTAAAAATCTTACCATGATCAAGTTCTTCTCGCACCCGTAAGTCTTGAATTCCGTGGCTATGGTTACTCGTCCGAGGATCGCTTCAGGGGTACGTTTGTCTATTATGGCGAATCATCACGGAATGCACAAACACTCCACACCAAATACTCAGGCTATGATTGTTTGACTTCTGACCTTCTTTTTTACCCCCTGTAAACAGAAATTAGGGATGGCACCAAAGGTAAACAAGGCACAAAGATAGTACATGTTTGACTACACTTAGGCTACTAAAGCCTTGAATAATTAGTGACGGCCGCTTCCAGTTTTGTTTGATCAAGAACCGGGAAAAAAGCTTCGGTAACCAATTTCTGAAGTTTGGTTTTGTTGGAATTATTGCCTGTGAATCGGTTCACCTCAGTTAAGTTTCCAGGGCAACTGCAAATCGGTTGAATTATATGAAATATGTTACTGATTTTTAGTGAAAAAATCCCAAAAGATGTTTCTGTAACTGGAAACCAATTAAAAATGGCTGATTTAAAAAAAAGGGTAAAATATGATCGACAAGGCAAGTCTAGCACAGCTGTACTGAGCGCACAAAATAATGTTCAATTGATTCAGAAAGGTCAATCGTTTTCATGCATCTGGTCCACACAATGGGCCGCATGTAGCCCATTCGGCGTTACTGTGTAATCCTATACGATAGAACTGCCCGGTTCAGTTAGTGAGTCAATCAGTTTAATAGGTACAAAGATGATCACGATATGGGACAGAGGGAACCACCCCCCTCTTTTGTGTTGGTAATTGTGTTACCAGAATCTCATTCTCAGGAATTCTTTTATAGGGTGATGTGTTAGGTAACAAAATAGTCTAGGGTGTGTATAGGGTATAGGGAGATGGGGGGGGGGGTTACCCCTCTGTCCCATATCGTGCTGGGTATAACAAGGATACTAGGCTGATATGTCCCTCTGAGACCAGCACAATCTACACAAATAACAGACATAAAGTAGGCAACTATAGATAAAGACTGGACACACTAAAGCCTTATCTATACCATAGAGCAAGGACAGATGGATTTTATTGAGTGACATACCCAACCCAAATCACAATGGTTTGCACAAAAGCTTGGAAAGGATAACTGTGAAATGAGTGACTGTGGCTTCTGTTTATCTCGTATTCATTGCTGAATTATATACCAAGGCCATTTTGGATGTTGTCAAATTTCACGTTTTGGATAATATTGTTTCTTTTGGGAGGGTGGGAGCTTAAAAAACTGTAGGTATTGTTTTGGATATTTACCGTTTTGGGAAAAAAGAAGCGAAAATATCCCATATGAACTGTGCTTATGTATTATTTTCTAAATTACTTTCGGAACAACGGTCATTTTGACCTGTTAACTACATGTATATTAAAAATGGCCATTTTGACGAAGATTAAATCATTATATAATGTAGTTTGAAGTCCTGTGCAGAATTTTACAGTGCCGTCCAGGCGAGTATCTCGCAGGCGATCATCTACGAGTTGTTGAAAAACAGGGTGTCTAAAAAAAACTGAACCCTCAAAGCGCCCTCTTCTTCAATACCTTGCAACTATCGAAACATGTTGAGAGTATAGTTCATTAGCTTTTCACCAATGAAAAAATCTTGCCAATCGGCTAAATATTTATTGAGTTATGGCCGATTCAAATATAAGTGCCGATTTTTCAATCTGCCCACTTTGTCATTTGTTAGTAATGTAATGGATTTAGGGTGAAGGTGTAAAGTTTTTGCCTTCTAAAATGTTTTAATCTTTCTTTCTTTATTTCGTTCTTTTTTCTTTGTTATTGTTTGCAACCAATGGTCAATTGTCCTTTTGGAAGCAATGGTAGTCCTGAAAATGATTTGGTTAACTTCTTAAATGCTTGCTTTTCTGTCTCGGCCCTCCACTTGGTATAGCCTTTTTTCACAAACGCAAATTCCCGAGCCCGTGTTCTTATTGCGGCAGTCGAAGTATCCGAGTCGCCGTGGACAAAATGAAAAGGCGGTACTTGTATTCAATTTGCCATAACTCAATAAATATTTACCCGATTGGAAATATTTTTTTCGGCTTTGAAAAGCTAATGAAATATACTCTTTAAATATGTATCGATATTGGCGATGTAAATTTGAAAAAGCTGTGAAAAAGACGGTGGGCTTTGAGAGTTCATGTTTTCTTAGACACCCTGTATAAAACAAATGTTTATAACGAAACAAAAAAACATAACTGTGTCCTCTTACCTGATGAGCTATTTATGTTTCAAAAGTTCAAAAACCTGAACGGTCGTCAGCTACTACAGTCGTCAACATATTTCCAATCTGGGCCTTGCTTGATTCGAATACCACACACTGCTTCAAATAATTTAGATCACCGCCTACAATTTCCAGATTTTGATTAAACCGTTCGTCTGCTTTCCCGTACTTTACTCGTCTACCAGTCGGTTGGTGTTTCCGTAACAACTAGCTGATTGGTATTAGGCCACATGGGCATTGTATATCGGGCATTATCGCATGCAATTTGTGATCCGATATCGCTGGTTATTTGCGGGCTTGTGATTTGGTGGATTGTATATCACCAGTAGCATGGTAACCGTGTATTTCTACATGTAAACACGTGTAAGTTCACCCCGTGCTTGTTGTCACAGTGAGTAGCAACTTGTGCTCATCACCATAAATCGAAGCTAATTCGAATTCGGGTTGTCTTAACATTTATTACTAAAATTCCTTTTTTTTTTAAACGAGGTAGGAACTAAAAAGGGGACATCTTAGAAATAGTCTCTTATCCCACTCCCGATTGTGCGCTGACGACCAACCGTAACAATTTCAGAATAAAAAGATCGAGAAAAAAGTCTCCTGTGTGAAATTAACTAGCATCTTTCATGCCTGAGGGCTCTTGTGCGGTCGTCCACACAAGGCAAGAATCCCAAAGGAAAACCTGCTGCTAGTTGCTAGCTTTACAGTCATCTTTTAGTCTTAAAATCACATTTCTCGGTGATTAGTATGACACGTCTTGCACTTCTCGCCGAGTCGCCGTGATTATATGTTAGAACTAATAATTATCCCTAAAACAATTACATTATGATGCAGAATAATGAAATTTTCATCATGCATCGCCCGAACCTAATCTAGCGCCCTCTTTCGTTGTGAACACTCACTTCATTTTTAGCATGCTACCGATGGGGGCGCACTAGAAAGTCACTGGAATTAAAATGCAATGATCTCTTTAAATATTTTAGAAATCAGTGACAAAAAGCCACCTAGAGATTTATTCCGGAGAATAATTATCTTCATCTGCTCCCAAGCGCAAACAAGTTTCACTCTATTGACAATAGTCTGTTCAGATTTTTATTATGGCCACGATAATTTTTTATTAACATATTCCCTTTCAACTGTGAAAACAACTCAATAAATATTGATTCCTAGTTTGCCCCAACAATTAAAAAAAAAATACACCGCCGTAAAGTCCCAGACTTAAATAAACACAATAAATTCAGAATAGTGAGGTTTTTTTGGGGGTACCTTATTTCATATTTCAATTTATATTATTGGAGTTGGCCACAACTTGGGGGACTTGTCACACATTGGTACAGCTGTCAGTGATTTCCGCTCTATTACTCATGTCTATTATTTTTCTTTTCATTGTTGAGGAATGTTCGGGCGGGGTCAACTGTCCTAGACTAATCAATTCGAAAAGAAAGAAATGAAACTAGTCGTGTGTTTGACAAAATGAATGTTATTTCTTACGCATGCAGGTGGTTCTTTTAAAGCTTGTCAATTATAATGCTGTCAATCTTATTTCTGGCTTAATTATACGCGATCTTTGTGTCACAGGGCATTTCATTTTTATTAAACACAAACAATAAATTCTTTGCTGTTCAATTTCTTGTCAATGTACATTTGTATTCACAGACATTGTTGACACATTCCAACTGAGTGAGTATGTGGCCGGTTCACTCATTTCATGCGCCGTGAAATAAATACACCATAATTATTTTTGGACCTTAATTTTGTATAAGTAACCACGATTCGTTGATATTCAATTTAACAAAACGTCCTCAGATGTCAACCACACTGACATATTCTAACAAATATGTTGGACATGAACAATTTCTTCTGAAAAGACAGAACTACCGAACTATTTTCGCTCGGCGTAGTAAACCACAATTGATTGATTGACAGGTGACCTGGCCAGCGTTAATATCGTTGCTTTCAGATTCGCCATCTTGGTTTGTTCGTAAAAGCAGTGCAGTGCAACCCGAAAACCGCCGTCTGCACACACTCTACGGGGACAATCGAACTTCTCACACCGAATAGTTGGCTGTTTTGACCTTCAAATTTCCTGCTTTAAACAGTGAATTTCTGGCAGCTTGACGACAATTTACGGGCTGTAAGGGTTTCTTGAAACCCACAATTATTTGGTAAGTTTAATATTCTGGGTTAATTTTGTATGAAACTGAAAATACACGAAAACGAAATTTTAAAGTCACACTACGGTGACTAGGCCTACCTGACTACTGTCTTACTCTTAACTCACTGACTGTCACTCTGTGCTCTGTCATTGACTATAGACATAATTAAGGAGGCTTGTAAAAGTTGTAATGTATTTTTCGAATAATTTTTTGGAAAAAATGTTGCAACCTGACGCCACTTTTTCTTCATATATCATCTCAATGAAGGTCGGTCATTGCAAAAATGATGAATTTGGGACTGAGAAACATTTCCAATTTTGTTAGGAAATAGGCCTAGGAAATTGTCTCGACTCTCCACCACATTACAGTACCACCACATGACACTGACAGACTTTGTTCACAACCGCTGAAGTGGCGTCAGGTTGCAACATTTTTTCCAATTTTTTTCTACATTGGTTTTGATCTGGTTTTGTCATGTTTGTAGAGAAAGTAACAAGAAACATTTTTATTCAAGTTTGGATTCCATCGGATTCAACAAAGTAAAGAAAAATTTATTTTAAACTTAAGCAATAAAGCAGGGATTTTTCAGTGATCGTGTAGTTATGGGCCCGGTTCCCTATATAAGAGAACAAAATCCACTTTTATGTTATTTGACTTACCAAACTAGCACTAAGAACATTAGCCCCATAAATGTGGCCTATTTACTGGACTGCCTCCGTAAACATAGGCCACACATCCACATGTACAAAAATCGTGTCGACGGAGCCAAATTTTGATTTTCACATTTAGGCTTAGTTTGTAGGGTTTTTTTGCTTTAAAAGCATACTCACCCTCTTTATAGGCTAATCAGAAAGTGCTGCCTTTTTCAGATGTCTAATTTTTGTGAAATTTCATGTTGAAATTTTGATACGCAAACGTGTAAAAATTAATCTGGAAATTTCACGAAAAATATACGGTAATCCTTATCTTTAGGACACCTCTATTAATTACGAGTTCAGTTCAAAACTATTACATTTGCAGATGACTTTCCAGTACCAAAGTGACTTTTGCAGGCTAAAGCAGTCTTTTTTCTTCACATAAATTCAGGTTACTTGTAATTTTGAAAGCACTTTGTAAGAAAATGTGACTTTCCTACTTTTTTGCAGTTTGCCATCTTGGTTTTTGAGTCAGTTTTCTGTAAAATCGTCGTGTTTTCCCCCTTGATTTCCCTAAAAAGTAAAACCCTGCCAGCATCTTTCCACAAAATTAAACCTGCTGATATTCAAGAAGGTGTCATGACATTGACAAGAAATTTCAGAATGTCACTTTTGAGTGTCATTTAGTCAGTTGTTTTGGTGAATCTTTTAACCTCAAGTTATAATGGATTAGGAACGGGGTCCTAAAAGTAAGGATTACCAAATATACATCTGAAAAAGGCAGCACTTTCTGATTAGCCTATAAAGAGGGTGAGTATGCTTCTAAAGCAAAAAAACCCTACAAACTAAGCCTAAATGCGAAAATCAAAATTTGGCTCCGTCGACACGATTTTTGTACATGTGGATGTGTGGCCTATGTTTACGGAGGCAGTCCAGTAAATAGGCCACATTTATGGGGCTATAAGAACATTAGCCTCTAGATATATCATTAGTAGAGGGCAGGGTTTTGAATTTTTGAGGGAAATTTTGGGAAAAAATAACAATGACAACAACAAAATGCAACATGAAAATAAAGATGGCAATCACTGTGATGTACCGTGAGCGCGCAAGGCGAGCTGAAACACATGGCACCAACCGTAAACCGGGTACAAAAATCAAAATTTCTACCCCAAGATTTGCAAGAAACTGTTCAAAATTACACCAACAAAAGGTGTCACTTTTGACACTTGAATAAAGAGAAATCTGTTTTAGTTTGAACATTTCTTTTTTGAATGATAAAAAACACCCTTGACTCTTATTTGATCGAAACTGAACAGGGGCCCGTAAGTACACGATCTCCCTGAAATGGGCGATGGTGTAGTGTGTACAGCCATAGTCCAAGTAACTGTGAACCTACTTATCGCCTTTTTTAACATTGAGACATAGTCTGGCGATTAGTACAGTCAGACGGCTCCGGATCATTTGATTAATTTAAATAAAATTAATTCAACTGTTGCCAAGCTTTTTTTTCTCGAGATTTTGTTTTCACCCATTTGAAGGTCTATCGTCTTGCAATTGTTGGGGGAAAAAGAAATTTTTGGAAATCGCTCAAACATTACCCATTCCCATATTCGCCGAAAGATATTTATCCCCGCGTGACACAGTTGCGGATCACCCTTGCACACGATGCAGTTTTGTGTGCAGTTTACATGATGAAGGCGTGACACACGACGAACGCACCGTGAATGGTGAATTGTATACCCCAGGTGGCGCTGCGTGCGTGATCTGCAACTGTCGAAAGTGATCCGCAACTGTGTCGGGTTCAGTCCTGTACAAAAGCTATGAATTATTTCCCTTTAAAGGGAATATACAACATTTGCAAACATCGAAAAATAAAACTACCAAGTTTTTATGAAATACCTTACTAGGATGTTGGTAAATGACAGTCTAAAGCATCCTGTAAAATTATGGCATCTGGTGTGAAGTCATTTTCAAGAAAATGGTATTTTTGTATACATTTCCAACGGTGGTCGGCCGACCACCGTTGGAAAAACCTAACTATTTTTCAACTACTGCTCCAACTTTACACTTTTTTCAGTCCAAATTTTGTTTGCTATTGGTTACATGTTCATGAACGGGTGCAGGCCAGCTAGACTGGTTCCCTTACCTTACAATTTTCCGGCATCTATAAATTGATCCATTTTATCTTTAGCAGAGTCAAGGAACCAGACTGCTTGAACATTTTTGTTTTTCTTGGTTTTTCCAGCATTTTCGAACACAAAACTTCAAACATGTCAGTGTAACAATATTTGATCTATTATACTAACCCCTCAAATAGTTCATTTCTGAAAATTACAGCAAAAGCCAATGATGTTCATTCCCTTTAAGTTGTGTCTGTGTTAACTTATTTGGTTTGAACTTTAAGAGGAGGAATTTTACTATGAAATGATGTCACTCATGGACATGAAAGTCCAAACATGGGCGCGTGTACAGCGGTTTGAATAGAAAGTGATCAAGAACTGTCGCACTGACAGTAGGGTCCAAGCCGCGTGCCATCGTGTGACAAAAGAGAAACGACCAACATGTAGCTCTAGTGACTGGAGCGCTAGAACTGCCGTGCCCTCCGTACTAGTGCTCCAGCGGGGACAATGTACTTATACGGCATGTATAAGAACACTGACATTCCCTGGAGGAAATAAGGCCCTAAAAAACTGGTAAAGAGAAGGCAAATGAGAAAGCAAGTTACCCCGGATAGATCTACACATTCATGACATAAGGCCGCTTAAATTGTTCACAACAACCTGTTACTTGAAAAAAAATCAAAAATGTTCTGCCAAGCTTACCGCTGACATGTGTGCCGAGCTCTGTGAGCCATCAAATTTTTGGCTCGACCGGACTCTGGAGGGCACGTGTGACATCACCGTCGTAGACAAGATCAATCGAAGAAAATACACTAGATCAATCAAAGAAAAAAAAACGACGGTGACGTTACACGCACCCTCTGGAGTCTGGTTGAGCCAGAAAGTTCTTAAGCTAAAAATGTGACGCAATGCCCGAGGTGCTCCATTTGCAGTGCGTATACCTGTGTGCGAATCCACGGACAATCGGGTCATCGCACTTCGGACCGATTTTGTGGACTTTTTGCAACTAATATGGAAAGTTCATGTACTGACTACTTTTTTACCTGTTTCCTTGTGTTTCTGTTTCCTCCAGAGCCACTAATCAGAACAAGAAGATGAAAATAGTCTGCAATTGAATGTAGGGTTCGATTTAAAAGGATAAAAGAAGACAATTTTGATTTTTGGGATATCAAAAATAAACTTTCAAAAACATTGGTCACACTTGCACTCGAATTGGAGCGAGCGGTGTTGCTTGCGAGGCGGGTGGGCTTCCCACAAGGCTACACGTTCACGCGATGAGAAAATGTCATTTAATAACTTATATATGGTGCAGGCATTCTCGTATACACGTGCATGAGGGTGCTATACAACCTGCCGGCTTCAGAACAGACAAAGCGCGAGCCCGGTTCACGGCTAAATAAACACTTCGTTATTTCCGTGTTGCGTTTTGTTGTCTTCATGAAAAAAATTTACACTGCCATTAAAAAGTTAGGCCTAATGATATCAATCGTGGCAATTTTGATTGTAATTAGACAAAGGTTTACAGTAGCACCATGTGACAAATCTCTTTTGTGAGTTTGTGAGGTCCTGAAAAGAACGGGGGGGGGGGGACCCAACGTTTTGAACAATATACAATGTACATGTACTTTGCCCGTTGTTTCCTGAGGTGCCTGTGTTTGATTACAATAGGGTACCCAGTTCCCGCACTACCTGTAAATGCACACCACTAGCCTCATAGCGGGCTGGATGGCCGAGAAGAATCTCAAGCATTACATAGATAAAATAATTCATAACGTCTCGAGTCGATTATACTCCAGTAGTGTCAACTAGTAGCCTCATTGCCTATGCAGAGGTGGGGAGACATATGAGTGGCCCTCTGTAAGTCATTTCTCATGATGGTCAGTCATTGCAGATTTGACTTTTGTTGTGGGATCTCATAATGCACTATGTATGACACCATACATGTACATGTATGTCAAGTTTCTTTTTAGTGTCAGTCTACATTACATCAAAGAAATGTGCGACTCAAAATTCCTGACAAGTAAGATTAGTAACAGCTTATTCAACACATCCTTTGTATATTTTGGAAGTTGCATTTCAACCTTTTTTTTTCAAATAATATTAAACGTAACTTGCATACATTTGTGTTACATGTATTTGCACAACCATTGCATCATATGATACCATAACTGTTAAAAATTTACTCAGTTAATACATGTACGTACATAGTTCCTCACTTTCATTCCTTTGATACGTGATGTTCATGTACATGTGTAATGTTAGTTTTACACACTTTCAGTTGGTTGGATCATGGTTCGATGTACATGTACTGGTTGTACTGTAATTCAAATGCTAACACCCCATAATCCTGTAAATAATGTGCATTTGGTTTTAACATTGTGGTTTTAACTTGCTACAGGTAGATTATGCCACAGGTGGATTTATATAGGGCCTATGTGCCACCCCTGCTATCACTTATTAACCCAACAGTTTTTCCAAGAAATTTTGAGTCATCAGTACTGTAGTTGATTTGTATTAGTTCTGGTACTTCTGGTAACTCTTATCTCATCCACATTATCACTCAGAATTGTGGAATTCTTTGTGTAGGATGAACCTTTTCATATTTAAATTGCGATCCTGTGATTGTGTGTGTGTATTGTGTAAATCCCTAAGTAGTACTGTAATTGGTTCTTTTAGTCCGTGGATCAGTCCAGTTCTTATATGCACCATGCTTCACATCAGTTGAGTGTCTAAGGTCAGGTTATATAGCCCCTGCTGGGTACCGTTTCCAATCATCGACATGTAGGCTAAGGCAAACCCGTTTGTGTCTGGGTTGCACACTTATTTGACCCTTTGTGACCTTTCTCTGGGTGTATGCTGGGCTCCTGTTGGGGTTCTTGCCAACAACAGGTGCAGAAAAGGTCACGATTTTTACCATGGTAAGCATTGTTTTTCCCTGACACACACAGGCAGTGTTGTGCCCCTAGAGTTATTGGCTCCACGTACATGTACATTTTTGTATGCACATTTGTAGAAAATTGTACATTGTTCTGCTCATTATATTGTTTATTATATTACATAAAGGTTAACCATGCCGAGTAGATTGTAGCTTGGCCAATCATAAGTTGTTTTTATTCCTTGAAGTTTGGTTTTCTCTGTTGAAATTTATGCGAAGTATTCTGCATTTTCATTGCCCATGCACATGTATGTACATGTAAATAATGTACAGTCACTGCAATGGAATGTGACTTTTTCATATATATGTACATGTTCAGTACATGTACATGTACATGTACATGCATATGAATGTACATTAGTATATTTAGTAGTATATTTATTTAGAGGTTGAGATTCATGGAAGGTTTCATATCTAAAACATCATCTGCACTTGTAAGTGTACAGTGTTAGTGCACGTCCTGTCAACTTAGATCGACATTTAAAATCTTAGATATACTGTACTAGCACGTCTGATATTTCTCACAGTCCCACAGTCAGCTTTTATGAGCTCTGTGCACCAACAAAAGAGGGCGTCCTTTTACCTAACAACAACGTCCCATGGGCGGGACACATACATTTCGCTGGTTGACGCGCGCACCATTCCTTGTGTGTGACGCCCGTACACCAGGGGATTTGTACTATATACACGCAGTGGCTGCGTTTCGCGGCAGAATATTACAGTCAGGCAAGATGGCGGCGTTCGGTCACCCCCAACTGTACTATCTTTGCCGGTGAGGGGGTACTTGTGAACAGAGCAGATAGAACAAAATTCTTCACATTTTAGATTTCTCTTACTGTTAACCATGGGAATTGTCAATCATTTTACCATCGAGAAGGATGATGATAGTTTTGATGCCGATTATTATTCTGTTTTGTTTTTATATTTACTGTACAGGAGTGTGAGTAAGAAATAGCAAGAAGTACTGGGAACTACTTTATCAAAATGGAAGCCCAGAGGGTAGGTATTTTCATTTGTGTTATTTCATTGAAGTGTTTGACTCATTTTAAGTCAAATAACCAGTGGGATTGAACTTTTTGGGTTAAATTTTGTTTTAATAAAGTTTCACAGGCTTCAGTGGGATGCAATCACAGTCCAGGAATAGAAATGCTCAAGAAAATGGCTGTTCCAAACATGCTTAGGATTAAAGTTATTGAAAAAGACAAATTGAAATTTTATAACTATATAATTATGTTTTCTTTGTGAAGGAGGCAGACCTACATGCAGTACAAGTTTCAGCTTCTTGTCTGACCTCCCAATACTATTATTACAAGTTCCGTTAAATTGTTCTCCCTTGTATTTTACTTGCCTTAACCCTAACAGAACTCAACCCATCAAACCCCAACCGCATGTTTTGTTGGAATCTGTCAGGATGGGTACAGTACCCCTAAACTGGCAGTCTTTCACATTGGGTTGGCACACCTCCAGAAACAAAGTCAGAAATATGTGTGTGCAGTTTCCCATATGGTGTTGGAATTTGCCAGGATGGGTATGGTTCCTAGTAAATCATGCTAGGGAGTTAGGGTTAAAGTGTGTGAATAAACCTGACATAGACTTCTCATGGAATGGAAACTGATCATTGATCACATTTATCCTTCCGCAGCAAAAGCCATTTGTGGCTAGCCCAGCCGGCCAGAGTGCTTACGGCAGCCCAGCCCTCTCTGATCTACCCAAGCAGGACCCCATGCAGCAGACGCTAGACTGGCAGCATCACGGCTATGGTATGGACTCTGGAATACAGAGTGGCGTTACTACACAGGTGAGTTCAACATGTAACATTCTTCTTGACTCAACTATTTTGTGTGCACGGATGAGATTTTTCAGGATTTTTCAGGATTTCGGCATTTTTTTGTCAGTATTTTTCCTGATTTGAGGATTTTTGTGTGGAGATTTTACCTGATTCCAGGATTTTTAAGGAGTCCTTTTTGAAATCTGGAATTCCTGATGTTTTACCATAAAAGAATTTTCACCTATGAAAGTTCAAATTTATGTAACAAAAGAAATTGTCATTTTAAGGGGTGACTTTAGGCAAATACAAATATACATGTATACCGTAGCCCCTCTGTTGCTCTATGGCCCTCGGTGACCCTCAAACCCCCTGGCGATTATGTCGTGGATTTTTCATTTTCCTCCAATCTCGCCCCCGTTTGTGTACATCTTTGAAATGCAAGACCTAAGCCTAACCCCTTGAGCACTTTTAGAAAGTATCCTGAATCCGCCAAAATCCATCAATTTTGGCATGCAAAAAACTGTTGGTGTCCTGAGTCCGTCAGAATCCACCAGTAAGTCTGTCAGAATCCACCAGTGTAGTACATATACCTTGTACACACCAAGGAGTTAACTGTTGAGATCCTCAATCCATCAAAGTCCCCCAACTGCTCAATATGGAGGTATCCTGAATCCATCAAAATCCTGCAGTACCGCTAAGCTTACTGTACTGAATCCATCAAAATCCCCCAACTTTTCCAATATGGTGGTATCTAGAATCCGCCGAAATACTCCAAAACAGGGTTGTGGATTTTGATGGATTCAGGTACGTTAGGGTTAATATATAAGGATAAAGGATAAACATGTGCTGTTTTTCGTTAACAATTTCACAATCATTATTAGATTTAAAGGAATCCATGCACATGTTTTGTAAGTCTTTTAAGAAAATTCTTCATTGTGTTGACATTACATCAAGTCTGCTATTGATAATCTCCCCAGAGAGGAGCGCCTGGCTCTCAACTCCTTGCGCTCTCGCACCGACATCATCATCAAGCCAGCAGATAAAGGTTCAGCTGTGGTCATCATGGATCGTCAGCAGTACATTGATGAGGCCCACCGTCAGTTGGATAATCGCACTAACTATACCCGCCTTGACTCTGACCCCACAGATACTTTCTGTCGAGATATACAACAGGTACTTGACGATATGCGATCACGTGACCAGTTGTCCAAGAAAGCTCACAAATTTCTTTCTCCCTGTGATTGTAGGACTGCCAGATTTTACCTTCTACCCAAGATTCACAAGGCTGGCAACCCCGGTAGACCCATCATCTCCGGTAATGGCTCACCCACGGAACGCATCTCCCTGTTCATTGACAGTTTTCTCAAACCCCTTGTCCCACAGATTTCGTCATACATTCACGACACCCCAGACTTCCTACGCAAGCTTGAAGGAATCAAGGACCAGATTCCCAGCACAGCCATCATTGGGACTTTCGACGTCTCATCTCTGTACACCAACATCCCACATGAGGAGGGTGTTCGTGCTTGCTCCTTGGCTCTGGCCAAGGCAGGACACACGACTCCTCCCATCAGTGATGTTGGCACCCTCATGAGACTTATACTAACGAAGAACAATTTTTCCTTCCTTGGTGAACACTATCTACAGGTACACGGCACTGCAATGGGCACTCGCATGGCTCCGTCGATGGCTTGCCTCTTCATGGGTGACCTTGAAGAACGCATTCTTGCCTCGGCCCCATGTCGCCCTTGGATCTGGTGGAGATATATTGATGATGTTTTTTTCATCTGGACCAGTGATAAGGACAGTCTCTTGACCTTCACTAACCACATCAATTCCTTCCACAGAACCATCAAATTCACATCGGAGTTCTCGGCTCACCAAACCCACTTTCTGGATGTCACCGTCCGCAAGCAAGGCAACTCACTAACCACTGACCTGTATTCCAAACCCACAGACACCCACCAGTACCTCCACTCCTCCAGCTGTCACCCCAGGCACTGCAAAACTGGCATAGCGTTTAGCCAGGCACTCAGACTCAGAAGAATTTGTTCTAATGATTCCGATTTCTCCCGCCATACACAGATACTGAGGAACAACTTGGTGGCCAGGGGTCACAGCTCTCGCCAAGTTCATCGTGCCATTGCCAGAGCTAAAGCTATCCCCAGAAATCTAGCTCTCACGGGAAAGGCCCCTGATGCCATGGCCAAACCCATGATTCCCTTGGTTACCACGTTTCACCCCAATCTCCCTCCCCTTCGCAAAATCACTAATGACAATCATCATATCCTCCATACTTCAGATCGCCTTGCCCGCGCCATCCCCAACGGCCCCACATTGGCTTACAGGCGTCCTCGAAATCTACGGGACTTGATTGTTCGAGCTGAAGTCCCATCCTTAGATGCATCCCCTCCCACCCAGCATGGTACTTTCAAGTGCACTTCCAGATGTGTTGTCTGCCAGATTCATATCCAGGAGTCTGACTCCTTTTCTGGCCATCCTTCTGTCACTACCCACAGAACCATTGGTAACATCACTTGTAACACCTCTAATGTCATATATCTCATTTCTTGCAGGGTCTGTGGAGTGCAGTATGTAGGTGAGACTAAGAATACGCTCAAGAAGCGTTTCTATGCCCACCGGTCAACGGTCAACACCAAGAAACTAGACACCCCTGTTGGTCATCACTTCAACCTGCCTAACCACTCCATTTCTGATATGATTTTGCAGGGCATTGAATCTCTTGGCCATCGCAAGGACTCAGTTCGCCTCAGCAGAGAGAAAGTGTGGATGAATCGTCTTCGAACTATTCAACCACACGGTCTCAACATCCAACTTGGAAATGATTAATCCTTTTTTTCCTCCATTGTCTTCTGTTACAGATAATCCATCTGGTCTTCCTTGTTTGTGTTTACCCATCTTCCCCCATCTTTCATCCCTTTCCACCTCCATACTGTTTCCCCCCCCCCCCCCCCGCATCATCCCTTCACTCTCACACTCTTTTGTCCGTTCCCAACCCCTGTGACCTTTGATCCTTCCCCTTTCTGGTCCCTCCCCTGTTCACACCAGACCCCTTGTGGTTTGCCATCTCCCTCTGTTTCTTTGTTCTCTCATCCACCCTCCCCTGCATCTTTCTACACCTTTCCCACTTAATCTCCTTTTGTGTTTCTTCTTTCAGCCCTGCATGTTTGTGTGCACCCCCATGTTAATGTATGTACCTCTGTCATTTCTGTTTTAGCCTCTGAAGAAGAACTTGCTAAGTTCGCAACGTCAGGCCACATTAATTTTAAGATTATTTTTTTTGTTTCTTTGTAGGCTCCATCAGTCAGTAGCAAGAGCCATCATGATGAGGAGTCTGAAATGAGCGCAGGTCAAGGCATGTTTGATTGGGACAGCAGCTATGGGCAGGCTTACACTCAGGAACAGGTGGACGGTAAGTTTACACTCTCCAACTTTTAACCCTAACCCTCCTCAATCCTCCAAAATCAACCAGGCAGTCGTTGAGGATTTTAGAGGATTGAAGCTAAATGCCAAAAAGTGTCAGTTGAGTTTGAAGGATGCATTGTGTCAAGGTAGTAGGCTATGCCCTGCATTGTTTATGTTCAGTCGTGTATAATTGAGGCCTGCCTTATTCTGGATATAATATCAGTATTCCTTCTGGGTATCATCTGCACTGCCTCAATGTATTACAGTGATTGTTGATGGATTGGGGCAGTGGTCACCCCTCCACTGAACAAATTCAAGAAACATCAGATGTTTTGGGAGGACTTTTAAGGATTGAGGATGCATCTTAGCCGAAAGGTCCTAGGCGGTTAGGGTTAATATTGATGGGAAAAAACCTAGACATTGAATACTTGAAAGCAAGGAGTGCCCAAATCCACTAATTTTTAGACAATCTGAATTAGACCCAGAACGTTATTGCTGATGCTGACTCGTATTGTCGGGTATAACTCAACTTGGCCAAACTATTGTTTTGCTGATATCATGTTGGTTTTGTTCATCTTGTTAGGTGTAACTCATTTGCTGTCATTCAGAGCTATCTTATGTGTAAAAGGGTTCCAATACAAAATATGCATGTAATCACAGTACGCATTAAAAAGTTCCAACTCCTTGCTTTTAAGACTTAGTCTGTGGAGCTAGGCAATGCTCTCAGATATTCAAAGAAAGAGATCATGTATCAAGACAATGGGAAAGAATGTGGATTTTTATTCACATTAGTTCTTCCCTTCTCTCTACAGAAATGAACCAGCAGTTGAACCAGACCCGCTCGCAGCGTGTGCGCGCCGCCATGTTCCCAGAGACCTTAGAGGAAGGGGTTCAGATCCCGTCCACCCAGTTTGACCCCAACCACCAGACCTCGGTCCAGCGCCTGGCCGAGCCCTCTCAGATGCTGAAACACGCCGTGGTCAATCTCATCAACTACCAGGATGATGCTGACTTGGCCACTCGCGCCATCCCCGAACTCACCAAGCTTCTCAGTGATGAGGACCAGGTAATTTTTTTTTTTATCTCTCGGTTTCAGCTAGATTACATTGTTTCTACTTTAAATTAATCGGAGTGAGTTGAGTAGCTGTCTGTAACCAGATTGTTACGTGTGAGTGTTGGACTTTTGTAAATCACCAAAAAACAGTCCAAACAGTTCTTCGGAAAACCCTCAAAATCAAGCAAGGCCTAGATGGGATTTGATCATGAAGCGCAGAGGTGAGAGTGAAGGAAAGAACCACTGACCCAAATGGACTCTCTTCAGTGTTTAACCTATTTGTAGTTGCTCCATTGCATTAATGACAGGTATTCATGAACAATTTGAAAGTGAATGTGGCAAATTGCCTGTTCATCTTTCTAGAAGATTGCTGCAGCCTATACACACATACTGAAATTTGCTTGCCCAATTCTGTTAAATATGCATTGTGTATGCTGTTTTCTTTGCTCGACGACATTCACATTTTTATATAAATCAAACTGTTTTGTATTCTTTAATTGTATTAATCCCAACCCTGCTAAATGCAACAAAACTAAAAAGTTGTTGCATTTAGCAGTCAACTCAAGTCCCTGTGCTTGTTGCATCTTGTTGCATTTAGCAGGGTAACTGCTCATAGTGCCAAGGCAATACAACAGAATCCACTGTTGCATTTGGTTGCATTAAGCAGGGTAACTGATTGGTGCCAAGGCTGGTATCACTGGGTTAACTGCACAATGCAACAGAATCCACTGTTGCAATTTGTTGCATTTAGCAGGGTTCTTATTTCAGCCAAGTCGCATTTTGTTGCATTTGGCAGGGTGCTTAGCGAAAAAACCTGTGGGGTGGTTAGGGGTAAATTGTTAATGAGTTAAACAGTTCCCCTCACCTAATAAGTCGTGCATCTCATTTATGTATAACAGGTGGTTGTCAGCCAAGCTGCCATGATGGTCCACCAGCTCTCCAAGAAGGAAGCCAGCCGTCACGCCATCATGAACTCCCCTCAGGTGGTGGCCGCTTTGGTCCGTGCCATGTCTAACTCCAATGACCTAGAGACCACCAGGTGTGCCGTGGGTACACTGCATAACCTCTCCCACCACCGCGCCGGTCTGCAGTCCATCTTCAAGAGCGGCGGGATCCCGGCCCTCGTCAAGCTTCTCAGGTTAGTGCTTGATTCAGGAGGAAAAAAGTTGTCCAAGGAATATAAGATCAAATGTTTACTTAAAAATTGGTCAAATATCAGCCATTCTGCTACCTGGGCTTAATATTATTTTTATCAGCTCTTTGTCAATTTTGGACAAGCGTAGGTGCACACAAATTCCAATTGGCGGCATGTGTAACTTAGATCAGTGAATTTTGAAATTGAATATTTGAATATTCTACCAAGTCTCAGTTGGATTAAGCCACTAAAAATTGTACAAAAAATCAAGCTTTACAGTACAATGAAAGCATGAATAGTAGATTGCACTGTGTGGCCTACAAGGTGTATGCATATAGTGCACAATAACCCAACCCCCAGCACCACCAAAGTGAGAAAGAGTGATGTCGTTATACATTCGCTGTAAAATTTGCCAGAGTTCAACTCGGGTGAATTTCGAGCCTAATAATTGCCATGACGTCATCAATTCTCATTTGCATTCTTATATGCGCCAAGTGTGAACCCGCCTTTTTGAAGGAACTTGCTTTGCCCCTGTACACCTGGAACTCACAGAAATATTATTGTGCATTCTTTGTGTCATTTGCTCACATAGGTGTGCACATGTAATGTATCCCTCCCAATGCACTCTCAGGAGTAGTCACAAAGTGCCATCTAGGCACAGATTCCATATAACATTGTAGACCTGTTATGACAACAACTTTCTAACGCTCTTTCTCAATTTGTTTTTGGTTATTGCAGCTCCACTGTTGAGTCAGTGCTCTTCTATGCCATCACCACCTTACACAATCTCCTGCTCCACCAAGAAGGCTCCAAGATGGCTGTGCGTCTGGCCGGAGGCCTACAGAAGATGGTCATGCTGCTGGCCCGTAACAACGTCAAGTTCCTGGCCATCTGCACAGACTGCTTGCAGATCCTGGCCTTTGGCAACCAGGAAAGCAAGGTAAGCTTGCTATAGAGAAGTGCTACGCCGAATATACCGAATGTATGATCATCCACCAAATATACCGAATAACATGTTACCAAATAGCACCGAATAGCATGTTACCAAATAGAATACTTGAAAAATGTGAACCGTCTGGAGAAGATGACAAAAACATTTGTGATGTAATTTTATTCTTATAATGTATGTGGTTTTATTTTTTATCATATGCCACATATTTTGTGGACAGTCCCTTTACACGCATGATTTGGGAGCTTCCTTGGGGAATATTGGCCCTAATTTGCATCTTAAAGCGCTCTCAAATATGAGCTAGTCAGCCATCTCAAAGTTAAATAATGCATTCTCTGCTCGCTCTCTCTCTTTTTAGCTGATCATCCTTGCCAGTGGAGGTCCAGCCCAGCTCGTCCGCATCATGCGTACCTACACCTATGAGAAGCTGCTGTGGACAACAAGCCGCGTCCTCAAGGTGCTGTCTGTCTGCCCCAGCAACAAACCAGCCATCGTCGAAGCTGGTAAGTACTAAATGGAGAAGATTATCAGAAATGTGATCTTTGCAGGAATGATGAAACTTGGGGCCTGTCTGATGATAACTTTGGGGATCAAGTAGTTAACTTAGCTGCCCCCAGAGTCCACGTCAGGCATGTTGAGTCTTCCGGTCAGAGTCTCTTTTAAGTTTAAATATGGGAGGTAGTAGTGGTGGCTTCGGTTGAGTTCTCCTAAAGACCCCTGAACTTGAAGGATAACTTCCCCAAGACTTCTAAATTGTTCGTGCAAGAGATTAACTTCAGTAGTTGCAAGCTTTGTCTTTTGCCCTTTAGCTTTTTAGAAAAAAATGAACGAAACAATTGTGCAAGCCTCTTTGGCCTGAATTTCAGCTGAAGGTACATGACAGAGAAAGACTCTGAAATCTTTGCGAGCTTAATTTTAAAGAGTCTCTCTTGTCCAGAGGTTTAATTGATTGGTCGGTGTGATTTCTAACAGGTGGTATGCAGGCTCTGGGCATGCAGCTTGGTCATCAGAGCAACAGACTGGTGCAGAACTGCCTGTGGACCCTGCGCAACCTGTCAGATGCTGCAGTCAGAATGGTAAGTCTGTGATCGGTCTGTGATCGGTCTGTGATCGGTCTGTGATTGGTCTGTGATCGGTCTGTGATCAGTCTGTGAGTGGTCTGTGATCAGTCTGTGAGTGGTCTGTGATCAGTCTGTGAGTGGTCTGTGATCAGTCTGTGATCTTCTGTAAGGCCAAAAAAAAAATGTTGTGTTGCCCTCACATGAAAAATATCAGGATTGTCGGTCGGTCGGTCGGTTGGTCAGGGGGGTATACATAGTTCAAATATATACGCTTACTCTTTTTCTCTATTCTATTCGGTTACCAGTTCCCCTCTACCAACGTACACGAAACGTACAGGCTATGCATACAGCACGCGCCAACTATACTGTGAACATATGTACATGCATGCACTACAATGTACAGCGCATGTACATTTGTATACAATGTATACAATACATCACACCACATGCTCCAAGCCTCGGCCTTGGTTAGACGGACAAAATATGTAAATTCAAACTGTATTACCATTTTAGGTATGAACGTTTTGTAACGAAATGCAAAATTATGGCATAACAAAGAAATAGTAATGGTAAGGTTAAAGTTTATTTAACTTTTTTCCCCCCAAAAAGACCCCCAAAACAAAAAAAACGACCAGAGATTTCCAAGTATTAAACTATTTTCATTGTAAAAAGTTAAGTAGAAGTACAACTCTCTGGATACCAGAAGAAGAAAGCAAGAAACAACCTCAGTAAGGATGGGAAAAAAAATCAATCAATCAATTGTCTATTCTTCGTAGGATGATTTGGAAGGCCTGCTTCAGATGCTGGTGCAACTCCTGGCCTCCAACGACATCAGCGTGGTCACCTGTGCCTGCGGCATCCTGTCCAATCTGACCTGTAACAACGCCCGGAATAAGATCATCGTCTGCCAAGTGGGTGGTATCGAGGCCTTGGTGCGTGTAGTCATCCAAGCTGGTGACAGGGAGGAAATCACTGAACCAGGGGTAAGATTAAAAAGTTGAAAGTTTGAGAATGTATTTTATCCCTAACCTTCCCAAATCCTCCAAAATCCTCTTTGTAAAATGAAGGATTTTACATGATTGAAGCTATATTGCAAAAGTGTGTGGCTGATTGCGGAGGATGCACTGTGTCAAGGTCTTCACCGTCTTGGGCCGGACTTTGTGTTGTTTATGCTCAGCTGTGAGTAAATTTAGGCTTATATTGATACTTAAAATCCTCCGCATTGCTCCAGAATGTCACTGGCACTGCCTCAACATATTGACATGGATTGCTGGAGGATTTTGCAGGATTGAGGCAGTGGTCACCCCTCCAAGGACCACATTCAAGACGGAGGATTTTGGAGGATTGAGGCCGTATGCAATTTTTACATGAAGGCAGTTGGAGGATTTTGCAGGATTGAGGTTACATCCTAGCAAAAATGCCTGGGGAGTGAGGGTTAATGATTTCCAAGCTTGTGATTTTTTTTGGCAAGCTCTTGGACAACATTGAGTATACTGCGCTTATAACATTTTCTATGAAGTGCGAAATCTAGTAAATGTGCAATTTTTCGTGCGTCTTTAGTCTTTAAATGGAAGAATTTCAACGTCCAAATCAAGTAAAAATGAATGGCAAATATCAAAAAAGTAAAAAGATATTGCTTTAGCCTTCAATTCCCTTCCTCTAAATTTTAAGAACTCTCCCTATCAAAATCCTTAAGTTCACCATTTAATCATTGGGGTTCATGTACACTCCTTGGAAAAGTATAATTTTCATAAGTATTTATACTGGCGGATTTTGTGGGATTTATTAACCAAAACATGCAGAGGTGTGTTAGCTTTGAGCTTTGCTAAGGGCAGAACAACTGTCAAGCTCTGTTCATTCAACAGAGCTGCCAACTCTCCCTGATTCTGCGGAAAGGTCCCTGAAAATAAGCCAATCTTTCCATGTTCTGATGAATAAATTTGAAAATCTCCCCAATTATGGAAACTTTTTTCCCTATTATGTTGAATGTAATTCTAAATATCTCCCTGATTGTTGTACAAAATCTCCCTGATTGCAAGATGCAAATGTTGGCAGCTCTAATTGCCCACCCAAAAGTTGGCGGGCGTAATTTGTAATAAGCCCCATCTTCATGTTTTATCAGAATTGATCAAATGACGAGAATTTTCAAAACCGAAAGATTTAATGGGACTGAAGGAATAATTTTCCCCTTTTAATTCTCTGTCTGTCCTGAAGGTGTGTGCCTTGCGTCACTTGACCAGCCGACACCCAGAAGCTGAGACGGCCCAGAATTCAGTGCGTCATAACTTTGGTATCCCGGTAGCAGCTAAGCTCCTGCAGGCTCCGTCCCACTGGCCTCTCATCAAAGTAAGTTCCTTTAAAGAGTTGCAATCCAAGCAATCGCAAATCAACCATGAGGCAAAAACAGTCGTGTCACAAAGGATTGTGACAAAGGAACGTGTGTGTCGAGGTCCATTTGAAAAGCTCGTGACTTGACGTCATAGTTGATGAGTTGTAATTGACTTGTGGCCGACTTAATTACCGCTTTTAAAAGCTTAAAGCGCCTGTGACATGGATTTTTCTTGGTAACATAATTAATGCGACTTTCTCCTCCTCTTAAATGTATGAAACGATTGGACATCTCTTTTTGGTGAATTTTATTGAAATGTGTACTTTTTTAAACATTACACATTTTCCGTGCTTTTCTTGAGGGCGCTGTTGCCGTGATGTTATATATCAGGAAGACACTGTTCAGTTTAGGGGTTTTCTATTCAAACTGTAAACCCAAAATGTGCTTACTGAAAACATTGGTGAGAAAACTTTGCTGACTGAGTTACTGTCATGCACTGAAACATCAACGAATCACCAAAGAAAAAAACATTTAGAACAGCAAAATATCCAAAATTCTGGCCCCTTTTGGAGCTAAAATATCCAAAATTCTGGCCACTTTTGGTGTAACATTGAGGTTTCTTCCTGAAATGACTGTGAACATGGAAATTTGCATTAGCATAATAACCAAAAAGTCACCAAAATGCCCTAACAAATGCTAACATGAAAATTGAAAATAAAATTAAATGGGACTCGAACTTGCATTTTCAAGGACTGCATTAAAAAAAAAAATTCATGGGCCCTTTATACCCTCCTAGTTTCTCAGAAAATCAGACAAGAGGTTTACAAGAACTATCAGGATGATTCCTCTTGAAAATAAAGGCACAAATAAATCTGTCCTTGGTTTCTTGCGCAAACAATGCTGTGAGAACAAGGCATCAGTAAATATTTAATCTATGGCTGATGGCATATTGACCTGACTATATACCACTCACTAGAAATCTATCACGCATGATTACTTTTAGAATAAAGGAAACCGATTGCAAAGGAAAATATTTGATTTTGAACATTATAAATGAAAGTGTAATTGATTTTTTTGATGGTTTATTTATCTTCAGTTCTTTGCAAAACAATTTTGGAAATATTGATTTGTGAGATATTTTCATTTTCTAGATATTTTTGTATTGAAGTGAACTGATGACAGAGACTTGAAATCCTGGCTGCAATGTTTTCAGATATGACAATATTTTATTTTCTTGTGCCCTCACAGGCCACCATTGGACTGGTGCGTAACTTGGCCCTGTGCCCAGCCAACCATGCACCTCTGCGTGAGCACGGCGTCATCCCACGACTGGTCCAGCTTCTCATGAGAGCTAACCAGGACTCACAGAGGGTAAGACAAATCCTTCACATGAACTCTTCTTGTTAATTGTGAGTTTATTATAGGGTGGAATTAGTGGCTGATACGTAAAGCGTTTGCCTCTCACCACTGTGGCTTGGATTAAATTCCTGGCTCGAACCATATGTGAGTAGCGTTGTTCGTTGATTCTCTCCTGTGCCACAGGGGTTTTTGTCTGGGCTCTCCGGTTGTCCTCCCTCCGCAAAAATCAAACACTTTTGATCTCTTACTGTGCTCCATGGTCATACGTGGGTCGTACGGCGGCTGCCAAAATGCTCGACCACGTTGTAGCCGCGTCCTTCGCTATTCAGCTTCTAAGCTGCGAATAAGGATGATTAGCCCCAAAAATTGTTATGAAATTATTATATCAAGCTGGCTTGGAGGATTCTGCACAGTGTTGGACTCTGTAAGATTCTCGGACATTTCTAGTGAAAATATCAGGGAGTTATGGGGAATGATAACATACTGACTGTTTTGATGATGCCACCAGATACTATTTAATAATTGTTGCAAGAATTGTCTCTTAGGATGAAGCTCTGTGTACATTTTGTGTCATTGTTTGTGAAGACACTTTAATGAAGAAGTCCATGTCTGGTTAAACCCTAACCTCCCCAACTCCATCAAAATCCATCCCCCCATCTTGGTGGATTTTGGGGGACTTGGTCCTGCAGGCCTGGTTTGACTAAATATTGATGGAGTATGATGGACTTGGGCCTAAAGGCCTAAGGCAAAGTTTGAATTGGAAGCAGTGTGATTGATGGATTTTGGCGGACTTGGTCCAGTACGTGATAAAAGACAGTAGGTAGTTAGGGTTAATCCTTCCAAGCTCATCTTCAGATTAGTTTAACTTGAGAGTGTTGCTTGACCGTAGCCATCATTATTTCAAGTATTCTGACCTCTCTTTGTATGGACCAAGTTGGGCAGCCCGATTGTTAATAATAGTATGACATTTCACTTTTAAGCAGGTTGCAGTTACATCTCCCTATAGACCTTATGCGCTACGGCGGAGTTTGAGAGCAATGCTTTGTTTTACCAGGATAGGCAGGGGAAAACCTCTCATTTAATGTAACAAAACTAAAAAAGCAAGGAACGACTTTTCAGTTGCTGCAAGGCATAAGTTCTATACGTGTAATATATAGTCATTGTATGAGTCTTTGGCAGAAGTGTTATACCCGAATACTAAAATCCAACCCTGAATTTGTGTTCTTGCAGAGACAGTCAGGCGGTGCTAATGGACAGAGCTACACTGACGGTGTGCGCATGGAGGAGATCATCGAGGGAGCCGTTGGTGCGCTTCACATCTTGGCCAGAGACATGCACAACAGGATGCTGATCAGAAACCTCAGCACTGTGCCTCTCTTTGTGCAGGTATTTATTTCCCTGTTTCATTTCCTACCATGGATTTTTTTTCAGTTGAGGAGAAATTCTTAACGTATTGGTTTTTTGTCCTTCATCAACGTAATTGTATAAAGTAGCATGTACTAAGTGCTGTCCTAGAGCCGGCAAGAAATAAATGCACAAGTTTGTTAGGGTGGGGTTCAAACTGAGGACCTCTAACTGACTAGCGCAGATGGCTGAACCACTTGACCACTGAGCTTGGGGCATTGAATTGGAGATCAAAATCAAGGAATGTAAGGCTGTTTGAAAGCAAAATCCTCTGGAATTTAAAAATATAGTTTTGCCTTCCCCGTTGTAACTAACAGTATAAACTCAAGGGTGTCGGAGGGCTTGCAGTAAAAAAAAAATCACATGTTTAATTGGGTTGGACTCAAATCACGATCTCCTGCCTACAAGTGCAGACATATTAACCATTCAACCACAGAGCTTGCTGGAATCAACTGGCTGCTTAATAAAGAACGTTCCAATACCATTTATGGAAGTTCTAATGCATTCAGGAAAGTTCTAATACCATTTAGTATTATAAGATGGAATACCATTTAGGGAAGTTCTAATACAATTTATGGAAGTTCTAATACATTCAGGGAAGTTCTAAATCCATTTAGGGAAGTTCTAAATCCATTTAGGGAAGTTCTAACACCATTCATGGAAGTTCGAATGCCATTTATGGAAGTTCTAATGTCATGTACGGAAGTTCTAATACCACTCACTTTGTCCATGTCACCAGCTGCTGTACTCCAACATTGAGAACATCCAGCGTGTGACTGCAGGCGTCCTGTGTGAGCTTGCCCAGGATAAGGAAGGGGCAGAGATTATTGAGCAGGAAGGGGCAACGGCACCCTTGACTGAGCTGCTGCACTCCAGAAATGAGGGAGTTGGTAAGCCAATCTTTCTACCATTTCAATTTCTACTATTTCAATTTCCTTTGGGCATATGAGCCAGCGACCTGCTCGCAGTGAGCGAGGCCGAAAAATATGAGTGTGCTGCCCAAGGGTGATGGCTTCAACCCGCCTGGCTTGAGGTCGACTGAAACTAATCCCACGCCTCGTTCCGTTCTTGTCAAAATAATCCCGGCGTGAACAGATATGTGATATGTCACTTTGTAGCGCTCCCGACATAACAGATCATCTGGATTGTGATTGCCTTATTTGAGATTATAGATCCTTGATATTAGTAGTCTCGGCAGAAAAGAGCTAGTTTTACATAAGTATAATTTGCCGGTGGGTGAATATCACCAGCAAGTTTTGCTGGAATCTCGAATGATTAAGGCCGATTTTTGCAGAAGATTTTTCACTTGAACATTTCTTGTGAACATAGATCTGTTTGTGTTTAACATTTTTTTTTTAAACTGCCTGTGTACTTTGATATCTCACATTGAGCCTGAGTTTTTTCATACGTTGATAGCATATTCATAAGACAGAATTTGTGTCGGAGTCATGTAAATTTAATATTAGGTTTTGCCCTTCAGGGACTAAAAAAACACTCTATACTCAGTGTGTTACCTCCCGAGTGAAAGTTGGAATTAAATTGAAAGCATATGATAAAAATACCCGATCTGGATGTACTTCCTCACTCCAGCCACATACCCCAAAGTTCAATTCCTTCAAACGTTGGTTTAAAGATTCAAATTGCAACCCCTTGGATCCCTGTTTCAGTGAGTGGTAGATAAACAATTTGACACTGCTTTCTTGTCAACAGCCACCTACGCTGCAGCTGTGCTGTACCGCATGTCTGAAGACAAACCACAGGATTACAAGAAGCGTATCAGCGTTGAGTTATCCAACTCCCTGTTCAGAGGAGACACTGCACCATGGGGCGAGGTAGGCACAAATACCGGTATTTCTCAGGCCTTGAAGTGTCTTTTTGAACAGGCTTGTCCTTTTCCCAGATTGAACACCCCAGTTACTATTAGTGAAAACAGGAACGATTTATACACTAGGGCGGCATATAGTCCCATTTTGAGGTTTTGGTGGCCACAGGGAATATACTTTTGTCTTTGTAATGTATACCGTGTTTTGTTTGTTGTTGTAGCCCATGGACATGCCCGATCCGCCAATCATACAGCAAGACTTCTCCCATCACAGTAGCGCCAGCAGCCTGCATAGTGACTACAGACACCAGCAACCGCCGCCACAACAGCAGCAAGGTGGAGCTATGCACATGCAAGGTGAGACCCCTTCCAGTTTGTCATTGAGGAAAACTCACAGTGCTGTTGTCCATCAATTTGGATGGCATGCGTGGCGCAGTGCGTTAAGTGCTCGCCTCTTACCGCTGCGGCCCTGGTTCGATTCCGGGCTTGGGTCATATGTGACTAGAGTTGTGGATTGATTCTCTCCTGTGCCATGAGGGTTTTTCTCGGGGGTTCTTCAGTTTTCCTCCCTTTGTAAAAATCAACACTTGTGATCTGGCAAGTGTGATAAGGCATGGGTTGTATGGCAACTACCTGAGGTACGTTTACATGCCTTCGGCTTGACCATGCTGTAGCTGCGTCCTTCGCAATGCAGCTTCCGCTATGAATAAGGATGATTAGTCTCCGCCTTCAAGTTATTTCTTTATAACGGTCCTCTTAAGTACATCACAAGTCCTCCTGTCTTTAGCTAAGTTGCAAGCTGTTCATGTAAACTATGACAAAGACATTCCTTAGTATGTGTTGCTCCTAGTTACTTGTGACTGGACGTGTGAATGGACTTGCTATTTATTTGTGACCGGAATAGGGATGGACTGAGATGGACTCGACTACAATGCTGCAAAGTTGATACTGTAGCTGAATCAGCATCTTGCAGGGAATGTACACGGTGGTCCTACCTAGGGAACTCTTGAAGGAAATATTATGTGTGCACACTTTTTGTGTGTGCAAATCAGGGTTCTAGCCAGGGTGAAATTATAGCGTAGGGGTAAATTTGGTTAGACAACTAATGCGAGCGCGGAGTGCGAAGCCCTTACGGCGTGGGGTCCGGGGCCCGCTTAAGGGCCCCGGAAAATTTTGGACTCTAGATGCTCTGTGGTGCAATCTGAGGCGATTCCCTGCCACTTTCCCCTGATTTTTTTTTAGCAGAAGTGTTTAAAATTATAAGAAATTTTGTTTTATTTGTTTCAATGATTGATACTCTTGCTCCTGTAAAGTTTCTTCTGTTTTCAAATTTTAGATTATGTTTACAATGTATAAATTGTTCCAACTTCCAAGATCGATGCTTTCTGATGTTTAACCATTTTTAGTAGTTCCTCAATGTTTTATAAAAAATTGGGATTTACTTTGTCAATATTAAGTGCGAGAACAAATTGCATGAACATTTCATATTTCAAGAAGCCTTGTGTTGTGTAGCGCTACCGTAGTAGCAGTAGTTCCGATTTTAAATTTGTAAATAAAACCATCCGATCGGCAGGGAGAGAAATTGTAAAACCATGGAGTTCTCAGACAGAAAAAGTCGTCGGCGATTGCAAATTCAATATGCTACAACACAATGTGAAGGAGAAATCTCATTTTTGTTATGTTAAAAAATATAATTGTAGATAATGACGATGAGAACTAATCACCGGGAATTGCTTCCTATCCCGGCTGCGGCCGGCCCCGGCCGGCCCGGCGTGCGGGCGCGGGCCAGCCCACACCGGCTACGCCGGCGAACTACCGGACCAAATTTTCCCTCAGCATTTGAGAAAGCAACGTATTCGTGGAGCGCTAAAAACTTGCTTTGTTGCAATACTTGCTGATTGGTTTTGTCCTAAGAACAAACAGATCCGTTTTTACTACCAAACTTATTGAACTGTTATCAGCAACGAGTAGTGACAGTCAAAAATCCAAATTTTCGACAGCGACATTCTTCGAGAAGAATTCTTCACGTGCGGCCATCTTTGAGGACGGATCCATTGATATCATAGGGGTGCTTAACCTTTCTTTGGACATCGTTTCTCGAATAAATCCTTTATGAAAATTATGTTCCGATGTTGAAGAACTTATTTTCAAACAGTAACACGTTTCGGACTTGATAAAAAGTATTATTTATAATTTTAAAACAGTTGAAATGCTTGTAAATATTGACCTTAGGAAAGCACACCCGAGGCCGCAAAATGGTGTGGTCCACAGAGCGCTCTGTACGTGACAGTTGGTGACACGTACGTCCGTACGGAGCGCTGTATCTACGCAGCACAAAACAGCACGTGCTTATTGCTATCATAGCGAATGTGTGTGGGGCAGCTTCACGGTAGGGGTATCGTACGGGGTACGTGCGGTGGGATCGTTGTTTATTTTTCGCTGTGTCGTACGGCCAGTGCGCAATGCTTAAAGTCGCTGCGCTTGTATACGAACAAACGGCAGGGTTTTTTTTCGCAACCAAAATTTATAGCGTAGCGGCGCGATTTAAGCGTAGCGCTTATTTCCGAAAGCGTAGCGGGTGCTAGCGCTATTTGATGCCTGGCTAGAACACTGGTGCAAATGTTACCTGTCACCACTAAAAGAGCTTGAAGTCAGACTTTTTAAGAATTGAGATATTTACATATCTGGATTAAACAGAACAAGAGCTTTCTAATGGTATACAACATTCAGGGGTGCTGAGTTCAGAAACGGAAATATAGACCACCAACTTACTTGAAGTTTTAAAACTAATTCTTGAGAAAATGGCGTTTAAAATACTACAGTTACGTTTTTACAGTGCATGAACGACCACATAATAAAAACAGGATGAAATAGGTTTCAAAGATGTTTGACAGATTGAACAAAATTGGAGAAAAGTAAAACCGTAGATCCTATGTTGCTCTGTGCTTCTTTGGTGACCTCAAACCCTCTGCCAGTTATTTCATGGATTGTTCATTTTGCCCCCGTCACACCCCTGTGATTATCGGTTTGGAAATGCCTGTTGCTGTATCTGTGGTTTAAGTAAAACAAAAAGTGACTTAAATTTTTTTAAACTTTGCTCATCAGGTAACTATCAGGAGCCCATGTCACTTGAGCCGATGATGCAAGATCTGGATCTGGGATCTCACACGGACTACGGCATGGACCCCACATTGGCCAACTTAGGCCCACCCTCCGCTGACCTGAATCTGGACGGACTCCCCCCTACAGACAGCAGTGGACTGGCCTTCTTTGACACCGATCTGTGAGCCATGCTTGAGGAGTGTTCCATTATAAAAGAGGGGGGAGAGGGATAAAACCCCATATCAGCATCAGACCTCTGAGTGACCTTTCTGTCGAAAGAAAAAAAAAACTGGTAGTTTTAAATTTTGCATTTGTTACCAGCAATGTTATTTGCATAATTCAGTTATTTTTCGAATGGAAGGTGCCAAATTTTTTCAGTGCTGAAAATTGAAAGTTAACAGTCATTCTGCTTGTGGAATTCATCTGCGATGGTCTTTTTTTTAATTAGTACCCAGGGGAACCTTGGTACTAACGTCGGAAACTGGCAATTATGTAAAATGAAACATTTTTTTACAAAGAATAATGCAAAATTCCAGTAAAGCAATGCTTTTCATGACCACTTTTCTTCCCAATTTCACTTTTGCCAATTCAGTGCTATTGCATTTTGTTTACTGCTTCCAGTAGTTGTTTTGAGTATATTTGCTGCACATGAAAACATTTAGCCAAAAATGTCCAGCATTTAATGAATTTGTCTCGGTAAAGTAGCTGAGACCTCTACAAAGACATTTACTAGAGCAGCATTGTATACAGAAAATATATAATCATCATTTGTAAACCAACCAATCAGGGTAAAGAGAGAAGGTCAGATTTGGCCAAACATAATCAATTGCACGCTTGGTTAGACTTATACATTGACTAAATGTGTGCTGGAGGTACAATGCATTGTGCTGCTACCGAAACTCAGTGTAAAAAAAATTGTTTTCTTCAGAAAAAAAAAAAAGAGTGGCAAAATGTAGTACAAGGCAGAGCTTTAGTTGCTGGAATTTTGAAACGAAGGAGCCATATTATGTGCACTTCATGTAGACAGTACTTTTATTGTGTGATAAAACTGTAGTTCATTGCTCCAGCAGCAGATTTATAAGAAAAACTAAACAAGAAACCGCTACGGAATATCTGTACAGTAGGGGATGTAATAACAAAGGGAGGAAAGTCCTCACGTGGGGATTGTCGGAGTGGCGGTTTGGATTGTTACGAAGCGCACTGTGGCCCACCAAAAAGTTGTGAAATAACGGGGTAAGACTGTAAATTACTTATGGTTTTTAACAAAGTACTACTTGAAGTGTAAGACGTCCAATCAATTTGGGAGCTGTTCTACAACTCCATGACATATACATTCACACAGTACTACTGAAAATGTGATTTCACTTCTGGTAAAAAACCCTGAGACTACTGGTTCAGCAGAAACAGTGTTAGAAGGTCATTTCAATTTTGCTGGTGTTGAGCTCGATTAAAAAAAGAGAGGACATTTTGAAGGTCTTGTTATGTAAAAAGACAGGATTTTTTTTTTATACAACTACTTCTGTCGATAAACAGGCATGAAACAAATGTAGAAGTGTTTGGACAAAAGTGTTTAATCCTAATTAAAGAGCAGACTAAGCCTCTGAACTGATGATGTCACACTTTGTTTACATGTGTGCTTTCCTAAGGTGCTCAGTGGACCGTGGGCCCCCACTGGCTCCATAGGAAAGTGCACATGTAAACAAAGTGTGACGTCATCAGTACAGAGGCTTATTTGAAGCTTGTAAATATGTGGCATATTTCTTCCTTTTTTTTTAACCCAAAACATACCAATCAAATAATGAAGAAAGAATTGGGGTGTGGAGTTGTGACTTTTTTTGTTATGAATGAAATGTGATTTTTTTTAAAGTAATTTTTAAATGTAATTGTCTGTGATGTAGGCGGTACAAGTCTTGAGTACTTCTTCAGTGATGTTCAGTGTGTTTCTGAGAATCCAAAAGAAGTACTCGCATTGTTACAGATGGAAGGAGCTTTCTAGAAGTTGTTGAAGCCATTGAAATGTAACAAAGGAAACCACATTGGCTCAACATAGATAAGACAACAATTATTGCAAAGTTTTCAGATTGCTTGAGCGTTTCTAGTCAGCGTGAGTTTAACGTCACAGTTGAGCTGTAGAGCTGCAGGCATACGTGTGAAGCCCACATTTCATTGTACATACATGCACCATTGGATTGTTGTACAACATCGCATTGAAATATTGCTCAGTTGTTCAGATAAAAAATGAATGTTCGAAAGACGAGGCGCTCGAGTTTATTTGCCGACGTGTACATTGAAAGTTAGCACTGAACACAATCCACTGATGGTCGGCAATTCTTGACCATCACTGCGAGCAGTGGTGATAACAGTATTTAAATCATGAAATTAAATGTTTGCTTTCTGTTTTTACTGACGTTTGTTTTAATCTAATTCATGTGAACCAAAAAACTGATGTACTGTGTAAAATATTTGTCCCACATCAGTACTTAAGACAGGGGAAAACGATTCACTAAAGATTATTTTATTTTTAAGTTTCTAAAAAAAGAGGTATTCGTTTTGCAATCAAGCTTTACCAAAATCTGCAACTGCTTCTGGAATGAAAGGTTTTAAGTTTGGGCCTGTGAATGGGTGCATTGATAAGCATTTCGTAGGTGGTGTCAGCGTATGTTTACTTATTGTTCAGCTGCACAATGCCATTTCAAAGTAGTTGAACTCATAATGTTGCCCAAATGTTAACAAGCTACCTAGTTCTATAAGGAGATCACTAGAGTGAAGTGAATGACACGCTGCACTTGTCTATAAATGTTTGGCTGTGAATTCAATGGTTACACAATTGAGGAGAATTTTTGTATGGTATTCGGCAGTTTTTGGCACAATGCGCTGCTCGCTCTTTTCGCTATTTTACGTCGTGTTATTTTTCTTTGGTGTGTCTTAACTTACATCTCTTAAGTGTCATTGAACAATTTTATTTGCCGTCACGTCTAGTAGTTGTTATTATTTTTTTAATTAAAGTTTTCATAATTAGTTACGCAGTGTTAATGTCACTATAGGCGAGTTGAAATAACAGTGGGTTAATTCCAGTGTAAAGAAACAGCAAATGTATATCACGATGGCATTTTTTTGATAGTACATACGCATTAATAATCTTAAAGTATTTTTTAGAGTTGTTTTCAGGCTAGTCAGTGCTCGTATGCAATCAAAGCTGTTGTATTCCATTTTAACATGTTTTCCCAATTTTTAAGTGATTACTTTTTAAAACTTCATTTTTTTTCTGTGTATCTGCCAGTTATTGTTTTTTAGTGAGTTGTACCGGTAGGATTGTTTGTTTTCATTTAATTAACCCTAACCCCTTCAGTGATTTACTAGGAACCTTCCTCTCTCTTGCAAAATCCAACACCATATGGTTCATGTAACTCAACACCCAAACTGTTGGACTCTGACTATGGTGGTATGCCTGACCCCATGTAAAGCATAATCAGTTTACTAGTGCAGTACTCACTCCAACAGTTCCAACAAAACATGCAGTTGGATTTTGATGGGTTGGGGTGGTTTAAGGACTCCAGTTTGTGGAAGGTTGCATATGTATGAATTTATGTATGGTTATTCTATAAATTTGGGGTCTACTTTTTTCCTGTCCCTTACATCTGACCTCATTTATAATTCTGGATGTACTCCTTAAATGCAGTCGTCCTCCAAGAGTGATTATTAATAGTAAACTACCCGCCCAGCAATTAAAAGTTCGTTTGAAGTTATTGGTAATGATACTTGAATGGCAAATTCCAAACTTCAGAGGTAACGGGACAGGAAAAATGTCACACTTGTGACTTTTGACCTTAAATTTATGGAATATCCATTAACGTATGTAGGAGCTGCAACCTTATAATTAAACATTAAAATGGCAAGATCAGTACTGGTCCTGTACTATCAAGTTATCCAAATTGATGATTATTTTCGGGTGAATATTGCAAGGATCTCGGCTGAAAATCAGTCCATCCAAACGGTTTGAAACGGCGTGAAATGTGTTAAGCTTGTATATTTTTCTGCCTAACTTTTAATAACCCTCTGATTGTGATTTTACATTTTTGTTGTTTTCGAATTGGCGAATTGACTTGCACCTTTCTTCCTGTTCTGACCATGTGTTTTTCTCAATTTCTTTTGAGAATGGATAAACATTGGTTTATTTATTCACACTTTCCGGGACACACCAGTACAGCCAGGGGTATCCGGGTGCATGGAAAGTGGCAAAGCATGCCCAGATGGGCCCGGACAGGGCTGAACGAATGAAAAGAAATTTCTGATCAAATTGTTTGTGTGTAATTTTTAAAGTCGTTAAGTTATTGAAATACATCTAACGCTTTGTGTACATTTCACCCACTTGCTATTTTCATTTCTTGTTATTTTTATAAAGCTGTTTGTTATATTAGATGCGTATTTTTTTTGTGTTGAGACTTCCAAGCCCCGTATTTACGGTATGTAGAAATAAAAATGCAACAGCATGCCCTGTATTCATTGGTCTCGAAATAGTCTCTTTTTATTTAGTCGTCGGTCATAATTATGTTAATTTAATTTTAAAACTTTTGAGTAATTTGAAGGAAACCAGAATTTAAACTTGGTAACGAATATAATATATTCGTTACCAAGTTTATGCCTGTTTGAGATAGCTTGACGCAAAAAGGGGGCGCTGAAATGAGGGCGCTGTTTCGTTTGAGTAAATATTCGTCTTTGTATTAATTTAATACAGACACCAACATTGGTTTTGACTTGAATGTCGGAGGAATCTGGTGTAATGGTAAGAATTTGTGACTCGTGATCAGAAGGTCGGGGGTTCGAATCCGGTGTCACATGAAAATCCGACTCCTATGAAAATCGGACCCTTTTCCCTATTATTGGTTAATCCCTCTCACGTGACCGGTCACTTTCCTAATTACCATACTTATGCATGCGCGGTATTACCAATGAGTAAATTCACGCTACACCGGTTCAGGGGCCATATGTCGTGTCCTTTAGCAAGTCACTATTTACCCTGCTAAAATATCTTCAAAAATTGATTTTCTCTGAAATACACTGTAAACAACACAAACTCGCACGGGCTTAGTTGTCAGTTCAGTGAATGGAATAAGGCATTTTAATTCTGAAAACGGTATTTTATTATTATTATTAATTCGAATTCGATACATAAGATGAGGTATTCCTTATATACATACTACACAAATCGAATACATTGTAGCAATATTGCTCTATCTACAAATGAAATTGTAACATTGTTTCAGACGTTTGTGTCTACAGAGACATTGAAAATTAATACGCTGGAACAAAAGTACATTCACGTTAAGCTTTTAATAAGTGTCAGTATTGTTTTGTTAAAATTTTTGTAAACCCTAATTTACAGGATTTAATAACATTGCTGCGTCATTAGAATACCACACGCTTACATATTAACAGAGCGCTAAACTATCAAAAAATAATATATTATGTTGAAGTAATTAATTCTAATACCATACCGATGTGCATTGCTTTGTGTTTGCATCTCGTGCAAGATGACTTGAAGTTATATTATATGACAAATCTGGGTTAATTTTGGATACGGACATCTGACGGGTTTACATTGCGACTATTTTATAAAAATCAAATGTGAAGGAAATTCAATGTGAAAAACAAAATACCAGGGTTTAAAACTGAGTAAACTGCAAGGCTTTTATAGTGTTATTTACATTTGCTTACACGAGGTTATACTTTCATAAAGTAGCATGTAGGGCAGCGTAGCATTACGTCAACAGGTGAAAACATCCCCGTTTCTTTTCATTAGCACGTGCGTTTTCACCTGTTGCTTCTGTGGCGTAGCAAGGCGATTTTGATCTGGGGTAGACGTGAAAAAGGGGCACTCGCCTCATTGATGCTGGAAGGTAGACCGTTTTTTTTTCACCGGTCAGCCGGCCGCGAATTTTTTCCCCCTAAGCGACATAAGTAACTGGGGTGTACGCTATGAGGTTTTGGACTTTACTTCCCTAGAACATGAGAAAAAAATATATGTATAAAAGAAAAAAAAGAAAGAAATGAATTCGAACCTAATGAAATTGAGACTTTATTTCCCTTTAAAAAAAATCCTCCAAAGCCGCAAATGAGAAAAGAAAAAAAAAGGCAAAATGTGATTTCGAATTCATACCCTCCGATCTCAACACCATTGCATAACCCAGCTGAGCCATCGAGTTCGACAGCAAACAGTAACTCATGGCATTTTATACCTGCGTACGTATAATAAAAGTATCGTAGAGGGCGCTCAACAACCATCCATACGTGTTGTTTGGGAAAAAAATAATTCGCCACCTGGCCTGACTAGGACCCTAGTCCTATGGGACGCTGTTCAAAGCGGGCGATAATGGGCACCATCAGACAATAGGTGGCGCTTTTCATGGTGGAATAATTGCCGACCTTCAAAACAAGGGCACTCGTTACCAAATATTGGGGGGGGGGGGGCCCAATATTTGGTAACGAGTAACGAGGGGGGAGGGGGGTGTTTAATTCCCCCTTAACCCCCGCTGGCTACGCCACTGAGCTGTGTGTTACCATTCAGTACTACATACTGAAGAACCATTCAGTTTTATAATGTAACGAGATCAGATGTTAGAACAGCGTTGTAGTCGAGTCTATCGCAAGTCCTTTTATAAGTCCTTTCATAATTCTAGACACAACTAACCGGATGAACAATGATAAAGGAATGCTTTTGTCGCAGTTCTTTCAATATAGTGACTTGTCTTGAGACTGAATTACTATGGATTTGTGATGGACTTGTGATGGACTTGTGATGGACTTGTGATGGACTTGTGATGGACTTGTGATGGACTTGTGATGGACTTGTGATGGACTTGTGATGGACTTGTGATGGACTTGTGATGGACTTGTGATGGACTTGTGATGGACTTGTGATGGACTTGTGACGGATGGCCAAGACAACTCAGCTGTTTCAGAAGTTCCTGGATGTCCGCGCCAACCTATAGTATTTTATCCGCGCAAAATCTGGAAAGGATATTGCTAAGAAAATCAGCTTATTTTTTTCGCTTAATTCTAGACTTTACTATACCGATTTAAAGGTGATTCATTTAATAACTTTTTTATTTCAAGGATGAATGCAATTTCACTGGATGAACGATTTCTTTAAACAGAAATTTAAGCTGTATATATTTTATACAAAGTATGAATATATGTGTTTTGAATACTGGACCATGACATAGTATAGGCTACACTTAGTTTCGGGTCGTACTACAAACGATAACTACTGGTTAAAAAGTGCTTGAGCTTTTATTAGTACCTCTTTGATCAAATGTAAAAATTTGTAAGCGAGATGTTGTGTTCATTATAATTTATAGAAATGAAAATTTCTCATACGTGACATTGTTTGCTTGATGCAATAAAAGCTCGTCTATTTCACATCCAACTACTGCAGGGTAGTTTCAAGACAATCACAAGACAATCGTAAGTGAGATCGCAAGTGGATGAAATGACCAAGGGATGCTTTTGTCACAGTTTATTTGAGTAACTTTTAGCGACATGACTTGGAAACCGGACGACTTGTGACTGACTTGTCATTGACTTGTGATGACTTGTGAGTGCTCAACTACGACTCAGCCAACTACTTTTCGCCATCCTTTTGTTTTTAGAACCTCCCTGATTCACTAGTCATGCGTATCATCTCTGTAGGCTGCTTCTTGGGCAGGCTCATGCTCCCCCAGAAGTACCAGGACCGCCTGTCACCGCCCTCATTCCCGTTAAAATCACTGGACTTGATTTTTGTCTCGTCCTTCTGTCCTTCAGACAACGGGCGAGCACGTGCACGTGGCAAAGCACCGGGCCAGGCCCCGTTGGCCTCCCCGTGTTTCCAGGCCCCGTTGGCCTCCCCGTGTTTGATCGCTTTGCTGCTCCTGCTTTTGTGGACTTGGGCATACGGGCTCGCGTGGGAAGGAATGGTGGCAGCTTCTTGGAAGAACATGTCTCTGTTGTTGCCGTCGTTGTGGTAGGAACGTAGCTCCTTTATAACTTTCCCACTCACAGGCCTACAGATGAAAAATAAACACAAAGCAGCGTTAGTTCACCACTGTATGCTGGAAATCTTTACTTCAGAAGTTGTTTCATATTTTGATGATTGATAATTGGAGTTCCAACTCAGAGAAGACGGATGTTGTAATGATCAAACGGGGTGCGGGCAAACAAAGGCAAAAGATTTAGTGCTATTAGACATATGGGGTACTATAGCATAAGTTCAATTACTTTTAAGCCAGTTTTGCTTGGGAACATTTTTTACATGCCTATAATCACGAATTCCTTTTATACATTATTGCACACCACTGTTAATACTTCAAAAAGCTGGCATTGGATGGCTATTTACTTTCATATGCATATCGCATCATGTCTCGCTCCTCCACCTCCAGTTCCATTTTCCAACCTCAGATGATCCAACTGAAAAGCCTGGCTTGAAATTTAAGTCATACATAGCACACGAGGGCCCAAACTCAAGCCATTCGTCTCAAATGTTACATAACTCGTACTGTTAAGCCAGAGCCTTATCCCAGTACCAAGGTTTTAGAAAAGGGGCTTCGTTCTTTTGACGAAACATAAAGGCTGGTTACATCCTGAACATATCGGATCATTTAGCGCTACCTTGCGTTCAGGAACCAGACAACAAGCCAGAGCCATACCTGTGCAGTTCCTCTTTCTCTTCGTCTTCATCTTGGAATTTGTGGACCTTCCCTCTGCGTCGCCACAAGCAGACACTCAAGACGATTATCAGAACCAGTAACAACACACCTCCCAAGCTGACGCCAACATACAGCCATACCAGCTGAACTTGCAGCTGGCATTGCGTTCCACTGTACATCACCTCCGAAGACTGGGGACAGCTGAAAAGAACAAAAGAACAAGTTTTCTAAAATCCAAACCTTTCGGTTTTAAAGAGACCACTGACTGATGTGGCATTGCATCACCTATTCTCCAGCATACGGTTTACTGGTCCCAACCAAAAGAGGCAATTCAGCGCCATAGCTTTTTTGTCTGTGCACTTTTTGTAATCACTCCTTCTTCCACAAATCACAAAATGACGAATTAAAAGTTTCAGAAATTGGTAACTCCCCCAAGTAAGATAAGTTACCCTTATGCCAAAAAGTCGACGAGGACTGTAATCAATAAAACCATGGTTAAGTAGTGAATGTAACAATCAGTTTGGAACAGAAGGGAGGTTGACTAAGTCTCAACTTGGCAGATAAAATAATTAATTTTACAGCTCTGGTGTTTGGAAGTGTTGAGCAAGAAACAATGGCATGATCAGTAGCTCATATACCACATAACTTAAAAAAAAAAATTGAACAAGATTTGTCAAGGTACATGAGATAGGAGAGCAAGCAACAAGTAATGGATGCCTATAAAAAGTTCTTGCTGAATAACCAGGCTGAGACGAAACAAACTATATAAGGGGATTTCGAAAACAACGCCACAAACAACACAATAAATGAATACTGCATCACATGTATGGCGAAGGAAGGTTTAGGATTAGGCTGGTCAAAAAACGTCTCTCTTATTTACTTGCACGTTATTTGCTCGCTGCCCGACTCTTGGTGACATGTCCCATCTCCGCAGTAGGCTGGGTCAACTTTACATTTGGACCAGCAGACGTAATAGCAAGTACCGACGCCGCCATTTGTACTCTGCGTTAACACCAATCCTGCTGCACACTCGGGCGGGTCCGCATCGCAAATATATGTTTTATCTGGAACATAATGCAAAACAAATGAGACTTCTTACCAAGAATATGTGGTAAAGTAACGCGAACCAGCAACATACAGCAACATAGCTAGTCATCAAAACAGGAAACTGTTTAAAAAGCGTGTCTTTTTTTTTTACTTCTATAAGTTGAGGATAAAGGCAGTGTTTCGACTTGGGCCTACTAGTTCAAACATGAAAGATTACATTCGGAGAATGTCGGTTATGTCTGTTCTCAGGTGAAAAATTTCATACCCCTTTGCAAATGGCTAATTGAAATTGAAACTTATTTGTGAAGCAAAATCCACTAATTACACTTTGCGTAATATAATCTGTCTCATTGAAAAAGCTCATAACCCACCGGATTAAAACAGAATTACATTGAAACTTAACATTTGGGCTGCCACATCAAAAATCACAGACAATACATAACCGAACATTATAAAATACTTAGACGATCTCGAGTCCTGACCTTGTGGTGCCATGCAGTCCTGACATCCCGTCGCTACCTTCAGCTTGCCGATATACCCCCTGTCCACCGCCTTTCCTACCGTCGCTTCGTACAGGGCGTTGGCGGATATGCCTCTGGTGGTTGGCGTCATTTCGTCGTAGTTGTAGATGACATCATGCGGGACAACTACACTGCCAGCCCTATACGAAAACCAGACATAATTCAATTCGTTCAAACTGGAAATTTACCTTTTAATTAAACTCGGATGATGCCTTTGCAGAAATATATAAGAGAGGTGAGTTTAGGTGAATTCAGGACCATTTTGAAAACTAACCTCAATTTATCCTGATCGATAACAACCCGAGAGAAGCCTGCTACAAACTTGTATTCGATTTCAACCTGTTCAAATCAACGGGAATGAAAAAAAAACCCAATATTATTTTTTTTAATAGTTAATTCACCGATTCTAATATTCAAATTCGTCCATCACCATCGATTTTGAAGTGTTGTAGTTGGTGAATTTTAATGAAACATCGTATAAAATTGCCGTTATAGCCTATACATATACCCAATTCTTGCGAATATATATTCAATGAACAAAAACGAAATTGATACACTTTTTGGTTTGACATGGTAATGGAAAAGTTGCAAATCTTGATATTGTCATAGGAATGGAATTCAGAATTTAGAAACCCATAATTTCACAGTGCTAATCCCACGATTGTCAGGCCATCAACAGTCAACCGCGATGTCATGTCTCAAGCTTTGAGAAGCTTGACATTATTGTCATTTATTCTCCCCTTCCCAGTTACAGTTATAACTCGCTTGGACTTGCCATTGATTTCAATCAGACATTTATACTCACAGATAATTTGAATTCAAGTACAAGGGCATTGCATTCATTGGAGAATTTGTTGATAGTCGGGTCGCATTCCATACCACTATCCACTGGGGCAATGACTGCGATCTCAAATGAAACCTTCTTCTCAACTGAAACTGAATGAAATGTAAGCACGTACTGAAATCATTAATATCACAATTATACGAAAGTATTGAAAATTAATCAAATCCAAAATTATTTGACATTTTAAAATTGTTTTTAACTATTCAAAAATAATAATTGTATGTCATAAATCAAAAGGCTTATGAAGTATGTTTTTATGACAATGGTATTAAAAAATTTAAACAAAAACGTAAAGACAAAATACAGATAGTGAAACATACCTGTCCAAATTGGGGAAACTGGGTATTCGTCATCAGGAATATTTGGTATCGGTTCTGTAAAAATCAGATTCATTGGAATTACGATTATCATGTTTCTAAAAATCAGGCAATTGCGCAATGAAGGCAGGACATGAAGGCAGGACATTAAGGCAGGATATAAATACGGTATGCTCATCGGCAAAAGTCAACTCCGTACTTCAAAATTAACTTACCAACATGATTCACTAGTATATTGTGGCCCACTCTTTATCTTCCGTTAGGCATATCAGCAAGAAAACATTAAAACTAAAAGAGTCAGGAATAATTGATATTTTTTACATTTAAGGCTAGCCTTGCAGCTGTGCCAATAACAGATCAATTCTTAGCTTGATGGAGAACATCAACTTGTTTCTGATCAGAGTGGGAACCGGTGGATTGAAAATGGTAGGTGAACTATTATTACAAAGCGACAACGTTACAGACTTCAAATTATTGGTTAACAACGGCCGGGCGTACCGTACCTGAGCAGTCGGTCCCCCGCCAGCCATCAGCACATTCACAGGAACACGCAGCCTCCTGCCGTGTAGCGCCGTTCAGACAGACAAACTCAAGAGGACACACTATATCAAAAACAACATTTCAAGTCTTAAAATCATAACAACTTTGATAGTAAGAATCGTTGGTCTTTCCCTGGATTTGTTAACAGTCAATCAATTAACCAATCACAAATCAAGTTAATTAGGTGGAACTTACGCAGTTTGATGAAATCAAAACTTCAATTTTGTTACTGTAAAGGAGTGCCAATAATGGATGCGAAAATAACAAAAGTACGCCTTAAAGGACAACAATAATCTGTCAACCATGTAAAAAAAATTTTTTTGAAGATTGTAAAACAGGTTTTGACGAACAGTGTATAGACCATGAAAAAGCTTACCCATGCACAACGGATCAGTGTGGAAATACGGGCAATCACAGACACATGTGAACTTGTTTTGATACGATCCTCCATTTTGGCATGGCTCACACTCTAAAGCAGAAAAAAACCGATTATTTTACAGAGAAAAATGACTAAGAAGTAGAATTTTATCAGCAATGGATGGACGACTATAATCAAAGAAGTTCCCTGATAGAACCCCCGAGGCCTAAATCTGGCGAACATCTAAAGCCATCGTGGTGCTCAAATCTTTTTTTTTCCTTTGGTACTTACACACAATTAAAAAGTTGTCTTTTAAATTTTCTTTAGATTTCTTAAATTTGCTGGTGTTTTGCTGCCAACGGCAAGAGAAAATGATGATTCATCTTTACACAAGAATCCCTTTCAGCACTGTAAATCCTGGTCTTCTGTAGAATGGAGCCACGGTAAATAGCAACTTCACTAGGTTGTTGGTGTAACATTCTATCATCTGTAACCCTTTTGGATATATTTCAGTCAGTCAATAACTATGTGCCTAATGACCAGTAGTGCATATTGACGCGCTGGTAGATACCTGTGCAGGTTTTGCCAGTAAATGGCGACAGGCATGTGCAGTTGCAGAAAACATCAGAAAACACCCCGTCATTTTGACATTCAGTCACACCTCCACATTCTGCATAAGATAAAGAAAGCACCCTTTACTCGCAAATTTTCAACAATTTCAACAATGAAACTTTGTAAAAACCAAGTAAAGTTTTTGGAATATAAGGCTTATTACATTAATTTTCATGGGTAAAAAGAGAAAGGTTCAATCTTTTCCTGCAAGTCAAGCGACAAATCAGCGTAAAAGAGATGAAATAACTAAAGTTTTTAGTTAGAAAAAAAATGCTTTCTTAAAATCCTCAAGTTCTTCTTACGACTATATATATGAAATAAGTACATAAATAAAGCTGGCATTCAGAACAAGATATCAATTTATTGTTAACGACTTGAAGTACACGGTGATGATTCATAACTTTTTTCAACTTTGAGTTTTCTACAATGATGCGTCTTATTGTTATGGTCAAGAAAAACAAATTAAATTGACACCTATCTGCCAAAACATCTTTCAGCTCCTTTGCAAGATCTGATCAAAACGAAAATTGAAAAAAAAAAATCTTGGTCTTCGAGATGATGAAATTCAGACCGGTTGAGGCAAGAGGCAGTGGGAGGATGCTTGTAAGCCACGCCCACCGTCACCTTTACCTGCACAAACAGGTGGTAGGAAAACACCAGGGCAGTCACAGATGCAGGTGTCTGGATCTTGATTGGATCCGTCATTGGCACACGGTGTACACTCTGAGGAAGACATCACAAAAATTGAAAAGCCAATGTATGGCATCATAAACATAGTCAGTGGTGTTTCCGGGGGGGGGGGCAACTTGCCCCCAGCGGCATTGAATGAAGTCATATAACAAATAGCAGCATTTCTAAGACGGCTTTAAGACGATTCAGAGGGCGATACAGTAATTTTCCCACCCTGGCACTGTGGCACACAAAAGCTGGACACGCAACTGAACAAAGTTTGATTCAGCAAATTGGTTGTCTAGATAACCTTTTTTAAATTTTTGCTTTACGTTGTTGTACATCTGCATAGCTTTAGAATTGCAGCAATTTCAGACCATTTTCTCCCATAAGTCGTAGTGTACATGTATATTAGTCTCCACGTGTGTGTCATCAATAAAAATATATTTATTTGTTCTTATATATTTATTTGCCCATGTTCATATGCCATGTATTCCTTATATTGACTTTATACTCTATAAAATGACGGTCCTAATTCTTTGCACCGATTTTTTTTTAGATGAAAATCTGGCCCTGTTAAAATTACCTATTATTTAGTGTCTATATATGGAATTTTAAAAGCAGAAAAAGTCATTGTTTACCTTTAAGCCAGTGAGGTCAAATCACATTTTAAAAAACTATTGTCGGAATACAACACCGAATAAAATAAAATGTCAGTGGAAACTCTCAGTTGCTTAGATTTAATGGAACAGTCAAACACTATAAGGAAAACTGTGACATCTACATTATTCTTCTTTTAATATATAACTTTTATGGCAGAAAGCCTTGTTTCGAAATCACAGGTATAAACAAACACACTAATGACATATTTCCGAATTTATGAAAGTGATAATTGATTATTTCATTACCTGTACAGGTTTGACCAGTCCATGGTGATTGGCAATTACATTTGCAAGATGTCTCGTCGAACTCACCACCATTTCCACACTGCATGTCTGATGGACAAACTGGTAAAGAATACAAATGAGACAACAGATAACTGTAAGTCACGCCTCAAACTTGCGTTTGACGCAAAATCATTGGCTCAGTCCAGCACCACAAGTACGTTAAAATGTTTCGTTGGGGGAAAATAACACTTCGTCTCAATTCCTCTTAAATCATTACAATTGTGGGGCGTTTTTTTTCTTCTAATAATAATTTCCTACGATATTGCTGATGAACTGTTACTTTTAAGACCAAAGTAACCACAAAGAGAAACCAATTGTTCTCTTATAAATGTGATAGGAAAATCACAGAAGGTAACTGTTATAGGTTCTGTCCACGGATCACAAAAAAAGTTCAGTGTTGTTTCAGTGAAATGAAAACAAATCACATAGGGATGTGTGTGAATTGTTTTCGTTTTGCTGAAAGAACGCACACCTTTTTTGTGATCCGTGGACAGAACTTTAAACGGTGGTTGTGTTTAAAACTCCGTAACTTGAAGAAGTACATAAGTGATTTAAATGATTCTTGTACTAAAAGAAGGCTGATGAATTGGGCTTTTATATCCTAGATTTTGAAAGTGCTACCTACAGAGCCTCACTAAAGCAATAGTTCCGACATTTGGGTTTCGGGTTTTTTTTTACTCACCCTGTATATGAAAATGGATGTTTTGAAATCAATATACAAAAGTTAGCCTATCCATAACGCACAACTGACAGCTTTAGATCAATCACAATAAATCTTGCCAATTATTTTGATCATTACCATCACAGAGTGGACCCTGGAAGGAATTGAAGCAATTGCAGACACAGGTAGCTTCATCCTGATTGCCGCCATTCACACATTCCTTGCATTCTTTGGGACAAAAGAAACGAATAAATACGACTTCAATTTTCGAGCGTGAAAAAAAGCAACTCGTGTGTGTATCTGAATATAGGTACTGTAGACAACAAAAAATGTAAACGAACTCTATTAAAGTACAAAATAAAGAGATCTACACAATGGAAGATTGTGATGTACATTGAAAGTATAAAACAATTATTTATGCCCCAAAATGTCATTTGTTTTGTTTAAAAAATTGTTACATCAAAAAAGTTCCTAACCTGAGCATAAAGGGCCGGTGAACCCTCCCGGACACTGACACACACAGGTGTCCGGATCCTGTGAATTGCCACCATTCTGACACGGATCACAGGCTGTAAACAAAGAAAAACATCCAAAATAATGCAAATCAAATTCGTTTGGAATTGTACACATAGATCACATATAATGTTACAATATACGCAATATAAAATATTAAATGGTAATGTGCAAAGCGCTGTATTTGTCTTTAAACAGGATTGTCTTTGCCCACGATTCCCAACTTTATTTTTAGTTAAACTAATTTGTTTGGTTTCACCACACTGAAATAAAAGCGAGATTGCACCTTCAACTATTTCGCCATCTCTATTTAGACCGTAGAACGTTTGACGAGATCACATTGAAATCGCCACTCATGTACCCTTAATAAAATTACCCATCGAACCACGATACTTCACTAACAATTCCCCAGGTTTGTCAAACATCTTCACTTAAAACTTGTTTTATGTGAAAAAAAGTAAAGTAACTCGCCGGGTATTCGTGATTTTTATTTTAATCTGAATTCACAAGTGTAAATGTTGCACGACTTTTTAACCTCATGAAATGCATGCCACCTAAATGTTATGGAAATGCATCAAAATATGGCTATGAGTGAAAAAAAGAGATATAAGCTCTAATGCTTGGATAATGGTTTCAATTTGCGTGCATCCTTTTGGGTGCTAGACTTTACTTGATGAAATATCATTTAAAGCGTTGGCTGTAATGTTCTGCTGCATGAAAATGAATTTCTTTTCCACACTGTCAAATCCTTTTTCGTGACGACAGCCCGTTTAAGGACAACCTGAGAAAGGAAATCACACAATCGAAAGTCACCTGGTTATAAGAAAGATCTAAATGTTTTAGTAATGATAACTATAATGAGTTAAATGGGGAAAACACTATTAATGATAATACTTAGACAAAAAGATATCGCATTGGAAGTTTTCATTTGGCTAAAGTCGGGCTTACACTACTCAATTTGCCAAATGTGAATTTGATGTTATACGTGTTTTGCATTCAGTCCAGGTTAAACGGTGCGACTCTGAAAATCGTTGGGATATAAAACAAAATCCTAATTCTGTCTATCAAATACCAAACTTTGAAAAGAACAATTTAAAGAAATATACATGTTCTCGTATTTACAGAAGGGGATGAAATCTAAGAAATAAAGCTACTAATCACATATATAGGTTATTCCATGATGAACATGAGATCAATGTGGGCAGTTTCTAAGAAAGTTTCAAAACAAAGAGTACTACTAAAACTAAACCAAAGAATGGATACAAAATCAAAGATGAACGTTTCCAATTGGAAAATCAGAAACACTTCAAACATTCCTGGCTAAAGGCCAATTCACACTCGTCGCTAAAGAGAACTCAAACGCCGATTTGTGACATGATACATGCTACAAAGCGGGAAAGGTGTATTTGTGCGCGTTCACGAGTAGATCGTTCACGCAGTGGGCGTTCGACCGCAAGCGGGCGAGAGGCGGCGAAGCCTCCTATCTCACATTGTTAATCTGCAAAGGTTGAATACATTTTAAACTCCAGCAAATTTCACTGCCATGCAGTGTATCTGGACGCTTATATATCGGCAAACACGTCGTTGAATATGAACCGTTCTGGACGCAAACTACACAGCAACCACTATTGGTCAAAGAGATCACTAATTTCTACTCAGAAGAATCCGATCTACATGAAAACTAGGCTTAATCAACACACACACACAAATTAATTTGAAATTCACGAAATGTTTAGGGTGTGGGAGCAGAAATTCTAGCGTGGTATTTCGTGCTCCTTTAGGACTATTGAGGTCTAAATGACATCTTGCATTCTTAAACTTTGGAATTGGTTTGCGACTTCATTTTGATAAGCACATCAATCAAAACATGAAACACCTACAGTACCATCGTTTTTATGCGTTTAAAATGAAGTTTTTAACTATGTTAATACTGTGAGCTGAAGGTCATTTAACTAAACATACCACACACGAGAGAAAGGCGGAACTAATTTCGTGACGCCAGCAATGCTTGTTTAATTGTGGCAAATTCGTCATCAATCAAACTATAAGTTTGTGAAAGTAAGTGAAGTATATATACCTTCGCATGTCTTCCCTATAAAAGGTGACGGGCATGAGCAGTTGCAGAAAGCCTTGAAGAATGTTCCTCCATTTTCGCAAGCTTGCACACCTCCGCATTCTGAAAACGAAATCAACAAACCAGCAGTATTTTAAGATGCACCTTACACAAAGAAAGAGCTATTTCAGCTTCAGTGAACTAACAACTTTAATTTTAATCAAAGCTAATGTTGACATTATTTACCATAACGGAATAGACCTGACACAGAATTAATGACGGCACACTGTGCGCTTTTTTGGGGGGAGCATGGTGGCTCTCGGCCTCACCTGGCTGCCATAGAAAGCGCACATGTAAACAAAGCGTGACGTCAATTTGTCTCATTATAGCTATTGAAGAAATGTTTGTTTAATGGCGAATTTCTAGTTCCTACCTGTTACAGAGATCGTGAAGCTACAGTTGGCTTCGTTGCCACTACTATCGGAACTTTTACACGTCACCGCCGCGACGCCAATTGGAAACTCGTCTCCCGAATTGACGAGTTTGCCTGATTCATTACGACACGTGACATTGAGTAAGCCATCTACAGCATCATTGGCCGAGGGCAGGGGGAGCCAGTCTACGATAGCCACTCCTTCTCCTGGAACTACATCTTGGGAAATGTCGGCCGGACAACTCATGACTGGGGCTTCATTGTCTGTAAGAAAGTAAGAGAGTAGAGTTTTGTTCCCATTCCTTACTCATTGTTTCTCTCATATTTTGATTGATATTTTATTTTATTTTGGATTTGGTTTAGTCGACTTAAACGTTTCGCCAATCAGCAACTTGTTAGTAAACAAACAATCAATACAGAGAAAGGATCAGATTGGACTGAGATGAAATGGCATGTAATGGAATGATTGAAATGGGATGCAATGAAATGGATTGCAATACAAACTATAAGAGTTAAAGTAAATAAACGAAAAATAACTTCATCACATCATCTATCCATCCACTTAATAACATAACAGTCAAACAGGGCCATGTAAATCAATATTCAAATACAAACGAATTCCACAAATAAAAACAAGAAATGTAGGCCTACAGACCTTACCTGTAACAGTGACTGACACGTGGGCTCCATTGTCAAATCTACCTAATCTATTTGATAATAAAATCATCCATCGGCTAAATCCCGTACTGTGAATGCTACGTAAATGCTAGGTTAGGTAATGTACATGACAAGTGAAGGCTGCCCAACTGCTATGCACATGCTATTCTAGCGCTGAAGTTTGGCAAGGAAGCTAAATAGCTGTGCAACGCCTCTACCTTTAACAGTGATCACAAAGATACAGCTGCCTTTGTTTGTACTCCCGTCCGAAGCTTCACAAGTTACCACCGTCACACCCACTGGATACTCCTCTCCCGATGCGACCAGTTTGCCCGATTCATCTTTGCATGTGACGGGGAGTGGGCCATCTACGGTATCATTAGCCGAGGGGATGACGGGCCAGTCTATGACACCAGTGGACGAGCCCGGGACCAAGTCGTGGGAGATGTTTCCTGGGCAGGCCATGACTGGGCCTTCAATGTCTGTGAATCAAGCAACAGTTTCCGATGACAAAAATGTCACAACAGAAGTATACTGCTACTTAAATGTTGCTGTATAATAATACCGTTGCAGTTAAGACTGTTACAAATTACTTCAAATGTTCACACTTCAATTACAAGACAGTTCTAATTAACTTAAGGAATGTATATTTGTCTCGATATACCTATCTTTTACAGATAGTTTTTAACTTTGTACTTCCACATATTATTTTGATATCTTAAGGTTCAAAATAAAATAACTTTGTCACAATTTAATTTGAATCGGTTGTAAATCGACTTGAGACTGAGTGACTAGTGATTAATTAGTGACCAGCTTGTCCTGTTAGAACACACCCTTCAAGGTGGATATTCCAGGGATGTATTCGAGCCCATCACAAGTCCCTGCAAGTCCCTGCAACTAAGTCCTCTAGTCCCAATTCAACACGCAAGCTATTGAAATGAGCTTTAACGAAGGCATCCATTGTAACTTGTAACAGGACTTGTGCCTGGACTTGTGATTTGCTTGTGACTGGACATGGCCGACTTAATTGAGGTGGACATATGTCCCTGATATATTCAAAGTATTTGTACAATCAAATGCACATGGCATGAAGTAACAATTGTACCTTTCACGGTGATCGTAAAGCTACAGTTGGCCTCATTATCACTCTTGTCAGACGCTTTACACGTCACCACAGTGTCAAGAACGGAAAACTCGTCTCCTGAATTGACAAGTTCGCCTGAGTCATCGTAACACTTGACAGCGAGCGGACCATCTACGGTATCATTTGCAGAGGGCTGGGTGGGCCACTCTATGGTAGCCACTGCAGAGCCTGTGTCTATATCTTGGGTGATGTCAGCCGGACAACTCATGATTGGAGATTCATTGTCTGCGCAAAGAACAAGAGGTAAAAACAAAGCTATAATTGAACAGATGTGCGGCATGCTGTATCACCATCATAGCCAAATCGCCGCTTTGGTGACTTTGTATGATACTGAAAAGAACTGGTTTCGTAACATTTTGTTTTTTGAACAATACACTCTGTCAGTCTCCAGTTTATTGAATGATTTCACAAGGAAAAAAGCTACTAATGTTATGATGTTAAATTTCAAGTGAATAACTTTCTATGCAAATAAAACCGAAACTATTTATAGGTACTAAATTTGGCTAATCTATCATGATTAGTGGCAATTCTGGTTCCTCATCAAATTCGGTGACATAACTTTTCTGTTAATGTTAAAAAGGTTTGCAAATGGGTTTCAATAAAATTTGTGCACTCTTGATACAGAAGACTTTGAATGTAACAACTAGCCTAAGCATGCTTGTGTTTGAATCTCTATATTACTTGTTTTCTGGTACTCTTGATCTTCCATTTATTAAACACACTCACCAATGACAGTTATGAAGAAACTGCAGTTCCCTTCATTTTGCGCAGAATCGCGAGCTATGCAGGTAACCTCAGTTTCCCCAATGGGAAATCTTCCTCCTGATTCAACCATTTCTCCTTCATCCGCACAAGTTACGTTGGGTACAGGACCATCTACAACGTCGTGAGCCGATGGGGACGGGGACCAGTCCACTGCCGCATCTACTGTTCCCGGTTCGACATTCTCCGTGTCGTTGTCTGGGCACGTGACAATTGGTCCTTCAACATCTGAAAAATATGGAGTTGACTTACAAGACGTGTTATTAAAAGGTCACCACGTTTTGCAGGAATTTATGGCATCATGATGATAAAAAAACTGTGATCACATGAAAAAAACTTGTTGCAGGATATCGTGAATGATCGAAATTATCTAAAATGATTGCTAAAACAGCATGCTTTGATGAAAAAAATGAATTACAGTGATGGTTAAGAAAAATGTGGCTGGTTTTGGTATGGGTATGACAGAAATGTCTATATGGATGTGGCAATCACTTTGTCAGGATGCACAACACTATAAGATCTTTAAAAATCACTTCGTAAGGAATTATATGAATTGAAAGGAATTGAAGGAATGTGATCTAGCAAATAAAAGGAAATAGTTAATTTTTACCTTTCAAGTTGATCGTGAAGCTACAGTTGGCCTCATTGTTGCTGTTATCGGAAGCTATGCATGTCACTTCTGTAACACCAACTGAAAACTCGTCTCCGGAATTGACAAGTTTGTCAGACTCATCGTGACACGTGACAGCAAGAGGACCATCTACGATATCATTGGCAGAGGGCAGGGTGGGCCAGTCTATGATACCAACTGCTGACCCTGCTTCTAGATCTTTGAAGATGCTCTCTGGACAGGATATCAATGGGTCTTCATTGTCTGTAAAAGTGAGAGTTGTTTAAATGTTAATTATTTTATGCTGTTTTTTTTGTGTGGCAAATTCAAATGAACGAATTGATACAAATTACTGATCCGATCAGATTCATTTACATCTAAACTGACTCTCAAATTTATAAACATTACCAGACAAGTTTATGCTGGGTGTGCCAAAAAGTGCAGCCGTTGACAAGTTGGTGTTTTTTTGGGGAAAGGCCAAAAACACTTTGATGTATTTATGGTATTCCCAGCTGTACGGCCGTTATCACGCATCTCCAACCAAGAGTTTGTTATTCTACCATCATTTAGACTAACAAGCAATTTTCACAATTTACAAAATGGCTGCCATTGCTTGTTATTCTACCTACATTTCTTTTAAAAGGACAAATCTGCTTTGGCCCTTTAGCCAAAAATCGTTCTCGTGACATACTCTGACTGTGTGCCAAATGCCTCATCAAAGGCACAATATCCCATCACCTATCTGCCGTACCACACTTTGAAATGTGTCAATTGAATAAATAATACTTACCTATCACAGTGATTATGAACCTACAGGAACCTTCATTATGACTGGCGTCTGATGCTTTGCACGTCACCACAGTGTCACGAACAGAAAACTCATCTCCTGAATTGACGACTTTGTCTGAGTCATCGTAACACGTGACAGCGAGCGGACCATCTACAGTGTCATTGGCAGAGGGCTCGGTGGGCCAGTCTATGGTACCAACTGACTGTCCAGGATCTACATTTCGGCTGATGTTGGCCGGACAGGTCATTATTGGCGCTTCATTATCTGTAAAATCCAAAAGAAATTTGCTTTATTCGGCAAAAAGTTCGATTCAAATCCTTGCACAAACGGGGTTCCAAATATTGTAAATTATCAAGTAAGTTAAAAAGCAGAATCGTGTTTCACTGCCTTAAAGAAATTATTTGTTTTAGTGTTGTTGGCAAGAAAAGATGTGTCCCGCCAGTCAGCACGGAGGAACATATTTATAGAAGACAACACAAGATCAAAACATCAAAATGTCAGCATTGAGGTGAAAGGTCAAACATGTATATGTATAGGAAGAGACTATAGGGGTAATGAGGAGAAGTTGTTTCCATTGAAACAAGGACTAAAGTTTGGAGGGAAATCAGAGTCAGGGAAGGTGAAGTGCGAAGGTCCTGGTTAGGGATTGAAATGCAAAATCGAAAAAAGGTTAGGAGTAGAAAAGGAACACATTGAAGGGGAATTGTAGAGGAAAAGAAAAGGAAATTGACGATAATAGCATTTAAATGTAATAGAATAATAACACATTTTAAAATGCCGACTTAATAAAAGGCTCAAACTAAAAAGTAACATGGTGGTCAAAGGTTGGATCATCTTAATACGCCAGAGCGTGACAATTGTGTAAAGGTTATATTGCGGCGCAAATTCTTCAAATGGGTCAAACTCGAAAATAGCGATCGGACCTTTCTCAGGCTGCCACCTTTTTCAGTCGTGTTCCCTGTATCCAATAAGAGTACTGAATGATAATGGATTTGTGTGGAAAAAAGAACCAGACTATTTCTCTTTCTAGTCTCGCCTTGGTTTATGGGGAAAAAATCCAGATGGCCGCAACATGATCTATAAGTGTTGGCTCTTACCATTGACAGTTATGAGGAAACTGCAATTGCCTTCGTTGCCGACGGAATCAAAGGCTGAACATGTGATGGTTATGTTGCCAGCAGGAAATCGGTCCCCCGACTCGGCATCCTTGCCATTGTGATCTGTGCAATTGACGACGGGTATCGGCCCTTCCACGACGTCTTCAGCCGTTGGCGGGCGCCAGTCTACTGCCGCGTCGGGCATACCTGGTTCCACGTTGTTTACGATGTTTCTTGGGCACGTAACAACGGGCCCTTCGTTATCTGGAAAACATGACATTGACTCACAGACAGAGACATGCTCAGTAATTTGTGGCATGTGATTTGGCATGCACCTCTACCAAAGGGGTGGAAAATACAAGGATGGTACAATGAAAGTGAAAGCATTGATGCATATGAGAAGGTGTAAGTGGATAAAGAAATAACAAGAGTAATGACGGAATCTAATATGATTAAAAATGATTCATATTAAACCAAGATATCTGTTATGAACTGTGAGCTAAAGACACTGAATTTTGAAGATGAACAAAAAAGCATACTCACCCAGCACAGTGACGGTAAAACTACAGCTCGCCTGGTTCGCACTACTGTCATTAGCGTAGCACTTGACAAATGTTTCCCCGACCGGATACTGGTCCTCTGGCAACCCTATTGGTTTAAGGTTACCGAAACAGGTGACGACAACTGAACCATCGATGTTGTCGACCGCTTTGGGTGCTGGAGACAACACTACGGTAGCAAATGCCGACTCTGCGTCCACATTCCAGACCCCATTGCCTGGGCAGGTGATGTTTGGAATTTTTTCATCTGGTCGGCAAGAAGAAAGATTTGTTTTCGTAATTCCAAAAACGCTATTCTATTTTGCCATTATGCACTTTTACAGTTCTATAAGAAAGCCATGCAGCTTTTCCTTTGTGGGTTTGTCTTTGCCTCAGAGTGCGATAAGCCCATGTCACCACACAGTCTAAAAGGGGAAAACGCAAAGCCTTGCTCAAACAGAGACCGCGAATGCAAAAAAAAAGGAAATAAAAAAGAAAAACAATAAATCCTTAAAAAAGTTCATAAGGCAAAGATGAAGGTTAAACTAAGTATTTCACCTGCAAAGATTTAAATATCAATCTGAAATCAAATAAGCGAATGATTTGAAGCATCAGTAGTCTTGAAGAATGACATGTGGAATTATGAAAGACTGTTTCTTATGACACACTTCACTTCGACAGTACTGAAAAAGTATATATATAACTATTTATAGATATATTAGGGCGACCGCTCCATAGACATGTGTGCAAAATTTACACAAATATAATGTGACCTAACCCAATTTCACCTTATTCGACCCAAACAAATTTTGATATTTTTACGTTCTGGACCAAGAGCAATCGATTAGCAATCTTCAGGATTGGACAAGACGCACACGAGTCATACAGACCGAGTACTTTTTTTGTGGTTTTAGTCAAGAAGTTACATACAAAAAAAAGCTGTACATAAATTTTCAATTCCTAAACACCGTGATATGTTTTATTTTATTAACCAACTACACGACCAAAATCAAGTCGAGGTCACGGCTAGGCCTACACTAAAAGATGTAACCATTAAAAAGCCATAATAGCAAAATATAACTCCAACCTGAAACCGTAATATTGAAGGTGCAATGGGACATATTGTTTTCCCCATCACTAGCGGTGCACGTCACCCTGGTAGACCCGGCAGTAAACCTGCTTCCCGATACGTGGTCACAGGAGATAGTTGGTGCCACCCCACTATTGTCTTCGGCCGTAGGATCATTCCAACTTGCCTGGGCGCTGTCTTCATCATCTGCGGCCTGAACAAAGAAATCAGCCGGGCAGAAGAGGAAGGCAGGAGGGAGGTAGTCTGACAAACAAACAGATTGAAATAGGTCTATCGGTATTGTTAGGAGACTGAGTTGCACTCAAGCCGAAATTTCCAAGGAGTGAATTCACTCCATTCCAATGGAAATTAACACCATCCCCATGAAATTAAACGAACAAACCAGTGAAATTCATTCAATCGAAGAGATCATTGTCACTCAAGTTTAACTGATTAATAATTCTTTGTCAAAGTACACGACAGAAGAATCTGGATAAGTCAAACCTCAGGGGAATGGGCTCAAATTTTGAGTTAAGCAGAGTTTGGAGTTATCCAATGGATTTTCCATTCGACAACAATTGACGAGAATAAGTTTATACTAAGAACGGTTTTTGAGTTAACAGGTTTTGACTTATCGAGATTTCACTGAATTTCTTTCTAAAAGTGATTTCCACTCTTTATCTTGAGTCCCTACTCCCTAGTTCCGCTCTTTGCAAATTAGTGAGTACAGGTCAATCACAAGGGCACAACGAGTAAAATGGATGAACATCGACAAAGACAAGCGCGTCAATCGACGGGGATTTTGATAATTTGTTTTGCACATTCATAAGTTCTTTGGATAATAACTTTTGAGTCGCCTTCAGTAATCATAAATATGTTCTTTTATGTGTTTACTCTCAGGACTTATCACTTTGTTTTCCTTCTCGAACATAAACGTGACATGTTCAGCACACTAGTTTGACACTTCCTTTCCAAACCTTGCATCATCAAAACTAGTCTGTAAGGTCATAATAGGTTTATAAAAGGAAAGGATTACCCTTTTCACATGTTCTTCCTTGGTAACCCAGCTCGCAAACACACGGTGGATCATCTCCGGCGAAACATGCGAAACAATGTGGAGGAGCGCCTGGAGCTGTATAACATGAGCTGCCGTCATCCACTGCAGACACCAAAGACGGGGGGAATCGTGAATACGGAAGTTAATTTAATTCTGTACAACAGTTTGGCCAGTTGATTTTGACAGCTGAACTGGCCAAGTTGATTACATGTAGGATTCACTCGAAAAATCTAGCAACAGAGTAGCGCACGAATAAGGTAGCTTTTAAACCTTAACTTTACAGTAGTATAGTAAACTTGATTTAAATTACACTTACTATATACACGGTACCAGTTTTCCGGTGAAACACTAAAGTTTCATTCCATGCATCAAGGCTGACAAATCTGTATGCCCATTACTCAAGAGCAACCTAGTCCAATTCTCGAAGCCCACTATTAGCATCGTTTTAAGTTGGATGTGAAGATTACAATTGTATTTACTCTATACACCTCGACGCTAGTGGCACAGTCTAATAGAGAGTATATGTCAATTCTTACCGACATCGCATGATGGGCCTTGCCAGCCATTATCGCAACGGCAGTCTGGAGTATTACAAGGAGGAGCACCACAACCAGGTGACGGATTATCTCCATCAATACAATTAGTTCCATCTTCAACTGTAAACACACCAAAAATTCGTCGTACAATATAAAAAACACGCTGCTAACACAGGCGTATAATAGATCAAATCCATGGGCGTCACCAGGATTTTCTTATATGGGGAAAAAACACTCATCATGACGTTGAAAAAGTCACCGGCTGAGGAAAAAATCGAAAAGCGGGGGGGGGGGGGGATGATTTGACGCTTGAAGGCGCTGTTCATAACGCGTTTTAGGGTCCTTTCGCCTGCTAAATATACGTTCATATTAATAGTGATATAGTTACCTTAAATTTCTCCTATTCTTTTTTCTTTTTCTTTTTCCCTTTTGTTTTGTTTTTCCATTGTTTTGGTCGTTTTTTTTGTTATGGATTTTTGCTTTGTTTTTGTTTTCGGGGGGGGGGGGGGCTTTTTCTAGCGACGCCCAGGATCATACCCTATATACATTTGGGCCCAGGGGTTATTATACCACCGTCCTTCCTTTCCCTATTTTCATAAACAAAATATGATGCAAATAAGACATATGATTGTGACTTCCTGAAGACAAACCAAAGCCTTGGTCAAGACTAATGCAGTCCGAATTTAGTGACAACCATATACCTTCACATACCTCCACAATCGACGCCACTATAACCAATCTTGCAGGTGCATTGGTCTATCGCGCTTATACAAGTGCAAGCTTTATATCCACGTGTGCAGTTTGCGGCATCACCTGCAGACAAGATCAGGAAAGATCGGGGGTTACAAATTTGACTCTAAAAATCGAGCTGTGTAGGTACGAGTCGTGATTCCAGTCGCACATGTTCCTTTGGAAATGTTTATTAACAATCAACATTCCTCCTTGTGGCAAATTAGACTTATTTACGGCTGGAAATACATTATTCGTGTGCCACAATGTCCGCCGCGTTTCTCAGGAACAGTAAGACATTATAGGTTAGTTTCCTTTCAACCATGCAGACCTTTGAAGTAGGATACCGGGTGAGTAAACAATTAAAAAAAAAAATCAGGACGACGTACCGCTTTAACGAAATAACAATTCATCAGCAGAAAATGAAAACATTAAATGGAATTTGGAGCAAAGCACGGATATCTAACTGTTATACGAGGCCAGCCTTTTAAAACTGGTCCCAGAAAGGAACAAAACGCTGTTCAACTGATTTAGCACATTTGACGGGGGTAATCCTTTATATACGTCACAAGTGACAGGTCGGTCGGTCGGTCGGTCGGTCGGTCGGTTGGTCGGTCGGTCGGCAACGAAGGAAATAGAAATGATTTTCGTTTTCAGTGTATTGTGTGTAAGATCATGTTATGGCAATTGTCAGCGCTGGAAATATTATTGTTTACGCTATTTGACGTCAAGGTTCTTACCAACTCCAACTTCAAATTTGCAAGTACTCTTGTCACTGCCGACGGTCGCGTTGCAGGTGACTTCAGTCTTACCCAGCGGGAATCTGTCGCCTGGTTGGTGACTGCAGACGACCTCCACCGTGTTCCCGCCAGAATCTTCAGCCGTGGGAAGCGTGAAATCTACGGCTAGAGGCAGCGGTACTCCCGCCGCTGGTGTCAAGTAGTTTTGGCATGTTACAAACGTCGGAGCTGAATAGACAAAATGTATACAGTGACCAAAAAAACACGGTATTTTTGACCCTGTGACATGGGGTTATAGTGGGGGAGAGAGGGGAGTATTTTGCCTGCTCTTTTCACATCTTGGCCAATAATAATTGAAATAAATGTGATTATACCAAGTCCCAAATGAACTCTGTTGATATATTGTACCGTTTCATGCAATCGGACACAATATCTATAGATCGATTTTACGGTACCCTGCTCTGAATATTTGGAAGTTTCGATTCGGTATTAGTGGCGCAACCAGGATTTGGCTTGGGGGGGGGGGGCTCACAGTGTTTTAGAACTTAAAATTGTTTCAAAAAAATTTGCCGAATTTTTTGGCTTTAGAATTTTTATATTTTTTTTTGAGGGGGGTGACTATTTTGACGTTGATGGCGCCACTTACACCCCTATTATACTACTCGAAAATAGGCCACATACATATCACCAAGGGCAAATCGTGGGAGAAAAAAAGTAAATAAAAAAAACCAAATTGACAACCTCTTGAGTGCGCCACTGCAGACTTCTCTCGACAGTTTGTAATTTTTTTTCGGCCACCTCCTATATTTATTCTAAATACACCCCTTCTCTGTCAGAACGTCATGAAAATGCAAGGTTCATCCCTTGCTGTTATTTGGACATGCGCGTTGTTAAGATTAAACTTATTCTTGCAGGACGACCTTTTAAACAAGAATAACCATTTGCGATTTTAGAGTCAAACTAATTACTTATTAATTCATTTGAATAAATTCAGAGATTCACAGATATCTTCAAATGTTTTAACGTTTTTAACCATACAGAACGTGTACAGATGAACTGAGGTTTTCCTTCTTTTCTTTCACTAAAAACTCGCAGTCAAGAATATAACCTTTTCGTTACAAATTACGTCACAGCAAGTGAATGGTCATCTGGTTTAAAATATTCAATTTAATTGGCACAAAGTACATTTACAAGTTACAGTTCGTACAATGGCTATACGTTGTTGTACTAAATGCCGCAAAAAAAGAAAGAAAGAAAGAAAGGAAGATCCCTCTCATTGGAGGGTTTCTAATTTTGAATCTGATCGTCTTATGATGATAACGTCATTTATATAGACCTTTAGGGAATGTTGTTGTTGGATACCCCGTTTGCTACCAAAGACTGTAAATTGTCCAGGATTGACAACGGTCTATGAAAAATGATGCGGTTTGAAAAATTGTAAAGTTTCACAAAATTTCCCAAAGGTCTATATAAATGACGTCATCATAAGACAGTCAGATTCAAAATTATTTTAAATTTCAAAAAAATTAAATTTTTCATTAAATTATTTTTGGAACAATGAAGAGAAACACTAAAGGGTATCATAGAAAAAAGTTCAAAGCGTTTTCACAGTGTGAGTAAAATGAGGTTTCTTTGCAGAGTTTTTTTCTAAGTACACGAAAACAAATGAATCTCCACACTAGGTATGTAACGTAAACATGTGTGTGTGTGTGGGGGGGGGGCGACATAATATTCTCATGGGTCGCTGTTCAAACACCTATATCATGGTTAATATTAGCCAATGAATACCGCTATTCGCTTTCCTTTCCTTGACGAATGGACGGCAAATTTCCAGTGGGGGCGACTATAGGGGGCGTGAACCACGCCCCCTCCCGTCCGTAGCTACGCCGCAGCTAGGGTGGGTGTCTCAAACACCTTAGAGAGTTGTGAGTATTTTCTAATAATTTTCAGAAATAGCCGCAATTATCACTCATGTCAATGGGAGTCGGTTTGCAGGTCTATGCACCCACATGCGTCTCACTGGTTGTTATACCTTATACTTCGCGTTAATCGATATTAATTTTTAATAACTTCCAATATCCCGACTGCCTGAATCATATATTATTTTCCCCATTTGTTACATAACGGTTAAAGTTTTTTTCCTGGTTGGGAGCCTAAAATTAGGGCCAGTTAGAAATGACAGTCAAAGAAACGCAGCGGTTCCCATTTTAATCCTTCATGTAATAATAGGCAACACACGCAATTAACAAAACTGTTTTCGCGAACTGCGTTACCAAAACAGCAAATTATGTGCGAACTACTTTTCGTACGTTAAGCTCCCAAACAAACTGTGCGAAGGCTTGACTGTTAAACTTGAATAGCGCACTCAGACAACTAAAAGTAATCATAATCATCTTGCATACTGTCATGAGCATCGACAAGAGGGGGTCTGGAAAGCGAAAAAATCCAACAAAACAAGAGAGAAAAAGGGAAAAAGGGGGAAAAGGAAAGAAAAAGAGGAGTAAATCATGTTGCTGTTAATTTTAAGGGTGGAGCCAAATGACCCTGCCCACCCTAGCTCGAAAACTGATAAATCAACTAACAACTGATCGCCATTGCACAGTGTACAATTATTATGTAATCATATACAATTCTTTCTAATCACAACAGCAAAGAACCCCTTTATCTATCTTTAATCCTAATATGGATACACGTAATTTAACAGGAACTGTTTCGGCGAATACGTCGCCGAAATGGCTAATAATGCACGAACTACTTTTCGTACGGTTAACCCATAACCAAATCTGCGTAGGGTTGTCCATTAAACTTTAATAGTGCCCTCAATTGACTGAGAGTAACGTCACAAATAATCTTCATTGAACAATGTACTCGGCAACAGAATTCTTTCCAATCACTACAGTACCGAGGAATTCGAACGCCCCTTACTTTCTCTTTCAATATCGGGCGTTACACTATGGACAGAGAAAGTCTGTTACGTAATGTTTTAGCGCATTCATTGTCAGGCCGAAATGCAGTATATACAACTTACTCTCGTTAAGGAACCACCCCTCTCTCAACTATTCTTCTTTTGTTTAAATTCGTTTAGTACTTGCATTCAACAATTCATTCATCTCAGGTCGCGCGACCGTTCTCGCGCCCACCATTGTACAATCCCAAATCCAGAACATTGTGGGGTTTTTTTAGGTGAGCCGAAAAAGTGGGTCCAAAATGTTCAGCCCCAAATTCGAAATGAAAAGAACTGAGGGGGAAGGACTCTTCATGACATTGGTACATGGTAGCGATATTTACTTTGCGCATTTTACTGCCTTTTTTTGCGACGTCGCATAAAACGAAGTGGGTTTGGCGTGTTTTTTTTTTTTTGGGGGGGGGGGGGGCTGCCCCCCCCCCCCAATCCGCCTTTGCGTATGTATGTCCCTCTTTATTCACCAGTGGCATCATGACAGACCCAAGGTTCTTACCATTTTTTTTCTATGTGAGTAAAAGCAAATTCAGCAAGTTTCAAATGCATAAATCTTGAGTTGATCAACTTGCTAATTCGTGTTTTCAAGCTGCAATAAACAGGGGAACTTTGTTTCAGGAACGCAACCGTACATCGATATTAATTTTCAACAACTTCAAATATCACGAAATCTGATTGCCTGAATCTAATTTGTGTATTATTTTTCACATTTGTTACATTACGGTGAGGGTCCTACGGATTTCTAGAGGTTCTATTTTTTCTGGTTGGGAGCCCAAAATTAGGTCCAGTTTACTCAGTTTAATGAGAATCAAAGAAATGCAGCGGTTCCTGATTGAATCTGAAACTCATGCAAGTAACAAAAGCCGTTTACGCGAACTACGTTGCCAAAAACAGCATATTATGCGCGAACTACTTTTCGTACATTTAACTCCCCAAGCAAGCTGCGCGTAGGTTTGACCGTTAAACTTGAATAGCGCCCTCCATCAACTAACAGCAATTACACACATATGAAAAACACCGAAATAGCAGCTCTTTCGGCGAACTACGTCACCGAAACGGCTTATTATGCGCGAACTACTTTTCGTATGTTTAACCCCAAACCAAACCTGCGTAGGGTTGACCGTTAAACTTAAATAGTGCCCTCAATTGCCCAGATGTAACGTCTCTTTAAAAAAAAAAGCCGTTGTGTATGTATATCCCTATTAACCTGTGGCATCATGACGGAGCCAATGTTTTAACCGATTTTTGTTTCTCAGTAAGTAAAATTCCAGCAAGTTTCAAATGCATGTATTCAACTTTTTAAATTTTAGTTTAACAGCTCACTATTCCTTCGATAGAAGGCATCGATTCGTGTTTTAAACAAAGCTGTAATAAATGGGGGTATTTTGGGAATGATTAAAAGTTCATCATATCCATGTTTTTTGGGTTTTTTTAAAAGGCAGTAATCATAAGCTTGCGGACGATATGAACCGATCACATCCCTGCCCAGTTTACGAACTGTAAGTGGTCCGATAATCAAGAAGAGGCTTTGAAAAAGTGTACTTGCTGGGGCGTTTCTGTTCAAGTTTCAATGCCGTATCTCGCCTCCAATGCAACAGACCCGAATAACGTGTTAATGTAAATCGGGTAAAGCGGCGTGCGCTCTATTCGCACTTTGTATCTCGAAATTGGAACAAAAACGGAGAAGTTGAACTAGCGACTTCGCGTTCACAAAAAAAAGTTACGTAACGGCTGGAGAGCGAATTGTGAATAGTGGGCCGTTGAACTGCAAAAGAAAAAAAAGTACTAACTTACTTTTCAATGGTGAAAAACTTACTTTTCCATATTTATGGTTTGATCCTTTCGAAACAACTCTTCGAATCCGTCGCGCGAAACTAAAACCTCTCCGTGCAGTCTTACACCAAACCGGCCCGCCGCCAGCCGCCCGCCGCCCGCGCCGCCGCCCGGCCCGTCGGCGCGGTTTTCAAAATTTTCTTGGGCAGACACTTTGAAGACCTTTCGTATTCCGCAGGCAAGCCCGCGAGTTTGCACGGTTTATGGGGAAAACGACATTGCAGATGACACCACGTGCTGTTTACATACCTGTTTCTTCTAGGCTAACTAGTTTTGCGATTTGCATCTTTTGTTTTAAAGAGAAAATTAACTTTTTTTTCTATTAATTTCGGGAGCCTACAAACCTCTCAAAAAGGAGTTTCATTTTGCACACATTATTGAACCCACCGTGGCAGCCAGTAAATCGGGATTCTTTTCGAAGAAATAATTCAGTTTC